AAATTTCAATAAATCGAGTTTCAATACGAAAAATTTTAGCATTACTTATTTCTTTTATTACTTTATTGCTAACATTTCTTTCTATAAGTTTCAAGTTATAGATAGCGAGATTTTTAACGAGTCAAGACATTCCTATAATCATATATATATTTATTTGTCCAGCAAAAACAATATAGGTGGAGAGCATCTTCCCATCAAAACTGAGTTATTTTTAGTGCATTTTATTCATTCAAGATTTCTCAGATATTAACAAATCGTATCTCGTTTATAATTAATTTCAATTTTTATATGAAAATCTCGCAAAATCGAAATCAGTTGAACATTTGAAAAGTGTTATTATTATTTATAAAGGGTTTTTTTTTCAAGAGCACTCACCATTACTAATTGGACTCGCTCCTCTGGCTTGTCGCTTTAGATATATGCTAGGATATATCCCTTGACAATAAAAATACACGTGAGTTGCTAGTATCATCCAGATTTCTGGACAGGTTTACTCCTGTAGGGAATAGAACCTCAGCGTCGGCGTTCCGAATTGAGCAACAACCCACTGAGCCACACTTATTTATAAAGAATAATAAAAATATGTTCGTAAGCAGTGAACAGATAACATAAAAAATTTTGAAATAAAAGTAATTTATTTAAATGAAAGATAAGACAATTAAAAATTACTGAACCATATCTAATTAAATTTCATAGCGAAATATGCAATAATAAAAGGAACCACAAGAAATTTATGGGACGTTTCTTATTAAAACAAGACGTTAAGTCCAAATTTGATTTCATCAAATCTCAATTTTTATCCATTTCGAACGATGTGGCCTAAAATTTGGTAAACCAGATTCTTCTTCTAATCGTCTTTTTATATTGGGTGCTAGAACTTTTATAAAAATTCTGCGATAGGACATATGCACTTTGATAATATGATAGCTATTTTGATATGATGCATAAAATGATAAAATTATCGCGATATTCCATAAATTTTATAGAAATCGTGTAAATTTTATTAAATTATGTGAAATTATGAAAGGATGAAGAAACAGCTGACATAAGCGCTAGAGTCAGCATTAAATTCATCGCTACATCATTTTTTAACATGCTTTTGAAATTCTTGCATATATGCGTAAATGTTCTTAAATATATCGATATAATTACAGAATCAATTAGAAATCTAAGGCTCTAGTGAGAAAGGCTCTAATGAGAACTCTTAAACCTTTCACTGTAAACTTATTCTTGTGTCGAGTCAGCTGTCATGAAAACTGAAAAACCGATGTTCGCCTAGGATTGCTGAGATATAAGATATGACAATAAACTGCAGATTGTTAAATAAATTGCTAAATGAAGAAAAATAAATTAAATTAAATGTTCAGCACTTTCATAAAGATAAGCGCGTGAACATTTCCTGTTGTTAAGTTTTATAAAGCCGTATAAAAACAATGCTGGAAAAATTTTCTCTCCAAAAACTGTATAGTGTATAGTGCGACGATAAATTAATTGATATCCGCTTCTTTGCTTAAAATGGGACGCTCAGACAGTTTTTTTAGCCATATTTTAGAGTTCAAATTATGCAAAATATTCATAGAAATATAAACTTTGCGATTTTATTAATCTATGGCAATGCTACGACTTTTTGGCTAATATAGTTCAGTGACAGATGGCCTTCCCATTAACTTTCTTATTTTCAAGCCCAGGTTTTTCCAGCTACTGGTCAAAATATTATTATTAATAATATTATGCATAAAGATTAGGACCATTCTGATGGCAAGAAGTGGACTGAAAGACAGGGCAGAAGCGACGAAGCGGGCACGAAAAGACAGCATTTATATTATACATTATTTAATTGGATCAAATAAAATATAAAAGATGGTGTTAATGCATTAAGTGCCTAAAACTATCTTTTAAAAAGCGATAATACATATAAATGGGACAAATTATTCAATAAAATCAACCAATAATGCTTAACCAATGGGCTCAAGTAAAGAATTCTTTAAAAGCATTTGTGATATATAACTCATTCATTTATAAAGTAGTTTGTTATTTATAGTTGAATTTCAATATTATCAGTTGCACAACTAAACTCTATCATATTCAACAAATGGCAATATAATCTTAAAGAACTAAGAAGTTAAGAAAAACTGCTTTATATATTAATTGCAAAGACCATCGTTTAAAAAAATCTTTTAGCTGTGGTCCAACTTTCAGTGCTTTATTACTTGCTGATCAGTTAAAGCTCTAAATTAAAGTTTTAAATTAAGTTTTTTTACAAATTAAAGTCAGCAAGTAAGTATGATTTCTTCATGATTAAAAGGCTGAGAAAAAAGCATGTTGAAGCATCGATTTTAAAAAAAGAAACTATTGATCTGAACAGCCTTTGAACGGCCATTCAGTGCATGAACAGGGCCAAGTTTGTTAAAAGCCAATCGATGTTTAGTGCTTTGGCAAGTAAAAGTAAATATTTCAGTTAATTAGAAGTAGTTATATTCTCGAAGTGGAATCAGTTAGTCCGATAATCCTATGTATCAAAAGTAATTGGCTACAATTTTCTCATCGATTTTGCCTTTGTGCCAATATTGGTTAAGGCACAACTAACTAACTAACTAACTAACTAGAGCTGATTTGCTATCTTGCAGTATGCATGCATGCATCACGGTTACATTTTTCAAGAAATAAATTAGCTTTTATTTCGTGTTAGTTAAATTAAATCCATTGAAAGGTTTCCTTCAATTTTAAGTTTTCATCAAGAAAAGTCAAATATTGTTCATTTTATTTTATTAAATCTATAAGCGCAAACAATTTATTTTAAGATTAATTTTACTCAAAATAATAAACAATAATAACAATAATAAATAAAAAATAAATAATAAACCAGTTACTAACTTTAGAGTTCTTTACTAATCTAAATCTGAAATCATTATACTTAACAAATTTGTTTAGTTATAACGAATCAACTGAAAAGTTGAATTAACGTAGCCTTTTGCTTATATCCATGTTCATGAACACTGGGTGAGTTGTGATAACATTTAAAATGCGAGCATCTGATCCTTGAAATATACCTGCATATATATGCAGGTATATGCATCAATAAAACCATGAATAACGAAATTTTGGTAAATAATTTGCTTCTGCTATTATTATGTATACCATTGTATGAAAAAAGTTCATCGCATTTCTAAGTTCTGCTGATTTTATTGCTTTACATGGGGTTCCGGCTGTTTGGACGACAAGAAATTTTTGCTAAGGAGTCATTTGACGACAGAAATGCAGGTGGGAGTATGAAGCTCGAAAAAGTCCTTGAAATATCCGGGCTATTAATCTCAGCTACTACGGTTATTAAATTATTTTTCTAGTAACAAGTAGAAAAATTTTTTAAAAGGCAGCAATATGAATACATATTCTCATCCGAGAAAAAATCCATTTATTTATTTATTTCCAAATTTCAAATTTCAAAAAAATTTGCAGCCTAAGGGCATATCTTCTGCTCAATTTCATCGTACTAAATTACTCTTTTTTATTTTTTTGATTGAGAATTTATTATGCTGATTCTTTCTTTCTTATATAAATGGACTTTAATAAACATGGAACTGCGGTTATATACTTTGTTGAATAAGCTTAGTTTGGCTGTGTTTGCTAGCATTTTAGATTGACTTCAGTAAAAACCAAGATAGCTAAATCGATTTGACAAGAATAATAAAGCACAATGCAATTACCAGAGCTTATTGCTTATATAAAGAGAACACATCGTTACTGATTAAAATTATTGACAACAAAAAGAAATTGTTCTCTGGGACAACAAAATGTCGCTTCAATCATAATGTGTCAGTCATATGTAAACTGGCTGATGAGAATCAATGTATTGGATATAAATTCAGTCGTGAGTGGTAACAAAATTTTTCGGTTTTTTTAAGCAGAAAATAGTTAAAATTCTACGTTTGCAAAATAAATAGCATAATGCATAAATTATTTACGTTTAGCAGATAATATTTTGAAAATCTAAGAGAGATTTTTGTCATAATCAACTTGATTTTTGACGCAACTAACAAAAATTCAACAAAAAACTGTCAAAAAAGCAGCAAAATGGAACTGAAAATGCCAAATTATTTTGATCTATTCGTAAATTCAGATACAATGCACAACTTTTTTCTCAGAAAAAACTAGAAAACAAAATTATCACTGTTAGAGAATCGTAAATAAATCAAATGAATATTGTCAGCCCCGCATTGAATCGTTGTTACTCAGCAGTTTACTGAATTCCAAGATCGTACAAATGATACAGCGATGAATTTATGCTCAATAATGCATCACTTAGAAGGTAATGATTATTTTTTAAGTGCAAAATAAAGTAAATTTTCCTACTTATTTGTGTTTTTATTAATGCTCAAGATTTTTTGAGAAGGACGATTCGTTAAGGATCATTAAAACTCTTTTAACGACAAATCTCATTCAAATGTGGTTAAACATATTTTAAAGAAGAATTCAATCTTAGCCCTGTTTTGAAATATTGCGAAAAACTCATTTAACGTAATTGAAAATTTGCATACAGTGAAAACAATGAATTTGAGGTAAAATCAAATCGTAGGATTTTGAACTGTTTTAAGATAATTTAACTTTGTTTCACTCAATTTATGTTTGTAAAGTGGTATGATTTGAACAACTTTGGCATCCACTGTAATCGACCGTGTTTACCAGTATTGGTTAGAGATTAAAATTTAATAAATAGACTTGTTATGTAGTGAGTTATGAAGAATGCTTTATTGGAAAGTACCTCTCATAGCTTAAATTGTTATAGATTTGGAACCCTTACAAAAAAGTGCTTGAGAAAAAAGCAATCACATGTCACTTCTTCTAGACAATGAGTCCAGAAATGAGAATGGAATTTATTAAATAGTTTAATCACAGGAACCATAATTATACTACACATCCAGAGATCGATCTTAGCGATATATCACGACTTCTTTATTAAATTCAGTTTTTTCAATCATCTATTTTTCATTCGATATTTTTGGCTATATGGCTGAACTGCCAGAAAAATTGCTGGAAACTGGTTTTCTTGGTTTTTTAAAGCGTTCTTTATATAAAATCATCGATAAAAAGTTGTAAACTTTCTTCTTCAGAAGCGCGTCACTATGGTAATGACAAATTGGTGTACCACGACCAATATATAACCTATAATTTATCAAAAATTTCTTGAACTGTATTTTATGAATCGCTCGATTTAAGTCAAGTTGAAGATTGCTTCAAAATATTTGAAAAAACCGGAAATCAAAAAGAGAACTAACATTAAAACAAGCAAAAAAAGCTGGAAAGGCAATGCTTGAAACTCGATCAATTTGGTCAGCCGTAAAAGCTGATAAAGAAATCGATCTTGATTTTGATTGTTGCCACTTAAGTTCTAAGTTGTCTGCTGGAAACATAAATCGTTTTTGGTAGTGGCAGAGTCCCTTCGGGCTTGATTCTATGCGAGAGTTCTAAAAATTTCAAAAGTCAACTTTTCAGCCAATAAATATAGAAAAATAGGTGATGATTAATTTAGTTAATGAACCGATCGAAAAGTACCTCAGCTTGCTCAGTGGGTTATCTCATGGTAGGTTGAATTTTCTTTGAATTTAACAAAAGAGCTAATTTTTAAGGACTTCTTCTGGTGAAGAAGATTTTCCAATATTATACTTACCATTGTAACACTGGTTACGACTGGTTGTCTTTTATCTATTTTTTTAAAGATAAATGCCGAAATTCACCTGTTTGTTGGTAAGCAATTTTCTTTTACTGAAATCATCGGCATCTTTCACTTTGTATCCGACAATAGCCAATTCCAAAAGCGATGAAAATATGAATGTCATCGAAACAAGCATCCACACATCTTTAATATGCGAAATTCATTTAAGCTGATTCAATATTGCGCCAAAACTTACTTCAACTTATATAGTTCTATCTTAAAATCTTAAATGTAAATTTGCAGGATAAGAACTCCTGGTTGCCCAATAAAAATGAACTATTATTCGGCTATTTAAAGTTAATCCCCCTCAAGAAAAATCAAAACATAAAATCAGAGGCTTAAAAACTCATTATCTAAGAAATACCAAAAAGGAATTAATAAAGCAAATAATCCATTCTCTGGAGTAACTTAAGTTTTCATCGGATTTATTACCTTTTGCATCATTCGATTAGATAATTTCATAAAATATTTTAGTTAAATTAGCTTTTAAGCATTTTTGATTAAAAACTGATTAATTAAACGAATGAAATTTTTTTATAATTTTTTTTCCAGTCAATCATATATATATATATATATATATATATACCTATGAAAAGCAGAGAATAAAGGGCAAAAACAAATTGCAATTTCCGTTGAAATTTAGGAAATTAAGTCTCTAACATAAGCAAGTGACGCATCTTTTCTTTTTTGAGCAAAGTATTCGGCTATATATACTATTATATATATATATATTTTTTTGATCATGTGCATTCATTTATGATGTGAATGTATGGATATCATATATGTGATTTTCAAGAGGTGATGAGAACTTACTTGTACTCCTTTACCCAACTGACTCCTTACCGAAAGGCTCTTATGGCAAGGCTCTTCTTATATACCATAAGATGGATTAAATAAGGTTACGCTACTTAACTAAAATCCTCGTTTCCCACATCCATTTATCCAACTCCTTTTATATATACAGGTTAGCTAGCTAGTTAATTTGGGTTAGGTTTAATGTTCAAGAAAACTTACCTATGGCTTTAATATAAGAAACACGAGGCAAATTTCTCATTATGTTACCGAATTGAAATATCATTGCCAATAATGCATTTACGCCAAGCATGGTTCTGGCTGGGATAGCTCGAGGGCCAAGAGCAAATGATACCCAGCTGTAAAAGTTAGCAACAATAAAGAAAGGAAATCTCTTAAACCTTTTTTAACTAAATAATTTTTATTTATAAATTGTGAATATTCAGTAGCATGATCGCAATGTATCGCAAAATCGCCAAATAAATGGGAATATATTTTCCCACACTGATTGGAAGATAAATGCCATAAACACCATAATATAACGATATGTTCATTTAAGTGGATAGAAAACTGCATCGAAATTGCTTAAAATTTAAGAAAAAAAGATGCTAAGTAACTAGACAAAAATTGAAATATAATTCTTTCATTATTTTGTTTTTTATAACAAATGCTTCAGAATTTTCCCTATAAAAAAGGAAAGTAAAGCTTTAACTAATAAATATGAAAATAATGTAGTTTAAAAAGTTCAAAATCTGATTTAAAAACAATATTAAATTATTTTATGGATTTATGCCTATAGTGTTATTGATTAATAAAAATATTTAAAAATATAATGTTAGATATAATATAAGCTCTGTTAGTGGCTGTATTATATTGAGATTTTTTTCTTCAATTTTTTACAATATATTAGAATGAAACATCCATATGTAAGATCCAAATAGCATTTATGCAGTTTTTTTGACACTTCTAATCCTTCTAATCCATAATAGCAATTCAAATTCCAGCCTTAGTTCAAAAATTTAGAAATTAAAGGTAAACAGGCATAATCCTTCTAATATATCATTGCAACATGTGCTGGTTATGGAACTTTAGAGAGACGCATCTGTTATAAATTACGCTTGTCAAGCTTATCTATGGTTTTCTTTCACATCAAAATTCTTCCTTTTTTCTGTTATTTTGTTTTTCTTCAAGTTTTAATCCTTCACTATGCTTATGACCTTGTCTGTCCTTGTTATTGTAACGAATATATGAATAAATTTGTCGGATCTATTGACCATTTTCATATGAATATATTGCCTTCCATTACAATAGCCCATCTAGATCTAGCGAACCATGGCAGGTTTTCAAATATTAAGAATATAGGATTACTGGGGGCTATTTACAATATTCAGTTCAGACTAATTAAATAGACACTATCAGGAAATACGCATTAAGAATTTCCATTCAAACTAGGTGCCGGCATTGGAGAGTACCTCAGTGCAGTTGTTTGCATAGGCCCTTTGCTTTTAATTATTATGCATTAATGATATCAATGTAGTTGTGCAAAATTCCTATATCTACTTCACTCAGATTTCGAATAACGTTAATTGTATCGAAACGCTATTAAAAGATAATTTCAATTGCAGACTCACTTGCTTCAAGAAGCACAAAATGTTTTCTATTAATATAAGGTATTATACCTTAATTCAAGGAAGTTCTTTTCTTTTATATATTGAAAATATTCCTAACTCATAGATTTTTGCTTCAGATCTTGGAATAAACATAGACGAGAATTGCTTCTGATCTTGCTAGACGGATTAGTAGTAAAAAAAGCAATAAAAAATATTGAGCTAATTATAATCTTCAGATTCTTTGAAGACAGAACAAAAAAAAAATGAAATGCTTACATTCTATTATTATTAGAATATAATACCACTATTCTAATCTCGTGAATTTACAAACTCATAAATTGATTGAGATGGATAAAAAATATTTAGCCATCTGTAATTGTTAAGCTTTGTAAAGTTACAACAATTAAATTTACTATTATTAGTTACAATAATCATATCAGAATAATTAGATTAATTAGAGTTTGAAGAATACACAAAAAAACTTGCTAAATTAGTTCAATATAAATAAATATAAATTATAGTAAATGCAATTATTCTACTACAACAAGACCAAACTAACTGAAACTTCTAAAGTATATTTGTAGGGACGAATTAATAAATTTCGCCAGTCATGCATAGTTTTAAAGTGAACTAAGCAAATTATACAAATGGTCACGTCTATTGGATTTTCAATTGGTGAAGCTTTTCTTGAACCTTTGTTTCACCTTTGGCAACTTTGGCAATTTGATGGAGGTAAAAAAATCAGATGGAACAGTTTTGGAACAGATTCACGGAACATAAAAGGTAAATAAGCTTACGACGCAGTGGTGAAATTTGGCATTTTCGTAAATATTTTAAAATTATTCCAGGTGGGCATAACATTTCTCGGTATTTTTAATCATAGCCATTTCTATCCTGCTTGATTCAAGAATTACCTGATAAATATTGTTAAATAAGTTGGAACATATGCTTGCATAAAATACCATATACATCTCCTTTCAAATGTGAAATTTACATGAAGCTCATCCCACATGCCAGCGGGATATGCCTAAAACTTTGTAAGGATCGAAAGAAGAACTTACAAACATTTAGCTTCGATAATTAAAATTAATTATCCGGACTGCTGGAATTACAAATATCTTTGTTGAAAGATTCACAAATGCCTTTTTTAGTTAATATGCCAATACAAAGATCCATACTTTGGAATCTGATTCTTCCATAATCAAATATATTTACAACTGATTCCTGCTGTAGCAACATGCTTTTGCAAATTTCTTCATTCGTTTTATTTCAAAGTTAAGAAATATAGTTAAGAGATATGTTAATGGAATTTTTCCGGCTAAACATTTTAATGCAATTTTTATCCTTATAAAAAAAATTTTTAAAGCCTTATCGTAAGTTTATCAAAACCTCGATCCTCAATGAAGGATTTATTCTAATTAGATTGAAATCTGGTAAAACCATTTGACCTATCGGATAAACTGGTTGAGGATTTATCGTATTCCATCTCATCCTTACTTCTTGATTGTTATAATTGAAGCTGAAAAGGAATTTGGAATAAAGATTATATTTTAAATTTGCTGAATTTCTGTTTTCTTATTGTTATTATTACTGTAGTTTGCAACATTTCAGGTTTGAGTGACTCTACTCATTATTCAGCTGAAACCATTCAGCTAGACAATTCACTGATAATTCATCGCTGGTCTAACTAAAAGATAAAAAAACTTTCAAGATAAAAGATTATGTTCAGAATAGTGTGGGATTTATTAGATTTGATTTCTTTAAAAAATTTAATTTTATTTGCATCAATTAAATCTATTTAATAATAAAAAACAAATTTAACATGAGTTGTAATATGAAATATAGTATGAAAAAATAATTTAATATTAACCTTTCATAGATAAGGTAGCAAGTTTGAACATCCATAGGAAAGTTTGAAAGATCCATAGCACATGGTCCCTTTACTCGAACTCGCTGAAAATAGAACGATCGATTTGTTCAGCATAATTCCATTCCAGTAATTGGAAAATCATCAGATTTATAAAATAAGCTGTATTGTATTTTATTGCTTACAAAATTTGGTAGAATTTTATGAGAGTGCCTATAAGAATGGATAAGTGAAAATTTGGCTCTTTCTCTGTTAGAATGAACCACAGAGTGGAAAATGAGCAGAGACCAGAAATGATTTGATACTTAAGGTTTGATTATTTAAGAGAAATAGCTTTTCGAAACTAACGTAATTAACCCAAACGGTCCCATTCGGGTAGAGCATCAAAAAGACATTCCTGAAAGTCATGTGGCATTTCTATCAAAATGTTTATCAAAATATTTACTGGTTTTCAACAAAAGAAATTTGTTCCATATTTCATCAATACTATAGGTGAAATGAACTTAAAGCAAAATTTCCTTCTATGATCTAAATATGACTGTAATTCCTTGCAACATAGATTTTTGATTCCATAGCCCTGACAGAAATAAATCGGCTATTAAAAAATCAAGCTAGTGCTAGCGATCATCTCTATTTCTGACGCCAAGTGACATTCTAGCAAAAATTTCTAACCACATTAACCGATTAGTCTTAGAAGAAATGGCTTAACGAAAAAAGAAATGGTACGCACTTATCCGCACTTATCACTTAATTCCTTGTATTATATCATATTCACAACTCATCATTAAGATCATCTTCATCAGAAGAATAAAATTTTTATCAATTTATGTAGGAAAAAGTACTAGCAGCTTAAAAGCTATAAATAACCTGAATGGAGAATCGTGAATCTGTGCTATTTTACTGTTAATAAAACAACTATTCGGCGTCCATAGACGCTCGAGAACCTGATGATTGAGTGATAAATTATCTTTGCATGGAGATAAATGTTGAAAGTTGAGTGCAGGATCCATCCACATTTCATTTATATAGATATCCATCTTAAAATATCTGCTTTAAACAAGAAACACTAGTTAAATAAATTGTCTAAATTGTTTTTGTAGTCACATTATATTGACATTGCTCATGAACGATTTTTTTTTACTTTACTCATTAAAAAGATTAGTATAATCGAGTCAGTGCCTTAAATTGAAATGGTACTTTAATTTTTCTAATATTTTGCCAAAAAAAGTATCACAGATAAAGAGTTAAATTTCTGCGACAATCATTATTAACACTAGAAGGAACTTGATTGAAATTATATGGAAAATCTTGTAAAAACTAATTTTCTTAAAAAGCCATTTTTCAAAATAAAAAGATCATAGAAAGCTGAAATGAGACGAAGCGCTGCCGCATAAAAAGTGGTTGAATACGAATAATGCGTGAGGATTATTGCTTAGGATTATTTACTGATATAACAGATAATTTTAACTATAAAAATTTTAGCCGGCATATATAGAAAATTCAACTTCCCTATGGAAATTGAATAGTTTGTAACAAAAATTAGAGTTTTTAAAATACATTCGGTAATTTTACGTATAGATGCGATGTAAAGGATTTTTTCTGGTTTAGATTTCTTTAATCGAAATTAACTTTGAATTCTGCGTAAGATTTATAAAACTATATGGAGAGCTAAGTCATAGTAAGGTTACTGAAATTTCTTTAGGTAATTACTGAATGAAGCACACGTGAATCAATAAGAAGCTTAATAAGTTTTTAGCCAGACAAGCTTAAATTTTATTAATATGCCAACATGAAAAATGTAATTATTATTGCAACTAAAACAAATTAATTACCAACTTAGCAATTTAGAAGCAAAAACTTCGTTTAGCCAGTTTTTACTCGACGAATCTTACCAGTTTATAAAAATTTCAGAATTTTAATTTAAATTCATAACAGATCGAAAAATCGTGTTAAAAATATATATCCGTTTTGATGGCATATAATCATAAAAATAAGAAGCAAACTGACGATTATTACATAAAACTGAACTCATGGAACTTAGCACAGTTAAAAGCATAGCTGGTAAATGAACAGTCTTATAGAATTCGAGTAGGATGCATTTAACCTTTCAGTACAATTTTGAATAAGAAGAATGAACTTCAATTCCAAAAAAACGAATTTCTGCTTCAAACATTTCTATACTTGATATTTGATTGATAGGTTAAAATAGCTTTTTTTCTGCAATTTCTTTGGGAATCCATCAGTAACGAACTTTAATGTTAGTTTAAATGAATACGAAATATCACCATCCTTTAATACTGACTGTGATTCTTCTTTCAACACTACTCACCATTTCTGATTTGGTTCTACTGACAATTAAAGTACTGTTTTACCAGAAAGAAATATAAGAGGGATCTCTGCGTCTTCTATATGTGGGATAGATTTGGAAGCAACAGCCCACTTGACCATCCTATATCCTATTTGTTATAGTTGAGGAAACACTGTTTAAGAGGTTAATGAAACAAATTTTGCCAAGACAGAAAGTATTTGAAAACATTTTTCCAAAGTTGAAAAGAAAATTTTCTTCATGCATATTTTTTTGCTTTATTTAACCTTATTTTTCTTTCTTCTCGATTCATTTGCTATTTTAATTAAGCGAACATTTTTTAAAATAAATTTGTAGCTTTTTTATTGGTTCGAAGGTAATGAACCATTCATTTTTTGAGCGTATAGCTGCTAGTATTTTGCATCGACTAAGATGATAATATGTTCAATTCCTGATCTTGGCGAGAATAAACCTGTCATTAAAAATGAAATCCAAGTGGAATAGACCTTTACTTTTATTCCCGTATGACTCTTTGGAGAAAAGGGTTTCTCCTAACAGCTAAACAAAAAATATTGGGTGCTGTTAGAAGCTTTAAGCAACTGAAATTTCCAATAGTTTCCGCGAGCGAATCGAGTTATACATCTTTCATTAACAAAAATATTTAATAATAATGATCTTGCTGAATATGAATTTATGTCACTATATTTCAATTATTCAAATTTTTTAAATGGGGATTTTGAATTTTTTAAATTAGAAAAACGCTTCCTAATTCAATTGACACACCTGTTTAATCTTTAAGTCCCTTTTCAGGTTATTTAATAAAAAACTTCACAAAACCATTATTCGCCAAATTTTCATATTTATCACACTTTGAGTTAATTCATTATGCCATTTTGTGATTATTAAATTTGGTTTATATTTTTTATATAATGTTTGTTAATAAAATAAAGAGTGAATGGTGACACAATAAGAAAATACCTCGAAATCATTAGTAATTTCATCAATTGAGGTAATGGCTTGCAACCAAAATTCCACAGCTACATGAACACCAGTTTCATCTGCAAAAATATTTTTGATTTAGAACTATATAGCTGTACAATCTATCTTTTTTTATCAAGTTTTGATGCATTATCTGCCGTTCTTATCAGCTTTTTATTCTGAGTTTGTAAATGCAGAGTTGCTAAATTCCATTTCATATGCCACCTAAACTGATCTTTTTCAATATCCAAATTCAATTGGATTTAATATAAACATATAAAGCATTAAATACATTCAGGTAAAGCGCCGTTTAAAAAAAAGTCTTAACGAAAGTTTTATTTATAAGTTAGAACATGGTGCTCGTAATTCGTGTATTTTTTGCGAAATGTGGCCAGTCATAATTTACCAACAAAAAAATTTGGACAAATCACTTGCTGGTTCATTCATTCACCAATAACATTAGCGCAGCAACAAAAATTTGTTTGAGAATGACAGAATAATTGATGAGTTTTATTTGGGCTTAGGTACAAAAAACCAATTTGAAAAAAAATAAAAACTATCAAAATCGATGCTGGCGGATTTGCATATTTCACGAAAAAAACTCTTGACAAGCAGAATGATCAGCGATAATCAGTTGTCTCGAAAATATTCTCAAGCGATATAAAAAATGTTGCTTCATAAAAGCGAAAATTTAAATTTAAACGGAATTTGAATAAAAAAGAGTTCAATTTTTCACATTCTACGATGGGGAAACTTATTTATGTTAAATTGAAGTGATGGCTATATTTTTAGCATTTAATATTGAAGTGAAATGCTTATTGATATAGTTTATGCACCATTAGCAATCACTTTTAGAAATAAGTTATATTGATGACATTATTTAATATATTTAGTATGACATGAACGTATCCTCAGTCTACTTTAAATTTTTATAGAACTTCAGTTTTCTATTTTTATAAATAATGTTTTTTATTAATATTATGGTTACCAGCAGAAGCACAGTAATTTTCTACACAATAAAGCAAATAAAAATAAGTAAATAAATGAAAATAAATCTTATCAATCTGCAGAATTAAATAAATAGATTGAATTATTTGATTAATTATGTAAGAAAGTTAGTTACAATCATAGGAAGGGATTCAAGTTAGAAGGGATGCTTTTTAAGATTTGCTTCCTCAGTGTAGCATTCCATCACTGATCTGTCGATCTTTATTAAGAAATCTGGATTGATAAGGCTATACTCACTCACTGCTGATTTACCATTTATCTTCTTAAATCTACTTTTAAACCAGATTTGACACGCATTGTATCTTAAAATTTTTTTTAAGTTTTTTTTTGCTATTAGCAATCTTTATTATCTGCATTGTGACTTTTCTTACTGGGATTTTGCTGAAACGGCAGCGGATTGGTTGCGTTTTGTAAAGATAGGCTGACTTTGAGAATAAGCGTAACAAAAAAACTTGAAATTGAAAGCTTTAGGCCAAAATTAATTGCCAAAGTTTGTTACTCAAATGAGATTAAAAACTTTTTTAAGTCGTCAATGGATTTAGATTAACTGACCTATAAAAAAAACGGCGAAGCGATATCAAAATCGCGAAATGAGAGTAACAACCCATTGAGCCATTATTTTCCGTACATATTTATTTTTTTTTAAGAGCCCTCACCATTACTGGTTGGACTTGCTCCGCTGGCTTGTCGTATTAAACATATATGCCAGAGTCCCTTAACGACAAAAGTATGGATGAATCGCCAGTATCACAGGACATAATTAAGCTAAAGTCTTTGAGACAATTGAAGCAAAAATCTTGATATGGCGGATTTTCACTTCTGCATTGGTAATCTGACAAGCGGTATTTCAAATGGACAATTTATCTGAACGTTACCAACTTATAGCGCACTTTTAACTTGCTTTTCCGTCTATTTTTAAATTAATGGAAGCTTTTTGAATAAATGAAATATTAGGGCAGTGCTTTGTCAAGTTCTGATAATATAACATAATGCAATGCTTGAGATATATGTTTGGCAAACTTTCTATGGAAATTCCATTTTATGTCAGTACTAAAATGAATCAAGTTGAATTCAGATAATTGATTTAGTCATTCATCTATAGAAATGAAATCTCTCTGAGATAAACTCGACAATAAAATTTTCGTAAATGTCAATCAATGAATTTTTTCTTTTGTTATAGATTTATCGGATTGTTTTTGTAATAATTAAATAATAAAAAATAACTTCTCGCGCCACAAACTCTAAATCAAATGATCTACAAATGAGTAGAACCAAAGGAATTCAAATTTCAGGATGAAAATTTTATGACAAAATTATGCCGTTGATAAAATTTTAGCAGTATTCGTAGAGCTCCACAGCCGCGGCAAATGTCAAAACTTTTTTCCTGAACTAATCTTAAACAAATCTATCATGATTGCAATATGGTTTCAAGCCTTGTAGTAAAGCAAACCTGCAAACCTTACATCCGTTGTAGTCGAAACAACAAGAACTTCATTGGAAATGAATAAAAAAAGCAATCTAACCAGGTAGACGAAATTTACTGTACCCTGTTCCGATAAGAAGCTTGTCAATAACTGCTGTGTCTGACGTACAATTTTTAGCCGAAACAGGTCGTTTATGTTTGCTCTGAACCTGGTCATTCTCCCAAACCATACTTATTGAATGACCATTTCCTTTTCCACCGTCAATGTATTCATCGTAATATTGTTGTTCGTGAACATTCGTTGAGCAAATTAAGACGATATATAAAATATGAAGAATGATAGACAGTGGTCGTAGATTCATTCGTTGCTTTGAAATAATTTATCGCAAGGTAAGGTTGAAGATCCAACTGACTATCATCAGAACCTTGCTCCGCCTTTTCAATTTTAACCTTATAAATGTGGTAAATCACTTTTTTCAGTTATCTCATAGACTTTAGCTTAATTAATATACAGTACAGCGGGATAATGGCTCAGTGGGTTGTTACTCTCATTTCAGAGAGCCGATCTTTTGGTCCGGAAGGAGTAAGCCAGTTGTTCAAAAACCGAAGAGTGGTGCTGGAGTGGTGAAGAGTGGTGCCGAAGAATGAAGAGTGGAGAAGTGACTCCCTGCATCTTAAGCGACCTCCGCTAATCAAAATTTGTCTGGGCGGACAACCCAGCGGAGCGAGTTTAACCAGAAATGAGCGCTTTTAGGAAAAAAATTTAATATACATAAAATAATAGTTTTGCAGTAATAGTTGTTCTTTAATTAATCAAGTTACCAATTAAAGAAAAGGTTTTGAAGTAAACGAACTTAAATTTTATATCAAATTTATTTATTATTCATTATTTAAAAAAGTGGCCATTTTTGCCTTTGTTGGAAGTGCAGGCAATCAATGTAATTAAATATTTATAATTTCTTCCGAAAATGACTTATTCAAAATGTAAACGATCAATTATTTAAACGTCAAACATATCTATTCACTTACTCTTTTTCATTTTTTTGGAATTTAATAACCGGATGAATTGGTTGCTGTGAACCTGCTGGACCAGCTGCATGAATCATCTAGCGAATACCTAAGGAACATTTTTCTCAGCTGATGAAAGTTTTTATGCTGATGTTAAATCTACCGACTCGCATGAAGGAATTTGTAGGAGAAATTTTCTTTTATAACCGCTATATGACGAATCGGACGAATTCAAATCGCTAAATTTTATATTTTATTTTAATTCATGATTTACATTGGAACTTCTTGCGATAATCTGGTGAGTTTTCATTTTCATTTCATAAATCACACTCACAAATTTAAAAGTTAGTTCTTCCTTGAAGCGCCTTACCTTGGGCCAAATTTGTGAATTTTTTTCTTTTCTGATAATGTAAATTAAGAACAGTATGATTAATGCAATTTTCAATTATAAAAGAGGGCATCGAATATGGTATAAAATCATTAAAAATAAATAATGGATATATTGTTATTATTTATTATTGAAAGTTAAGTGAACTGCTGAGGGAACGCAAACTGCTCATTGAAACGAGGCTCAACAATTTTATTATTAGTTTAAATTTGCAAAAAATAAAATAAAATAGAAAAGAACAGCAGAATAGAATTATTTTTAAAAATTTTGAAATTTATGGTCACTTATTATCATCATAAAAGAAAAAGGCCTTAGGGCAATAGGTTTTTCTCGATTTTTCCCGACATTTTATATGCACTTGATATGCGATAAATTATCACAGTAACATTTCTGAGAACTGCGAATAGTGCTATTTAGTGTATGAAATATTTTTCCGAGATATTAATCCCGTCTGTAGTTTAGCAAACGACCTTGGAAACGTTTAGATATTTCAGTAGAGTGGATAAAGCCGTTTGCAAGATATCATTACCATCTTAATTATATTATATAACAATTAGATAAACAATTACATAGCAATAATAAAGTATAAAATATGCGATAAGAAGGCATCACAGCTAAAATGATTAATCAAAAAGCAACCGGCAGGAGATGAAAAAAAAAGTAAAGAAACTGCAAAAAACTTATGAATAATTTGAGATGCAAAAAAAAACGATGAAAATTGTCAAATAAGACTCAAGAAAAATGCAAACGAGGACCTATTAATTCGCAAAAGTAGAAAAAACAAAACCATGTAAAATTATGATAAAATATGATAAAATATCGATTATGCAAAACTTTTTTCTCTTATGCAAAAAGAAAATAAATTTTCTCTTTTAAGTAAAATCTCTCACAAAATTTGGAAAAGAAACTTTAAATACAAAAAAAATCAGCAAAACTTATCATCACTTTAAACTTCGTAACAGGCAATGAAATTCTAAGCACTGGTCACTCGATAAGTGTGCTCCCTGATATATGGTGCTTGAGGTGATGGCCGTACTGGCGGAACATTGTATTTTTCCAAAAGCGGAGGCCCTGCTTCAGGACGGAAATGTGAGTTCGAACTGAAGAAGATAGGTATATCAATGGGTCCTCTGAAATATTAAGCGTGGAGCCAGAACTATTAGTTATTTGAGCAAATTAAATTTGCAAAAGCTTATAAGAAATGAAGCGATAAAAGAAAAGCAAAAAAGGAAAAAAACTGTCAATTTTAATATCCACTTAGCTAAAATCCACTTAAGCTACTCGCTATGATTAGTTGCGCCGATGTTTAATTGTATGGTACAAAACAAAAAAAAGAAAATTTTTCTAACCTAGAAACACTTCTAAGCTGGCACAAGTCGACAATTTTAAATTATTAAACCGCAAACAGCAAATAAGCAATAATTCTATAATTCTATAGCCTGGGTTAGCAATAATAAGTACAAGCCATTAGCCAAATTAAATTATTTTTCATAATCCTTGAACCTCATCAAAAAAGAGATGTGCCAGTAAGAATTATTTATAATAAAAAGCCCGATAAAGTAGGTCTAAATAGAAAAAAAAAGGACAAAGCAGCATTAAGAGAAATAAATGATAAAGAACAGAATGATCAACGTATATGTCAATAAGTGCTTATCGATATGTAGTGTGTAGGATGTGAATTCGCTAATAAGAAAATATTAGATAGTAGGGATCGGAGCATTTTCAAATTTTTGTTGTTCCGAAGTGCACTTGAGATGTGCAAATTAGAAATAATTGAAAAAAAAAATTTTTCATTGGTGACTGGTATGAAATTATAGAGTTTAAAAACAGTTATGCAGATTCAAAAACCTATAAAATCAATTAATTTACTTTGGAAAACTGGTCAAAGCCATTAAAAATGTGACGATATAATAGGCTATAATAAAGTTACCTAGATCCGGAATATCGACCAGTGAAAAACTTGTAAGTGGTTAGAAGTGCCATTAAAAAGGCAAATATCCAACAAATTGTGCCCATTAAGTGCAAGTAGAAAGCGTAACCAATTCTTTGCTGAAATTTTGGATTAAAACTGAATAAAAGAATGGAAAATAAAGGTAAATGATAATTCCAATAACTAAAATCGTCATAAATTTATAAGCTTAAGAGAACTGAAAATAGACTAACCAGATTAACATAGTCCTTTTTCCAGGTCTTGTCACTTTTACTAATTTCGTTTAATATGAATATGATCTCTTCTTATGAGAATGGCAGAAAGGAATAAGCAAAGTATTATGGATTAAATTAATAAAGCAGCTGTATTCAGTTACCTCATAAGTTCCAACCATTCCTTGTACAAAACGGTTATCAACTCTATTCGCTGCTAAGAAAAATATTCCATCGGCAATCAAAGACGACAACACTGAAACATATGAAGATTAGATGCCATTTAGATATAAAAAATTTAAACTTAAACTTCTTCTCCTACAAGCAATACGTGGATTTTATGGATTCCTTATTGCGTAAAGGATAAAGAATTTCGAGAAATCGATTTTTTCTTGGCCTTTATGGTTTTTTATGATTGGTTCTCAAAAATATTCAAGTTTTTATGAAAACATAGATTCTTTCATTGTTTCCATTATCCAGTAGCATAAATTTATTGAAATAAAAAAATTTTTTGGTTGCAACAAAAAAGCAATTCAGACGACGATTCATGATTCGGAATCCCAACATATATCAGGTCATAAAAAAAGAATATAAACTAACAAGCCAAAAAAAGTGATATGGCGAATGCGAACGTAGCTGGACGAAAACATATTATGCATATACCTGTGCATAATGATATGAATGCCAGAAATTGTGAAAATAATATAAAAAATAGAACTGCTTTATGCCATGCTGAAAACAATTATCCTAATCTATATGTTGTCTGATAGAATCTTTTTAAAAGTCTGAAAATGGCAACATTACCTAAATTTATTAAATTTATTTTATTAACAGTATTTTATGAGGCTAATTTCTCAGCAACTTGACGACCGATGAAGTTCTAACTGGGCAAACTTAGCAAAATGCTTTAACTGAATAATAATCGTAGATAAATGAATGAGAGCAAACCCCAAAATCGGTGGTGCTCCGATTCTCCAGCGGCACCGTCTTCATCAATGTTGTTCAACGTATTTTCGATAACAAGCTCAGCACTTCGATCGAATTTATACATGCAGTGCAGTGGTTCTTCATCGTAAAATTCACCGACTGATACAACATGTTTTTCAGCTCGAATACAATCCCACCATAATCCATGCTGCATTTTATCAAATTTATTATCTTATTTTTTGAATTTTAAGCACTAATGAATATTGCGTCGAATCTCTTAATCGATACAAGTTGCAAATTCTGCTGATAAATGATAACTGATTTCTTTAATGAGCCAATGAATCGCTACGTAATACATTAATTTTCTGACGCCAAAAAAGTAATAAGGCAAAATTAGTTAAGTGAAAATTTAAATAATTTAAATTTGATCTAATTTAGTAAAATGTTCAATTTAATGAACTATGCAAGTAGGCACTGAAAGTAGCAATAGAAAATATATATACACACTCGTTTGTGTAAGAAGCTTCAAGCTTCAATTCAACTATTCCAACTGCAAAAAATTTCTACTAGTCCATCTTTTTTCAATTATCAATATACGTCTCATACTGAGAGATGTGTTGAAAAAAATCCCAGCAAATAAAAGAAAAATAAGAATTAATTTTATCGGTTTTTTAGATAAGTAAGGCAGAAGACGAACGACCGATCCAACAAAAGAGAAGAAAGGTAGTCAGCAAAAAAATTACTAATTGAGCTGAGTTTTAAAAAATGCTGGCAGCTAACAAATGCCCCTTTTCTTTACAAAATCCAATAAAAGTGACAGTCCACAAAAATAGCAGTGAAAGCTTTTAAAATTAGTTTTTTCAAGTCCGAAAAGGGCAATACCTTGGTTTAATAATTCGGAGTAATCGCCGCAGCGGAACTCTTCTGGTCTCTATAGAGCCATAACTCATTTTTAGCCGACTTCACCATGAAAGGAATTGATATCATCATTGGAAATGGACTGGAAATGGCGTATATAGAGAATAAAGAATTACCTGATGTTCAGCTCGAAATTCTCGAATATCGACAACTTGCCAAGCAGGTGAGAATACTCCAGCTCCAGTCAGCACTAGACCGGCTAGTATAAGGATTATGCAAAACGCAAGAAGCGTTTTCTGTGCCGCAGTGGACGGCATCAGAAATTTTCACGAGAACTGGACGAGTCTTATTTTGAATTCTTCGCTAAACTTTTGAGAAATCGCTATAGATTAAATATTCTACAATTCTTTATCTGAAATAGACCATTTAAAAATGAATTATTACAAATCTTTTTTTCTAATTCGAAGATAACGCAAAAGCAGGCAAAATCCAAAAGAACCACGACAATGGATATCGAAAGAACAAGTAAGAAAAGTATCAACATTGGCAATGCATGGACCTGCAAGATTTACGAGGATTTGCTACTTACAAGGAGATTACGATTTCTTTAGCAGGCAAGTTTATTTCCAAAAAAATATATGAACTTCATGCTTGCTTCGAAGATCAAGCATATTTTAAATTTTAGGAAAAATTACAGGTTAAATATTATCAAATAAATAAATTAACTTTATTACCAGAATAATGATGACACTGCTGGTACCAATTTGACTAATTCATCAGCAATCGGCAAGTAAAAAGTGGTTAGTGTACTCACCATTTTCGGTTCGGTTCGGTTCGGTTTATCGAATATTTTGCCAGACAATCACTTGAGTAAAGAAACGCATGCGCAGCATCACTCAAATTTTTTAAATGAGCCTCATTTCCGTCAGCGACAAGAACGGAACCAAGATGCTTTAAATGATAATTTAAGCGATATATTCGGCCATAATGCTCCTCTATGGTTTGAAAAAGTACTTTGAAACTATCTAGGAATTTTAATTTCAAATAATTTCATTAGTTTCATTCATGGAAACTAATAAATGAAACGTCAAGGTCGAATTCAAAATTGCATGCTTGGACTTTGAAATGTAATTGTTGGCAATGATGAGGAAGAAGAAAGAGAGAAATAAATAATTAGAAATAAGAGTTAAGAAATCTGAGAACGTTACCGCATAAAAAAATACCGATTATGATGGTGCGAAATAAATTTCAAAAAGGTCGAAAGGATTTAAGTTTTATGAAGAACAATGATTATCAGTCAGCAAGGTTTTTTTCAAACTTTAAATGATCTTTCTTCGAGAAGTACCAATGAAAACCGAAATTTTTAACGGATTTATCTGCACATTGAAATGAAATATATTTGAAATCGCCTCGATGGCCTTTACAAAATCGTTGCGCTTAAGAATACGGTATTGAATAAAGTGATGACGCTTTTCACCCGTACCACAACTGGGAATATAAAAAAAACACCTCCTTTAACTAAAAATTCAATTTTAGTGATCCGATTTAGTAAAAAAATTCACTAAACAAGAAGTGAATCAGCACTGCGAGTTTGAAATATATTGATTCATATCTGTAGGGACCATACAGAAGTCCTTTAACCGGTTTTTAGGCAACAAACATTTCATTTCATTTGTGAATGGCATTCGCTTTTATACCATTTTAAAATTCATGAGGTTATGATTTTACAATCAAACTTTTCATCAGCACTCGTTATACGTAAATCGTACGATGATGATCCACTTAAGCGATAGTGCAAACGTGAACTCTGTTCATCGTTTTTATATAAGTGGTCAAGAATCTGTTGTTAAATATTCTGAAGAAAATCTCATAGCACATAGCACATAGCAGTTATGGCTTACAACGTAAAATATAAAGTAAGCCGCTGTTTACTCGGACAAATTATGTATCAATTTTTCTTTTTAACGGAATGCATTATTTAATAAATAGAGATAACGACAAGAAAAAACTAGAATTCAAGAAATAGCAGATAAAGACGAGTTTGTTGCATAAATTTAAAACGGGTTCGATAAACCCAATCTTTATCACATTTATGATGAATGAACGAGATTAAGACGAGTATGTTGCGAAACTTGCGAAACTAACAATGTCATTCTGGAACCACTACCTTTAATGCGGAAAAACCATGATTTCCGTCATGTGACTAATGATTTCGAATGCGAAGAAAGCTTTAGACAATCCTATAATAAAATAAGAGATTGGTGCTTAAGGTTTTTGGTTTAGGCTAGTGCTGGTTGATACTAGCGATAGAAATTTTTGTCATGGCATTACTTGCTGATGGTTTCCATATTCCAACCGGATTTCTTAATAGGTACAACAGCCGAATCCTTGCACAATATTCCAACACATCAGATTTCACCATATATTCTCAACTACTATTACTTTGCTCTTCCACCTAAACAGCTGATTTGTAGTGTAAAACGATGAGCGGAATTTTATCTATTTCCAATTTTGGCAGTTGATATCATTATAATATATATGGTGAAATCTGATTTTAAAAATGATTAAAAACTAAAAAAAGAAATTTCGAAAATTCGATAAAAAATCGTGAATTGAAATTAAAAAATTGTGATGAGATGATAGATTCGATAATAAAATTGAATATAGAGGAATTTCAAACCGATCGCCCTTGAAACCTGCCAGTCAACGATTTATTGTGGCTCACTTCATTACTCCCACTGCTTCACTGGACATCTTCCCTTATAAACAACGTCCTTCTACGTTTATTTGTCTCAAAAAATTAACTTTAAATTTTGAATTAAGCTTATGGTATATAAATTTCGAGTAGCCATTCAAGAGGTGGTGGACCTGTAATTCTATCTTCAAGTGATTCCATGCCTAACAGTCTCTTCGCAAATCTTCTAATCGCAAACAGACTTAGCCGAATCAAAGGCGAGTATTGTTAGAAGAAAGAAGAAAAAGCCTTGCGGAGAAAAAATTCTATGAAACCAAGAATTCATCGATATGTAAATTTTAGACTGTAAAAATCAAAAAACTAAACAAGAGAAAATTTAATTACGGTATGCATTAAGCAGCACATGTGTGCTGCCTCAGTTACTAAATTCAAAACTGCATCTGAGCTAAATGCCCTATTTAAATTCAAATTGTACCAAAAATCGACCTCTATAACAAAAAAAATTTGGTTGAAAATTTTTTCGAGCAATAAAATTTTAGAGGGAAAATTGCAATAAATCAATGCAATTCATGGTTACAGGCTTAGCGATTGAGTGTCAAGGTATTTGAATTGCTCACAAAGGCAAATGAGTGACCTGGAATTCATTATGAAATCGATAAATTAAAATTTGGATTAACTATTTTGTTGGAATTATTCCACCAACGTATCCATTAGAATTTATATATTTTCTTATCAAAAATTCATCAAATTTATCAAAAATTAAAACTAAAATTCTAAATTGGCTGAAGGTTATTGACTGTAGAACGGAGTAACAGTTTCTAACGATGGTTGGCGCTTGATACGTTAATGATCTGCTTCATACATATTACGTGATATGAGAGGAAGATAAATTATAAAAAGGACATAAAAGGGGAAATTTGATTATAAAGTCGATTAAACCAGCATCTTTGTTGATATTTTTATAGACACTGGACTAGATTATTTATAAATTAATAATTTCGTAGCGAATTCCGTTTTTCGAAACGGCAAAATTGGATTGCAGTAGCACCGCGAAATTTCCGGTTCGGATTTTTTTAGCTTAATTGACTGAAAATTTTGTTTTTCAACTGTATTTGTTCATCTCGAATTATTAATTGAAAAGATTTTTTTAAATTGAATTATTAATTGAAAAGAATTTTCGAATAAGCGACACATATTATGAAAAACGATAGAATGACGAAAAACGCAAATTTGACAAAAAGTATCAATAAAATTTTAAAAAAGCCAAAAGAAATACAACTATCGCTTTGCTTACCAATTTGGCCTACATTTTTAGTACAGTTAAGTAATTGTATCTTCGCTACCAAAAGTAGGTCATTTACTCACGAAAGTCATTTATTCATTTTCAGGAGAAAGCAACAAGGAAAGACTAAAGGCGATAACGTAATTTTTAATGATATCGTCGTAAAAATTCGTTGAAATTTGTGAAGAAATCGTTGCAAATAATAAAGACAATCTGAAAAATCGATGGCAGTAGTAATAAAAAATTTGCAACAAAAGATATAGAAATTTTTTCTTTATTATTATTGTATTTTTAACGTTGCCGATAGTTATTACTTTGTATTTAAACAAATATTTGTCGAATCCAAAAAATGAAAGCTGATGAAAACATTTGAGGCATTTAGATTCACTGTGATGAGCTGTCGTGAATTTGGCATAAAATAAAAAGTTTTAAGTGGTTTGAAATACAAATGGGATTAGAAAGGGCGAATCGTTAAGCGATAGCATTATACCTCAGGTAAGGAAGGAAATGTTTAAGTGATTCGTAGAGAAAATCTAAATATCCAGAAAAGACGAAAAAGTAGAAAGAGAACAAGGCTCATAAGCATTTACGATCAACAAGCTGAATTTTGCATCTACAAATACAAAATGTGTTTTAAATTACAAAATCATGATTTTAAAATCCGTAAACAGAGTAATGGCTATAAATAAACCAAAAATTCAAGCATTTGATTATATTCATACACGAGAAATAAAAGCCAGCGCAACACCTATTCCTAAAATGCCTTTCATCTTCACCAGATTCAGTGTAATTAGCGCTCACCATTTCTGGTTAGGCTCACTTCACTGGCTGTCAGTGCAAATTTTTACTAAATTAGTCACTTAGCGATAAAAATATACATATGAACCGTCAGCATCATCAGTATTCTTTAATGATAAGTTGAATCCTGTCTGAGGCATCAGTGCTGCCACTCGGCATGATAATCTGGGTTACTAACCACTCGGCTGTCTTGCTGTCTCAAAGTCGACCACAGCCTACAAATTTCAAATTATTTCTCCATTGACAAAATGTTTTTTGAAAAAAATTTTATTTTATAAATTAAAACATATTAAAATCTATCGCAACATTCACTTCTTTTATCATTTCAAAAAAATTCATGCAATTATCACATTTTTCATCAGTATTTTCTGATCAAAAATGCTGATTAACAGTGAAAATTTTTTCATTTTCCCATCCGTTTGAAAATCCGATTTCGCACAACCATTTCATCAACATTAAGGAAAATTGAACGAGAAAAATGCGCTAGGTTAAAATTAACATTTATATTATATCCAGTGAAATAACCATTGCAAATCAATTCGGATAAATGAATTGTAGGCTTGGAATTTGCCATAAAGGATTTGTCTTATATTCAACCAGATTAATGGAATTATTGATGCTGATCGCAGTCGTAAAAATACGCGCCATTTAAGATAGGAAAAACTGTCGCGATTTGTAGTGCAAAAGAAATTGAATTATTAATGATTGAATTAATGATTGAATTTTAGAATATTTTAATATTTATTATTTTTATCTTTATAAAAACAAGCTTTTTGATATTAGCGAAAGTCAACGAAATAAAAAGTCGAAAAAAACAAAAAGTTAGCGAATCGAATGAACACTGATTAAAATTCGAATAGCTCTATAAAAAAATTCATGTAACTTAAAGGAAGCAAACGGGAGGGTGCGAGAACGAGCCACAAGGTATAAAGTTATGTAATATATTGGAAGTAAAATGAGTCGCACTGAACTGAAAATCAATGAATGTTTGGCTCCATGGTTACGAGCTCCTTCAAATATTTCAAGTTGCTATTGTAATAAACAGCAAATTTTTCATGAATATCAATTAAAAAGTTGTTTCGGCAGTTCATTAACATCCCTCTCGCTGTCAGCGTTCTTACTAAAACCATTCCCAAAAAAAATTTTTTCAATTCATTCTCAGTTGACGAAGCCATCTTTCTTCCTATTTAGCTTTGACATCGTTGATTATTAAATCGAAATATCTTCGCATTCTACTATGCCAGAAAAAAGAAATGGTTTCTACTTTCTTGGCGATAGGTTATGGCAGATTGCACTCATTTTAGTATCTTCGTTTGAGAAAAATTGCAACGAGCTTAAGTGATTTAAAAGTTGACCGTATTTCACTGATAAAAAAGAAATCTGCAGAGCATAATACAATGTATTTGTTGGTACTAGCAGCGACAAACAAAAATCATTAGAAATTAGGCACGAAATACAATAAATAGTAAGTAAAAGAGTGGCTGGCGCTGAGCATTCCAGGACTGCTCCGCGAGCTGTTGATACGTTTGCAAAGAATGTCGACCGTTATGAAATATAAATGTAAACCTAGAATTCGCCAAGCCTTTCTCTACTGAAACTGCCACTGAAAATTAAAACACCCGCCGAGGTGCAGGCTTCAAACTTGTAGTCGGTTAGCGCCGAAGTGGTTCGATTCCACCTTGTGGGTCTGCTCCGCGAGCTGTTGATACATTTGCAAATTTTTTCTGATGATAGCTGAGTAGATAAAAGTGGAAATTATCATGCTGACATAGTTTACATTCTAAAAATGGATTCAGATTGCGACTTTAGTTGATATGAATAATGCGATAAAGTTTCTTTTTAGAACTAAAGCTAAACACAGACGATTACTGAAATATCGAAATACAGGCTTTTTTGTAATTCATAGATCCTTCGACTGTTTTCCAAACTGCTTATACGGAAATTCGCTTACTAATTCTCGTTCGACTTTTATCATTGACTTACCTATTGTACTTTGATAACGAATAGAAAAATCTTTATTTAAGTTGATTAATTAGAGTGGAAAGTAAGGGATTGTCGATTTGTTTTGGAATTTTTTATTATTTATATTTATAATATTGAAGGTAATTATTTCGAAAAGCAAATTGGTAAATCGCTTGGAACAAGATTTTTCATAAAAACTTCTGGCAAAGAGTCCAAGTATGCATAAATTCTCAATGAACAATAAGTTTCAATGGGAGGCTGTAACCAAAGACAGGAGAATAAAAAATCCGCGGTAAAAATAAAATCTGATTTTGCAGAGAAAAGAAAGAGTTAAATATAGAAGCACTGAAGGGTCGTGAAGGTTTTGGCGAATGATCCGTTTTATTAGCGCATTTTTAAATTAAAACTGTACTGAATTGATAAATAAACTTAAAAATAAGCATGTGAAAATCGCCGAGAAAACAATAAAACATCGCGGAAACAACTCAAGAAAACGACACTCCGACTAAAGTACCAATGTTCATGCGGCGCATCTAATATTCCTTCATCGTCCATCTCAATATTCTTTCCAACAAAAAAATTTCACTCCATTTACATTTGTCGAATTTGATGACATAATTCAGTTTTTGTCGCTTATTCGATTATGGAACTCCATTTCCAAATTGCATTTTACTCAAAGATACTTTTAAAAATGATAAAAATCGGTTTTAGTGAGTCAGAGTTGGTAAATTTCCTCAGTGTTCTCGTGATCTCAGCTCACCTCTCGGTTTCTGAGTTTTATTTTTTTGCTCGAGAAATTAACAAACATCGCCTAGTACACGAGTTCATCAAGCCAATGTCTTCCTGTCCTTCCTTTTTCTGAAGTTAAAATAAGTTTTTGAAATTCCCTTGTGTGGATTTGATGTATGAATATTCAATCGCCAATCTGTTAAAATTTAAGAGAAAATATTTTTTTTATTTATTAAACAAAGATAAATGCGAAATGTGATTCTACAGATGTTTGCATTTTTCAGCTATTCCATTCCTATCGATCTTCATCTAACCAAATGAATTTTGGGGAATATTTAATAAAATTGCTGTTTTTATTTGACATCAGATATTATATGCTAGCGATTCGTGATTCTTAAAGTCGGTCGGGGAGATGACCTGGTGGTCGATGGAAGTTTGAAAGAAACTATGGACTTCGATAGGGGCCTGATAGACAAATTGTTGTACATTCTCGTAAATTTCAAATTGATTAATGAAAAAAAAGAAATCTATCATATAGGTGAATTCAAGAACGGTACTGAGTAATTTCAAAGGAGATTTTAAAACTATTCATACAAAATAACAGTCTTAGCCATTATTTTAATAGTTACAAATAAATTTTAGTGTTTATAATACTGCAATATATCACAGACGCTTTCTAATTTTGCAATTTTCCTAAAAAAAGTGTAACGTCGAAAGATAAAAAAAAACTAGTTACATCCAGGTCACGAGTACCCAGAAATGCCTTATTTGCATACGAAACTTTCCTCGAATGAAAACCCCATAAAATTTTAAGATTTGAAGGTTCTTATCGATTCGGTGTGAAATCTTCAAGAATAACACAAATATTCCAATTGGATGGGGGAAAAGCATTTCTCCTGTTGATCTCTTTGTATTTCAAAAAGTGCACTTTTTAAAGAGGTGGAGAAAAAATGTTCCAAACGAAAACGAAAAACGTTTCCTTTGAACTGGGTAAATTTCATTTAGCACTGGAAATCTGCTAGCCTCATTGCTGAGTCGTTTCGATTCGTATTTTTATCATTTCATCACCACTTCTTTCTTTTGTGAATAATGGCCTTAATTATTTCTCATTTTTGTGCTCTTTGTAATCATCATGGCGACAAAAAAAAATGTAGCTGTATAAATATTAAAACCGCTCGAAAAATTACTACAAAATGTGATCCAGAAAAGAATTGCAATGAATTTCAACAAATCATCAATGACTACAGACCATATTTTTCTTCATAAATTTCTATATTTTTCAAAAGAAATTTAGTTCCAGTTCCAACAACAATTTAATAAAAATACTAAATCGAAAAGCGAATTGAAAAAAAAATTTCAAGGGAAACAAGTGCATGAAAATTAAAAGACATTTTCATAGGAATTACGCAAATTTCAAGAAATGCAACGAGCTCAATGTGAATTAAATCCGCTGCAGTTTTTTTTTTTTTCTTTGATTATAACTACAACTTGTATTTACAGTTTTTTTTGTTGGAATCCCATTTAAAGCAACAGCAGTGCGTGCTAAATTTATTGCTGGACTTAAGAACAAATATGAGAAATTCAAAATATATGAAAAATAACTGATTTAACCAAACCAATCAAAAAGCAAAGTGAAAAATAGTTAAGATATCATTTTTTATCGGAAAACAATCATACTCATTGAAATGTTTCTTCGATAACATCATAACTAATACTGAAGTCCTTCAGAAGCTTAAAAATCGATGTGTTTTTGAATGCATATCCGGGTGACAGAACTCCACCACTATAAAAAATTTTTAAACATCGTGAAATGAGATAGATTCTATCATGTTATGAGAAATTATGGATAACAGGGAAAGAAAAATGCAATTCGTCTTTTAAAATATGAAAAAAAATTGATACCCCTTGGGTAGCAAATCAAAATCTTTAATAATCACAGTAGAGGCAGCAATAACGCATGCAGATGTTGCTTGATATCCAGGATCGGGTCCGTTACAACGCAATATTACCTGAAATATTTCTTAAAGCTTGAAATACCTTAGCTACAGCCTTTGAAAAAAAACTATTTATATAGGATGAAAAATGAACAAATAGATTATCAACAACTAGCTCGCTGGATATCACCACTGATGATTAAAGTATAATGATATAATAAGGTAATATCTTCAGAATATACTTTCTTATGACGTCTGTTTTCACCGCCATCAACAGTGTCATCATGACGACATTCACCAAAAAACCAATAAGAAAATGTCGTTTCTTTAATCTGAATATTCAATTTGCTCTTGCAGTTTTTTATTTTCGCGCAAAAAATGTATGAAATTGATCCAAAGCTGAGAATACTGATTGAAAAATATATTAAAATATTTTTTAAAAATTGAACGAATAACAAAAATTGACGGTAAATCGTCCTGTAACAATTCCCTTTATTAAAAAATATCTAAAAAAAACTTGTTTAACTGTTGGTCCATCATCACTAAACATATTGAAAGAACAAAACTTTGGATTACGATAGATAAGCGTTTTTAATTTGTCGCATCGAAGAAATATATCCAAAAGAAAGAACCATAATAATAACAACAATGCATTTAACAAAGACTGTATTCCATAATAAGTATTTATTGTCACCTATAAGCCCTTATAAAATAATTATTAGATAAGATAGTCAGTCCTCTATATTTCCAATTTATTTATAAAGAAATAAAGGGGCAATTCAGAATCTAAAAATAAGAATATATAAACTCACAGGACGCTGCTTGTTACAAAAATAATCTGAATATTGCGTTCTCATCACAACACTTTTATCAGATCCTAAAAACGGTATGCACCAACTGTTGATATAATCATTGTAAAACATTCTGCCCCTATAAAATTTGATATACATATTAAAACATAATTCTATTTCACTTTCACCATGAAATGGACTTTGAACGGAATAAAGAATGTTCGACTTTCGATAGAATTTTTTACATAAAAAATTTAAATTATCATCTTCACCACAGAAATACCATTAAAATGTGGCCCTTTTACCTCAGTTAAAAAGTATATTAAAAAAGCAGAAAAAATAAAGGATTCTTTTCCGCTTACAAAATAAACATTTCATTTGAACTTTTCACTTCCAACTTTCTTTTTTGTTAAGATAAAATGACTGGACCAACAACGGTGTATTTATTATGAATGATAGGACTCGATTACATATCAAAGAAATTTCAAAAATGGGCCATGAAAGAAAAGAATTAAAAAAATAGAAACGATCATAAAATATCCATGAAAGCGAAATGCGTTTTTCAAATGGAAAGGGAAAAATGAACAAATTATTGTGATATAGCAAAGTGTTCAATTCCGTTTGAATCACCTCAACCTATTTCTTAAAAAAAGCCCATAGATATCCCGATGTAATAAAATATTATACAATAAAATATATTATGTAATAAAGATGTTCTTAAGTTCAAAATAATAAAAATAGAAAACTTAAAAAAAATTAAACGACAAATATGAAGAAACCGTTTTGGTGGTGGAAATTCATTTTTTGGCAGCTTCTCAGGCATTATTGCTCGACGAATTTTGCCTAGTTCATCAGTTCTTGCATTTGATAATCCCAAAATTAATGACCGATATGTGCCTCCATTTATAGAATAACCCTTAAATGTAGCTAGTAAATATATATTTTAATAACGAAATTAGGTTTTACCAGCCAAAGCGACCTATTTGAATGAAAGGGATAAACTGGCTCAGTGAGTTGTTACTCTCATTTCACGGAAGTATCTATTCCCGATGGCAGTGAACTAGTTGTTCAAAGATCCTGATGGCGAATCTCTTGCTTATTAACAGCCAAGACAATCCTAAAAATTCAATGAGCTTATTTAATAAACAAAAAAAAATTTTACCTCGGAACCAAAATTTATCTGCGTAAATGTCTCAATAAAATCCAAAGAACCATTAAAAATTTGTTTCATTTTGACAATACCTAGATCGCATATGATGCTATCCCAACCACATGCACCGACTATATATACTCCCTTTGCTTTTGCGTCTTCGTCATAAATCATTTGCATTTTTTCCAAAAACTATAAATGAAATATATGAATATATAAATATATAAATGAAATATATAAAAAAATAATTCGTAAAAAAAATAATACCGAAACAAATATAATGAATTTACAAATAAAAAAGCCTTAAAGTTAGCAAATAGCTTATAGCTTCACCATATTCATAAGAAATCTCTAGTATCAATGAGGACTGTCATAATCGCCTTGAAAAAAAAGGAAAAGTAGCATACGTAAGGTTCACCGCATATGTCCACATAATGCACGCTATTTCTGATTGCTGCCTTCACAACTTGCTCACCATATAGACGATACTGAATTTTTAAAATTAATAAAAATAATTCATAACGCAATAAATATTTTTTCATTGAATAAATAAATGATAATTACACTAAAATTTTGCGATAAACCATTCATCTCTAAATTTCCCAAGAAAGAAATCAATTAATACAACTTAGTAAAATTTAACTTGTGATAAAAATATTAAAGAATTTATTTAAGAGGAATTCTTCGAACCAGTTCACCGAAAATAAACATTTACTTAGTTGATCTTTTACAAATTTCAAACTAAATCAGTAAATCAGCGGACTTATCAAACATACTTTATCAAATATTCAATGAAAGCCAAATAAGAATCATATATTCAATAAAAATCGCCTGAAATACTCCTTGAAGGAAACAATCAAACTAAATCTGCGAATAAACTTTTCCAAAGAAAAAAATTACCGGACCAATGGCGTTAATAACAACTTTAGTATGCGAAAGCATTCGATCCAATGCTTCATCATCAAAGCAATCGGCTACAATAAATGGAAGAATTTTTCCAGATTTACCATCTGCAAAACAAACCATAAGAAGAAAAAATAAACTAATGATAACTAATGGCAAAAAATAATCTACTGAATGCATGGATCGTCTAGCGATATAAGTTTAGGTGGTGGGAAGCTCCAATTAATTCTAAGCGATATCGAGACGGGAGACTTGTGAATATCTTTTGTTGATAACCAGTGCAGTAAGCTAAAGCAGAGATAATGCGCACTGTTTTTTAGAATAAGAGTAATTCCAGTGGTTTAACAAAAAAAGAGAATCGATTTATGAAAAAAACCACCTTTGCTTTGGGCAAATTTATTGCGAACTTCCAAAAGTCGAAATTCATTTCGTCCAGCAATTGCTATATTCGCATTTTCATTATTTTTTAAAAAATTTTCAACGATATAACTGCCTGTAAATCCTGTAGCGCCATAAATAATTACATCGTACTTTTGCGTCATTTTTAACTAAAAAAGGAATGAATAAATCGCTGAAAAATTAAAGAAACGTCAGAAAGACGAAAAAATTCGGCTCGTCTTATTTAATTAGCGCATATCACTGACAAACACAAACCGACAATAAATGTTAAGAAACCAAAAATGAAAGAGAGTAGTAATCTGGAAAATTTTTAGAAAAATATTCTACTGGACAGTTTTAAATGAAATTTTAAAATTAAGAGAAAATATGAAATTCGATGCGACTGCAAAGAATTATTGGCGAAGAAATGGGAAAGTGACAAATTCGTCATTTGCGTGCGTCGCGGTAGTAATAAATTTTTTCAACTTAATTTCATGAGAAAATGCCAATTTTTCAAGGAATTTCATTTGTAATTCTCAAGAATTTTTTCTATTTCCAAAATTTTTTTCATTATTATTTTATTAAAGTTTTATTCATTTCTAAAGAAAACCCTCCAACGAACCCAAAAAACCCGCGGAGAAGTCAAAAGAACCCATAAAACCACCAAAATTTTCGACTATTTTTTCCGTAAATAAAATTTTAAAAATTAGATTAATTTCAAATGTTGCAGCTTCCTATTTAATTCTTCTACAACTCAAAATCCACGGTCATTAATAACTTTGAAAAATTGCATTTGAAGTTTTCCTTTCTTCTTGTTCGTCGATTTCGAACTGAAATGCTTTCGACCTTATAAATGTTCTTATAACGTTATTAAAGGCAAAAGCACGATTATGGGATCGAGTTATGCTGGCGACTCACAAAATTTCTTCAGCCCGACAAGCCAACAAACGAGTTCACCAGCAACATGAGCGCTGTTTGGAAAAGAAGAGGAGCAGCCTAAGTAACCTCTTAGGGGGACATTAAAGAGTAATCAATCCATTTTATAAAAAAATTCATAAAAAAGTTATAAAATTTTTTAATTATGTTAACGAGTTAATAATTATTCGTTTATATTATTCGCTCTTCTTTTTATTTATTTATCATTTATTTATATTTGTTTTTTTTTTATCTTTATTAAGAATAACAATAACGACAGTATAATAAACCTCATTACTCTTCTATCCATTAAATTTCATGGTCTCCGTGAAATTTGCATGTTTCTTGTTTTGACGTGAATAAATTTGTCAGAAAAGTTGAATCCGAATGGCTGCTGAGGATCCACCTGTTCTTCTTGTATCTCCAAGTGTCTTTATGATGAAAAAGTCTACTTAATACGATGTCCGCATCCTCTGATGCGCGTGGTACATGTGGCTACTAGCATAGTGATTCCTATGAGAGGTATGTAGACTTGACAAAATGATTTCTAAGCTTGAGAATGAAATAAAAGTTCCCAAGGTAACTGCTCATGACCTATTAATGAAAACGGCTGTCAGTTGGTTGAGGTCCCAACCACAGTAACATGAGACCAAGTTGCTCATGAACGTCGAGAGTTTGTCTTCATAAAGCAGACTCATTCAGTGAAATGATGTGGAATAGTAATAGTAAGTGTATCTGGGAGGTAAAATGGCTCAGTGGGCTTTTCGATTCCAATTCCGAGCGCTGATTCTGAAGTTCTATTTCCCGCAGGAATGAAAATCCCAAAAATCCGGGTTATGCTGGCGATTCACCCGTATTTCTATCGCCAAGGGAATCCCTGGCATATTTGTGTAGTGCGACAAACCAGTCTAACCAAAAATGGTGAGGGCTCTTAAAAAAAAGCATTTGTGCCTATCAAGACTATCAAAGGCTGCCTTATACGGTGGAGGAAACTCTTTGCGGCCAAACTTAACCACGGTGTCATGACATCTGTCATCCTTGGAAAAACTGAAATGTGTATTTATGTTTATAATTGCCGCTAACAGAACTCAAGGAAAACAGAACTCAGAAGGTCATTCAGAAAGCTCAAGGAATATCCGTCAGTAAAGTTCCTGATCTTTGGGCTAAAGTTTTCAAATGTTGTCCACAGTTCTTCACGATATTCCTTCAACAGACATGCTCTCTGAATGCAAGAAAGAACTAATGTGTTGACTAAAAATACTATTCCGAATCGCGAGTTGCTTCTGAATAGACCTATGGCAGTACGAGGGAGCATGATACTTGTACTCAATAATCTGGAGACCAAGACGCGAGTACGCACTGATACACTAAGGATTGCGTTGAAATTTCGCTTTAAGTGTCAATATTTAACTGTAGGATGAAATGGATTACGAACAGTTTTTGCTGAACACTCAAAGATGCACAAGACACTCCAGAGCGTTACATCACAAATCTTGGACAAACATTGATGGCGTAGTCCTTTCTGATGACAAATAGAATGAAAGAGAAGCTAGAAAGTGTATAGACAACTGCATCAAAAATGGGACCAATGTGAAAAAAGGCGGAAGTATTTTCGCCCCTTATACATGAGCTAATAAAATCTTTTTTTTACCAGTTCATCACTGGTTGAGGAAGTGGCAGATCTTAAATATCTTGGTTCCGCTTTATACAAATGTCCAAACCAACCATAGTCTGAATAACTAGAAATGCATCCTTCTTTCTTCTGGCGAAGCCTTTATGGAATCGCAAAATCATTTGGCTCCAGTGCGCATTATCCTGTTATATAGTTGCAAAACTTAAATCATCCACCTTTGAGCACTTATTTCCAAGGCTCATTTTACATATTCGCCGAGCAGATGAAATCCTACATGATCCATATTCCTCAGACATCGTCTGCATTCAGAATATAATCACAGCATCGCGTATGTTAGCTAGGCCATGTTCTCCGTCGCTCACACATTTATCACGATGGTGTCAAAATGTTGTCGAGACAAATCGAGACTCGGACTGATATAGTCAGAGGAGATTTTGAACGTATAGGCGGTCTGCGATATACCAGCTTATATGGTACAAAAATGAGTGGCTTCTTTTATTATCAGGCGTCGGATCGAACGGTTCGAAAGTGCTTTAAACTTGTGGCCAGCGAAGCCAGCCTAACAAATTATGCTGAGAGCTAATATTAGATGATGATGAATTAATTTATATTCTCCTTTTGATTCACTAAAAGTACACGGAGATACGATATAAAAATGAGGAAAATGAGGAAGAGAATTAAATGAGAGCAATTGGTGAAATCCGCAATATGAGTAAAGGGTTCTGATGTTGACTGACGTGCCGTCTTACCTAGGATTTCAAACGTTGAGCCAGCTCAATGAAACAGTACGAGTTTGTAGATTGCGCGGCTGCCTGGCACTTCTGCTTTCTATACGGTACAATGATCGTTTGTTCTTGACACAGTTATTGTTAACTACAAATAGGCTTAGCATAATCGAAATTAAAAGTTTCCCAAACTATGTTCCGCAAAATTTTCTATTTAAATTTTGCCACCACCTATTTACCTTTTGCTTTTTATTTAATGCTTCATTTTCGCGTAATCCTGCAAAATATATGAATAGTCTTAATGTTATACCTAAGGATTCGACTATCTAATATCGCATCCGAAATATCAAAGGAATTTGTGAATCAAAGACCGAGAAACATTGATCTGATTTTTGTTCTTTTCAAAAAATTAATTGTTACTATATTGTTGTATACAGGTGCATTATATATGTTGAAACTAATTCAAGCGAAGATAAATGATTCAGCCTAAGCCTCTCATAGGATTCAACAAACAAAAGAATCATTACTAGAATCCTTTATTAAAAAGCTTCCGAGTGGTTCCGAGGTTTCGCCCGCGCTCCTTGCATTCCCGTTAATTACTCAGAAATCCGTTAACATTAATTAGCATATTTGATCAGTAAATGCGACTAAGCTCATTTCTTTCTTTAAGTTGTTTTTACGAATTTATAGTGCCTGAATCGATAAAGCGGTTAGAATAGAACTTTAAATCTAAATTTTAGGAGAAATTAAGGAAAAGAATTTTGGAAGTAAAAAACAACTTCGCCCTTTATAATTACCCTTTATAATCAGAAAATTTATTCAGTGGCCACAAAAAAGGCGACATTCCGCTTGTCGGACTAAAAAGATTAAATTTTCTGTCCTCCAAAAAATAATAAAAATTCGATTCGGAACGAACACTTTTGTCGCGAAATGCAATTTTTCGCTAAAGAACAAACCAATTCAGCCCGTTTTTTTAAAAGAATTCCCTCTGAATTTCTTCATAAAATTAATTCTAATTCATATTTAAAAAGGAGGAACTTTGACAAAGAACTTTTTATTAAAATCTTCGTAAAACATGTTTCATTATCGTTTCAGATTTTTAGAAATCCATCATTAATTTTTTTCGAAAAAAAAGCAATCGAAGAATTGTTCTCTCTAATCAATTCATTTGATTGCTTCATGTTGTACTGCTTTTTCCAAGAATTTATTTTTATTAAAACGAAAAACGAATAAACTTCAAACTAAAGGATTTTGGAAAAAATCCTCAATGCATAAAAAATAAATGAAATAATAACGGCTCCACAAAAACATTCAGTTAATTGAGAGTGTGCGTGCTAATGACAGAAACAGAAATCTACATACGGATAAATTAAACAAATAAGCTACAATACTATGGAGGTCAACGAAAGGTCAATTACATATGAAAATGAACAACACAAAATTTGCGACAATATAGATGTGCAAGTGAGACGAAAGTAAAACGTTAAAAATGCAATGTCAGTGAAAATCACAATAACGCTAACACCTAAACAAAGAAAAAATGAGCCTTAAAATTACTTTAAAACTGTCTAGCATCATCACTCACAGCAATATGAATAAGAAAAAGCAAAAAAGGCCGTAAGCATTTACCAGTTTAACCTAATTTCCCAACAATACAATTATTTATAACGAGATGAAAGACATTATCATACTTTTTATTGCTCGAAACAACCTTGGAAAACCTGTTTTTCAAAACCAATCCCCACTCGAGAATTCTTTTAGAACTTTCGGAACCTTAATTTCAGCAAACCTTTAAAAATTTTTGATGCAATGAATAATTGAAAAAAAACTTGACAATGCCGATCTCTTGATTTACAACCGCCAAACAATTCAAAATGAATCAAAAAAAATAGAAACCCGATAAAACCTTGTATTTCTAAAAAAAACGAAGGAACACAACAATTTATAGAGTTGAAAATTCCACTGTCACTAACGGCTGCCGTTACGAATTAAATGGCACAGCCATTTCATTAATATAACTACTTATAATAATGAATAAACGCTAAAACTCATTTGATAGTTAAAATCATTAGTACAAAATTAGAACAGAAAAACAAAAAGAAAAACAGAAAACAGTAAATTTCAGAGATTCATATACAATTTCCCTTGTATTTTTAGAAATTTTCATCCAATTTTACAATGCTTTTATATATAAAAGGCAGTTCAATATTTCTCAACACAAAAAAAATAAAGCTTTACAATAAAGGTTACTTTACCATATTAAATATGAAAAACATTTTGTATCGATATTTCCACCTTCGGATCACATCAGAAGAACTTCATGTTTCGTTCTCACCATCTAAGAGTTCCACTATATTATTCTAAACAACTAGCTACTTATATTTTTCATCGCTAATGGATTGCCACTAAATCATCAATTACAAAATTATATAGGTTGCATAAATTACGAAACAAATTTTATGTTCAAGTAAAATGAACAATATAATACAGAAATAATGTTAATAAAAGATAAAAAAAAAAACGAGCAGGTGAGGCACGAGATACAGCGCTTATAACATTAATAGTGTAGTGAAAGAATAATCCCGTCTATGCATCGAGTTTCATTAAAACACAAAACAAATTATATTATATACATATATTATATATATAAACAATTTTTCAGAATCATTTCCCTTTTCTCCTACGAGATAAATTTCAATTAACCAAATTTTCGTCTAGATTTAATTTTTTAACCTGAATTGAAATCATACTACAAGCGTTTTTTCTGAGCTATGAAGAAAAGAATATATACCTAAAATAATCCTGTTCACAAGGAACATAAAAGATAGATAAAAAAAAAAAGCAAATAAATTCGTTGAAATACAAGCAACCAAAACCAATGAATAAAATGATATGCACTTCAGTTTTCTGACTAGCTGAGTTTAGACAACCAATGAAAAACGAAAGATACTACTACGTTGGAATAATATAAATAATTAGATGAAACGCCACAAGCTCTGAATTTCAATTTCAATTTCAATTTCAAATATAAGAAATTTCACTTCAAATTATTCTAAATTTGTTACTTTTTGGCATCGATATAGTAGAAAAAACTTACAAAAAACTATCAAAAATTAAATATTCCCTTTGAAATCATATCCAAAAAAATATTTCTTCCCATGACTGCCCAAAAATGTAGTAAAACAATTTATGAATAACTGCACTATTGACGAAGTAGGTTAAAAATTATCATACCACGGCAATGATAGTGAAACAAATGATGCCTTGACAAATTCAAGTTTAAATGATAAATAAAAAAAGGAACGATGACAATCAACCCCATAACTACTCTACTTTCTTTTGATTCTTCACCCAGTACTTACTTTATTTACAAAACATATCTGCGCAAGGACAAAGAAAAAAAGGCAGAGAAGAAAAAACAGACAAATTTTTTGAAATTTTTCAAAAAGAAATTTTGAATTCAATTCATTCTATAAATTTGCTGACATTGTGACAGGAAAGAACTTTTCCTCATGGAAATATAGATATCTAATAATTTGGGCAAAGCAGATACGTTAAACTAAATAAAGCAGGATGGATGGATGATGTAAAACAAAATTTACGCAGTTGATAAAATGACTCGGTTATTGACCGATGGAAGGCCAAATAGATTGATTATATCAAACTGCGATAAATTACAATCTACCAACGGATTGTAATTATTTTCCTCCCATTTACGCCACATATCGATATACTCCTCTACATAATCGTTTTCACTCGTTTTTCGGCACAAAGCGTCATTGCCTGAAATGTTTGTCGCATTCGATGGTAGAGGGAACGCTGCACAAGATGACGATATTTCTTTCGATGTCGTCGTTTCATTGGAGGGCTTTATAGCACATTGTACATACTCCAAGAAAATACTATTGTCTGCATTGAGATCCTATAAAATATAATATCTGTCAACCGAATTGGATGGAACTGTCATCATCACAGAATTTAAAATAAGAAGAGCTAATTCAATAATTGCATCAATTTGCACTTAATTTGCACCAACAACATTAGGCTTTTTTCTCCATTCTTTTATTTGTAACCGACTCCCGAATAAATTTCAATAATTTTTATTCCAACAATTTTTTTCATCATATGCAATTAATTACCTCCAATTAGCAACATTTAAATATATTTTATTCTATCATAAATGAAAGGAAAATAATTAAAATGGCTTAATTTAGATATAAATTTGAAAAATGATTTTATTTGTAAACAAAATTAAATATTTGAAAAAGAAATTACCCAAGAAACGTTGCTGAAAGATATATTTAAACCATACTTGAAAAGTATCATTTGTAGCTGAAAAAACGGACTGGCCGTCAGACCACGGCCAGTTGAGATAATTGAAGCGACCAGATGTATTGATCGCATAATTGTTGTTACCTTGCTGAACGTAACATTCCCCTGACTGCCACAAACTTTTTATTTCCTTCTTTTCCCGCTCTTCGTTTTCTTGATCCTCCTTATCAATATACACAGCCAGTGCCGTACTTTCCTCTCTCAGACTATCATAAACATCAACGTCACAAAGATCAATTTCTCGCTGCAAACTTCTTTGATTTTTTCAGTAAAATTATCATAAATAAAATTATGTACCCAGTTCTTCGTTTTATCTTTAAACCAATTTATTTATCTTCCTTCAATAATAGTCGAATCAAATTATTCATCTCAACACCTCTCACACAACCAGATGATCTGCAGTATTTTCCATATTCAAGAAATTAAGAAAATATCAAAAATATCTAATATTATTCAAACAAATCTGAAACCTGTAATCGTTTCATCATATTGATGATAAGAACCGATTTTCTAAGCGAAGTAGAGACATTTGATGCACTTATCGTCTGAATTTTAGAGGTCGAAAGTTTCAGCACTTTTCGTCGAAGATTTTCATCTGTAATTCTTTTCGCTTCATTCACTCTGAAATTCAAACTATTTACCTCTCGATTTGAACGACAGGTTTTTTTTCTTAGTCAAGTTAATTTTCTACGTAACAAAAATTTTAAAAAATAACAACCTGTGAATGACGGAATAATTTTCTACCGAGGTTGTGGAAGGACGCTCTGAATAATCATCCTCTTCTTCTGAATCAATCTCCATTTGTTTATAACTAAAAGAACACAAAATCGCTCTGAAATTTCAAGGAAAAGAAGTGCATTTTAATCCACCTGTATCCTTTATTACAACAGTTTTATGAAATTTCAACAGTTTTATCTGAACTGCTCGTTATTTTCAATTCTCACCTTTATAATTTCATGTCTGATTTGATCTTAACAATTATAAATAATTTTTCAAATTTTTCTTTATTTCTTTCGTATTGAGTATACTAAATAAAAAGAAAGAAAAAGTCACTATCTGTAATGCTGGATGTTCTCATACTTTTCAATATGTATCAGGTGCTTTTGTGCATTTTCATTTCAATAAATAAATATTTAAAATGATGTAAAAATAACGTTACTCTTACCTTGCATCCAAAAAAAAACTTACATCTGTCGATGGTCTTTGCCGGTCACAAATGAATAGAAACCCTTGTAAAACGGCAGTTTATATGCCGAAATATTACCGAATTCGAATTTCGATTCATTCACAGACTCATGCAGATTATAGCAGTTGGTATAATTATTATTACTGAGATCCACTGAGTCAAAATGACCCGTGATTGGTAATGTTTCTCGCATTTCTTGAGCTAATGGGATGGTTAATGAAGAAGATGATGAACATCTTGGGAATGTATACAGCAAAACCATTATTGAGCAATTTAATTAGTACAGTATTTCTAAAATAAATTCTTTAAAAACATTAAAAGAGCGAAATTTTTAAATTTCCGAAAAAATAAATTGAATGATTCAAAAAAATGAAAAGGTAAAAAAGAACAACCGGAACTAAACCATATAATCTTAAAATGATTCTAATTTGATCTGCCTTATCAAATAATATTCACCAGACAACTTCTTGCTTTAACAGAACTTACCATTTCTGACACACAACTTTAGTGATCACTGGTAAAGGGAAACTTTTCTACACTTAGGGATTAAACTTGATGCAGACTGCTAAATTCATCAATTTTGACTTTAAAATATAGTCTTACGGAATTCCACTCTACTAAAAATGCAGAAAACTTATTTGTGCAAAAATCAATAAGTTTCTGTTCTTTTAGTTTTTCTAATACTTTGTCATATTTTTATTTTAATGATTATTTACATAAACAAAAAATTCTTGCAAATTTTGCTTTAAGCAGAAACTTTTTCCACCTAACCGAGCAATGCAACTGCAATAGCGCTAAAACACACAAAGAAAACTAGAGAAGAAAATAAAGCAGGAACGATCTTCACGAAATTTCGATAAAAAATAAGAGATGTGGAAAATCAGACAAAAAGATATTTCTCCATCCCGTTCGGCTTCTATGAAAATTTTTCAGCTCGGCACGAAAACAAACAAATTCGCCGGCGTTTCATAATCCCTTACAAATTTTTGCTAAAATTTGATAGTATAACCATGTTGAGGGGGAAAAACATGTGTATAAAGGTAAATTGTTTAGGAAAAACATCCGAAAGCATTAAAATAAATTATTTTAAGTAATTCAAAAAATCGAAAGTAAAAAACTACTCCAAAAAATTATATAAAATTATAAAAAAAATTAAATGCACGACCGACACTGCACGACGAAATTATTCTCACATTATCTCACATGCAAATACGTGGAAGGCGAGAAAAATCGTAGAGAGGATTAAAAAATAGTGAGAGGCGTTGACGTGCGATGGCGACATGAGGTCTACGTGGCGATAAACAGTATCAAATGATCACTAAGTCATCAGACAAAAAAAAATTCGAAAACTGAGATTTAACTGAACAATAATAAAAAATTTCATTGTTTTACTATCGATTTTGATGCAATCGAATACGATAACAGTCGCTTCGTTTTGTGCTTGAGAAATGATTAAAATGAGACATGAATCGCTATTTTTACTATTATCACTATTTCGTAAAGTATAGGTGATTAGCGTGGTCGTTAATCACTGATGGTTAGGTCTGCTGCGCCATCTGCTAGTAAAATTAGAAAATTTTGCCAGGTGGTCAGTTGGCGACAGAACAGAAGAGTCATCAAAAAGCCGGATTTTCTAATTACAGGTTTACTCCTGTTAATGCTCTTACATTTAGTTCTTTTTTCTTCTAATATCACTCGCCATTTGGCTTTCTATCAGCTGTAAAGATATGGTTTTTGAGGAAACTCGAGGATGGCAGACGTGCTTCGCTTCTATGAGTTAACTCGCGTTGGCGGCTGAGAATCGAATCCGCGAAGCTCACTCCTCGAAAAGCAAAATACTATTCAAACCATGCGGCCAATATTCCAAGCTTTCATAAGTTATAATTTTTTCCAAAACAATTTGTGAAAACGTTGTGCAGTAGTAAACAAAAGACATAAATCAAAAATCGCGAGACTTCTATTAAGCAAAGAGATAATATCGTTGAATATCGCTGACATTCACTACTCATTTCATCGTATCCGCTGCGTATTTTCAAATCGCGCTGCTAAATTCTCCACTGTTATGCCAGTCAGTGCGATAAGTAATACGTAAGTGGACAGCGATCACCACCTCTGGTTCGGCTCATTTCGTTGGCTGTTGTTAGGACAATTTTTTGCCAGGGAATCTCTCTTGGCGACAGAATTGGGTCAGCATGCATCAAGCGAATTTTTTTAATGACTGGTTTACTCGTTTCCTCACATTCGAAAACAGGACCACTGACTCTCAACACGATAATCTCAGCCATTATCTATTCGGTCACCCTGTCCTCTGATAAGGTGATAAGAAAAGAGGAAGTAAATATTTTGATAGAACGTAAAAGAGAATATTTCCATACATTTCTAATCCAATTTTTAATAAATTTAAATAAAATAGCATATAAATTCTTTCAATAAACAACCACCAACCACTCTACAACTTTGTTTATAACGAATGGATTGTTGAGACAACGTGTAATAATGATTGGATGTGACGATAAATGATGTTATCGAAATGAAATGCCACGCCTTTGCAAAGGAAATAATTTTAGTCGATTTGTTGGTACCACAGACTTTCTGGTCTGAAAATTAAGCACTGCTGACTGGGGTAAGCATAACGCCTTCGAATTCTTCTCACCGATGCTATTAAAAGTGAAATCCGGATGGTGTCTACCTGTAACTCTCATCCTATCAATCTTTAAAGAAAGGTTTTTTTAGTAATCAATGAAACCATGGAAATGGTGTATGCTGCTGGAATATGTATATGTTACAAGCTTAATTTCCATCGTAGACATTTTAAAGATAGGAATTTAAGAATTTAAGGATTTTTTACTTAACAGGTTTTCATTTAAAAATCTACGTATATTTTCCAACGAAGAGTTTCGACGCACCAATCGCTGTCGTATGAATCCGTTGTTCCCAGAGCAATTCATAGCTTCAACGACATTCACAAAGGGATCAATAGCTTTCACTAAACTCAATTATTTTTAACAAGACTTATTCCTTTTTTAAGCTCATGTCATTGTTGGTCTAAATGGTTGGTTTCGCTGGCGCCTAGGTAGAGTTTCTAAGCCTCCGATGCTATGCCTGAAAGTAACTGAAGCTATTCCTTTTTCTACCATCTAATCCCATCTATCGCTGGATCGATTTAAATCTTTAAAAACTTTTTTCTGACCATGAAGGTCGATGACCTGATTGGTTCTTCTCGTTTTTTACAACATCCTTCATAGAGCTTAGCATACAGTGGAGACGATATCAGTTCTTGGACACAAAGAATATAGCCAAACCAGCACACGAGACGCTTTATAACTACAATGTTAATGCATAAAGTATCCATCTTTTCATAAGATTTATAAGGCAAAATTTTCGACTGAAAATTTCACAGTGATTTTATTCCAGTTTTTTCGCTTTTCGTTTTTGATCATCGAAAATTGGTTACCCAAAAAAATAAGGGAAAGGAAGCAAATAAAATTTTCGTTTTTACGAAAAAAATCAAAATTTATTAATTTACTAATTATTTCCAACTTTCATACTTATTTATTTTAATTTCTATTGGAAATATAACTAATAAATTCGTCGCTGCAAATAATAATATTAGAAAGTAAGACTTGCTTACTTACTTACAATATACCACAGCACCATAAAGAATTTTAAAGCATTCTAAATGGATAAGCAAAGTTTAAGCATATGCATTCAGCAGTTAAGCAAAACAATCAGCTGCACAAAGCGCACGAATTGTGCCCCATGAAGCAACACTGCATTATTTTGCAATAGAATAGTTCGTATTTAGACTTACCGAAAAAATTGCCACTATTTCAGTTATTAACTTGATTCAAACGATCATATGACCATTTTACAAAAAAAAGTGTAAAACGAAACAACATAACAAGAGACACCAAAAATCGTACATTAAACGACACAATATAACGTGCAATTAGTGTAGTGAAGTATTGCACTCTTCCCTTGCACACAAAAAAGCATAAAACTTCTAGGAATTGATTTTGATAAAAAATTGGAAGACTGATGATCAAAAGAGTAAATTAAAAGAATTTCAGCAGGAGAACACAAAAATAAAGAGAATCGAACGAGGCAAAATATGCTTTCTTATCAGCTCGTTATCAGTTCATTAGCAGCCAAACTTTTGGCATTTTAAAGTATTTATTGTCAATTGTTGTCATGGCAAAGAAAAATGATTGGTTAGTTAGATTATGTTGAACCAATGAATAAAGAATTAGATTTTTAACTGCCATTAGATATTTGTTCTGCTTCTTCAAACAGCATGTAGCATTACTAGGCAGATTCAGATGGCTAAAGCTGTAATTCATATTTCCAAAAAAGTAATAGCAAATCAGGCAATGTCATCAAACGACAACACATCTCTTCCATAATCTCTTCCTTTAAGAGGAGCTTCATTAAAAGCGGAACCACGCAAAATATGACAAACCATCATAATTTCCTAACTTTTTCTTCTTTAAGAACTGCAGTTTCAAGTCGCACTGCCAGCAAAATGAAGAAGAAAGGTATTTAAGGGTAGTTTAAGAGTTGTCGACTAAGTTGTTGCGCAGGTATGTAGCTAGCAATGTTCGCACTGCGAGTATCTGCAAACATCCCACATAATCTGCATTCTATAGATTTCTCAAATTCTCTTTCGTCCTGCGACATAATTTCGTATTAGTTTTTGACGGTTCCTTAATTTTTAATGAAGACAAAAACTTAATAAATTTATGAATAGATTAGGTTTATTCACCCTAAAAAAGAAATGAAAAGCCATAATTATTGCTATTGAAATTCAATAATTCGGAAATAAATTATCGGAAAAACATCAAGAAATTCTGCTAAATTTACTCGAAAAAATCGTCATCCGAGAATAAACTCACAGATTTCCAACAAAATTTCTACCTATATTTAATAATAATAATATTAAATAATAAATGATAATTACTTCTTATAATAATTACTTCTTCTTATAAGAGAATCGTAAAAGATTTGATTTTTAAAGTTTTACTTTAACAACGGAAACCAACGGAAATCGAACTCGAAGCAAAATTTCTCAAATTCGAGAAAACGAGGAAGTTTTCGCCGAAATTTCGAAATTTTTTGTTTCACCACAGTCCATCCCTGTCATTTGCATGAACAAATAATCATTTGAAAATCCGAGCGATGTGACGCAAGTTGAGTAAATTAAGTCAGATGACTTTCTAGCAAAATTATCTCAATCGAGTAACCAGCAAAGCCAGAAATTTTTACTACTTATTTAGCGCTTATTTTCATTATTAAAACTACTTTTTAATATTTAATTGACAATTAAACTTTTCTTTCATAATAAAATCTATACTTTTAAAATAAATTTGTAGTTTTTCGAGAATTTTTTTTATATTTTATGTTGAATCTCTGAAATTTTGAAATTTTGGAATGGGATTTTACATCCCATTTTGTCCGTTATTTATTATTCGTTATTTATTATTTTCCTCCCTTTTAGGCAGTTTTAAACGAGCAAAGATCGATTACTAAACCCAACATACCACAGCCTCAACGCCCCTATTAAACTGACCTTTAATCCTCACCGCTGCACCACAGTCAATTCCTCACAAGCCACTCACGGGATAGCTGAAAATCTTTAGATAACGATGCATAGTTCTATGTTCTTGAAGTCGAATTTGTCCCGCCCACTACCAAATCTGTATTGTATATTTCGCTACAAATTTTACTGGCCGCTGTTTTTAAAACTTTTTTCGTGAACGGTTGTTTTTCGAGTCTTTCATGGATAATTTTACATGCTTTTATCAATTTTTTAAAAAAATTGAGAATTAGAAAATTAGAAGCGAGAAAAATTCCTCAATTTTTGCATTTTTAAGTAAATATTAAAATAAATTAATTTAGAAATGTCAACAACGATGTTTGATTTGAGAATAACGTACAATACAAATCCATATCCTTATTACAAACGTTTTCCAAAAACAATGAAAGTTTCCGAATTGAAGGTTTTTCATTTTTTTATTTATAATTTCTTAACTTTTGCCCGTCGCTACCTTTCTCCTTCATCCTGAAAGCATTCGTCACGTTTGGATTGGCAGATTCGAGTCTTTAGCGAGTGTGGATTGTTGCTCTCACGTAGAGGCACTCCTGGCGGGGACAAACCTGCTTCGTCAAAATTTAGGTGGTGCATTCCACCCGTTCTTCTGTCGCCAACTCCCTGGTAGAGTTTATCTGGTTCGACGAGCCAGTGAAGCCAACCCAACCAGAAATGCTGAGCACTCTTAGAAAAGAAAATCGTTAGGATGAGGCTGCTTGGCGAGGCAGCCACTCAGGGATAAACTTGCTAATACATTATGATAGAACTGTGACGTTTAAGCCTTGTGAACTCAAGTAATAATCACGTATCTCAGTTACACAATGTTTATAACATAATTTTATAACATCTGCGGTCCATTTCACAATCTCCATACCATTTGCATGTAATTTTGCGATCTTTAATGCATATCAATTAGTAATTTATGAAAATATAGCGCCAAAAAATGTTTTTTGATTTCATGTTTTGGAACTTTGATTTTGAAGCATTTACGTGTCTAAAAATCTAAAAATCAAATGTGAGTAAAATTTTAGATTTTAGATTGGAAAAATTCCAAATCTATCCATGATCCTTTCTAAGCTGGTCGAACAAATCTCTTTTAGCTGTTTGGGGCTCTCTACTTTATCTGCTTGGTTCTTCCATTCTTCGCATATACCGGATATATTGGTGTCTTTTACTGGAAGCTTTTCCGCCATCTTCTTTCTCTTTATGTTCGAATTTCGGGCAAATCACTGTCCTCAGACTATCGTGCAGGTAGACTTTACGTTGAATTTCGTTGATACCACTGCTAACATGCACGGAAAGTTTACAGTTCTCTTTTGGAATTCTCTTATGGAATAGAATATTTCTTGTTTAAGTGCGGGTCATTGTTGCTGAAAACAGAAATTTCATGATTTTTCATGATTCTTATTTGTATGATTTTTGCACAGATATGTGTAGGCTTCAAGCGAAAAAACTCCAAAGCTTTAACAAAGAGTTGCAAATTGTGAAATGCAGATATTACGATGCTATGTGCGAGGTTTACGAATTGAGCTGCAAATTTATGAAATTATGTGACAAAGCTACTAGCGTAATGGCCAGGAAAGTCACCCAGATAAGAATGGTGGACTCAATTACAAGAAGCCAGTGGAGATAAATCGGTTAACTGAAAGAATATCTATAAATGGTCGTTTCGTTAATCTTGTAGAGAATAAGTGCGGTGAAAAATGTTCTAACGCTTAGTTCTATTAGCCATGTTCTCATCACTTACCACTGATTTTTATACTTGTTGGTTGTTCGATATAGCAAATCAAGCGGTATATCTTGCTGAATAATGGGCAAGAATCTTAACGATCATTCTACTGGTATTTTGTTTTGTTTTTGAAAATTTTTTCATTGGAAAGCTAACAAACTAACAGCTGAATGATTGAAAAAAGAGCTTTAACTTTTTTGAAAAATATGGTTTTATTGCTTTCCAGTTTTCTTACATCCAAACACATAAATATCAATGAAGGGAATTTTTTTCCAGGAAAAATTGCAACTAGTTGTTGGTATGTCAAAGGAACAAATGCATTTGGAATTACGAGATAAAAACAATGAATTTATTGCAATGTTGAACGATGATTGTGCTATACTTGAAAATATGGGAATTTGTGATGGTGGCTTCTTCTTTTTTAGAACTAGAATTAGAATTAATATGTTTTCCACTTTTATTTTGACTGATTGATATTGTTTAGGAAGTGCTATATGTCTGAGCAGTCATTCGGATTTCATTTTTAAATTTATCCTCGTTAGATGAATTAGATCCATATTTAATTACCCAATTATATTGGAAATTTTCGGTTTTTCTTCCAGCTATAAAAAACCAATTTTATCCTATAAGAATACTTCAAATTTCGTAAGAGAATTGATTTTGAATTGATTTTAAATTGATTTTTTGGATTTCTTTTAAATTGAGCAAGGAACAGGAATTAAGGTATGGTAATTCATGCAGTCAGTACGTTTGGAGAATCAAATTTATTAAACGATTCTTCAATGGTTGAAAAATATGAATTGCCTGACGCAGATTACGAAAAAAGAAGTGGTTAGTTTATGCAAAAAGAATTATAAGAATTTAAACACATTAAACACATTAAAAAATCTTAAAATTTATATAAATATATATATATATATTGTTAGGTCGAATGTAGAAAATGATTTTCGATTATTGATAATTTTTTTTAAAATTGCAAATTTTAAATCAGATTTTCAGTAATTTTTTGGTTTTTAGATAGCGTACGTGCGTGGATGCGACAGAAGGGTTTCAACAAATCCCATTCATCAAAAGAAATCGATAATGCTGAGTCGGTTAAACATTTCAAGGTAATTAGTGGTAGTTTTTGCCTCCAGTGGTATGCAAAAATGTTCAGTTTAACAATTTTTGTGAATATGGCTAATATTTAAAGCAAATAAGTTTTCATTTGGATCTGGCACTTATTACCAAACCATTCGATGTACATTATTGAATGGTATGAACGATGCCATAAATTATTCGAAAACGAACCATTGTTTTTTCGCACATTTTTCGTCCAACTACTCTGACTAATCTGTAATAATAAAAGGGAATAATTAATAAAGGAAATAAAAATTAAATCTATCCTACTGTAGAACCATAGGAAATGAAAATAAGAGGTTTTTTTTCTTCTCAATTAGAGAAATTCGATATTTTCTTCGTTCTCGTAAATTTTCTTTTGTGGCAGTGGTAAATAATTATTGACGCCGAAACTCATAAAAATTTTTAATAACTAATTAATAAATAGAAGTAATTATTAGTTAATTTATGATTTCTGGAAAAATCTTCAAAATGAAAAAATTTTTTTTTGCAAAGAGACTGGTTTGATCATAGGCAGTGGCTTCAAAGTTTCATATTAATTTAGATTGGTGATCGATGTAAAGTTATTTTACTATCACAACAAAAAAAGTTAGGAGAAATTTCTTACATCGGCTTAACTGATTTCAAACCAGGATATTGGATCGGTGTTACTTACGATGAACCTGTGGGAAAACATGATGGATGTGTCGCTGGCAAACGGTTTTCGTTTTCTATTATTCTGTTTTATTTTCTATTATTGTTTAGTCTTACCAATTTCCTACTTATTTTCAATGGTTCCTGGCATACGATTGGTAAGGTAGTAGCATGGACGTATGAGAGAGCAGAGAGGTTATAGGACTGAAAATAGATGCGAACTCGACTGTTGTGATAAAATAGTACTGTGGTGGAGAGTAAAGATGATGGGATGGGATTGCTATGGACGGAAATAATTCAGCGATGAAAAAGAGACGAAAGAAAATGGGGAAAAGAGAGAAGGAGGCGAAAAAATTCGGCTTCAAGTATGAGCACTTTGGCTGCATTGAACCAGAGTCAGAAAAAGGGGGAATGAATTTTTTTGAATTTTTTTCCATTTTTAGGTTGATTCTTTTATAATTATGATTAACCGTAATAATTTAAAATCTTCACCAAAAAGTAATTTTGATTATGGTTTGCAGTTATTTCTCGTGTGCCGATAAACACGGTGTATTCGTTCGACCACGCGATATTCAAGTTATTTCGTCGGAAAGTGAGGAGGAGAGTGGAGATGAAGCAATGGAAATCTAAATTTGGCTTAAGTAATACGGAGAGAATATTGCTGCCGATTTTTTTTTTATTTTCGATTTCAAAAGTTTTAAACAATTTTCTAAAATGAATATGTGAATATTTTTTTCGCTATTTTCATGCACAAGTCGTTCGATCTCTGTAAATCAGTGGTGAATTGCCACTAAACACTAACGCCGGTCTAGTGATGAATATAATGCTGTTTCATTTTCCTTTCATATTTCCTTGTACATTTTCATTCCTATTTGTATTACTTCGCTTTAAAAATAAAGAAATGGTAAAATAAAAAATATTTTAAACGCAAAGATTCTTTCAATATTGCACGTATAAAATTGAAAAGTTGGGAAAATTACTGATCATCACCTAATAAATTAAGTAAAAGAATAATTGCCGGTGAAAAATAAGAGGAAAAGGAGAACTGATAAAATTCATTATTCATAATAATTGTTGATTCATATTAATGAACACTAATAATTAATAAAATATTGGTAATTCATGTAGTGAAATCGGGTAGGTTTGTGCATAGGGAGCTGGAAGTTCCATAATCCTCGGGGATAATTGCTCGCTCGTATAGCGAACTTGTCACAAGCATTATCAGAGTTGGAAAATGATAATTTTTAAAGTACAATTACCAATTTAAATTAACATTTTTCCGAGGCAATCCAACTGCAAAATAGTAATTTTCGAATAAATTATGGCGGCAAAAATTTTTAAAAAATGGAGGTAATTAATTGGGCCAAACCATTTCGATTTAGTGAATATTTTACTCTTTCTTTGTCGAGTGGTTTATAAATTGTTTAAATTGGTGGATTTCTTTTTTTCTTCGGTGGCTCACCATTTCTGGCTGGGCTCAGTATAGTGGCTTGCCGGGCCTTTGCCTGTAAGTGGCTCACCATTTCTGGCTGGGCTCGGTGCATTGACTTCTCACTTGGCAATAGGAACATAGGTGAGCGGCCAGCAACATTCGTAATCAATAAATTATTCAATATTTAAAAAATATTTTCACAAATTTTTCGAAAATTTCGGCTTTTCGTTCAATATTTTTAAAAAAGATTTAATGATTTAAAGATTTTTAAAATAAATTTTTAAATTTATTTGCGTTATGAAATTTTAAAAAATGATTATTATGGAAATTAATGGGAAATAATGTTTTAAATTTTAATTTTTCGCAATTTTTTACAAAAGTAAGTAAAAGTAGTCAAAAGTGATCAACGCTCACCGTTCTCGGTAAGAATCGTTCGAAGTTTTTTGCTAGGGGGTCGAGTAAATTTTGTTTTTCAATGAAAGAAATGTAGTGTCCGATAGGGCGCCGATTCTTTGTTTTGGCCATGGTGCACCAAAAGCTTCGTCCCGATTTCTCTCCTCTCTTTTCTATCGTTCCGCTTACCTCCTCTCTGCGTTCTCTGCGTTCCGTATTTCCATTTGTTAACACTAATAAATGGTCTATGAATTTCATTTAATGCTTTTAAATTCTCAACTTTTCATGTTTTTTTGCGGGGAATATTATGAAAAAAGAATTGTCACCTGAAGCATTTGCAAATATACAAAAAGCACAGTCATTATGTTCAGAATTGCTTCGACTGTACATTCAGAATCTAACAATTGTTCAAAAAAAGGTTTTCTTTTGAGGTTTTATGGGTCAAAAAGTTGCAGAAAAATCAGTGGATGCTTGTTTGATAGGAAATATTTTGATGATGTTTTTTTATCAATTCAGCTATTTCAGTGTTTCGATGCAGCAAAAAATGTAGAAGTTGATGAAAAAAGCAGTTGGAAAAAGAAATTTAATACTCAGTTGATGGTATCAAAAGTTTTCATGACTGTGCTGGAGAAGCAAAAACCATATTTGTTTCTTGAAGTACGTCATTTTATTTTTTTCAAAATTTTCTGAACCGTTCTTTAGGTAATTTGCAATATAACTATTTTAAATAATGTAAGCTTTTTGCTTCTAATTTATCATATTTATGAAAATATCCATGGATTTCCTCTCTGGTTTTGGTCCTTATCGTTTTCTTCAAGTTTTCGACTTTATTTACTTTTTTTTTAAACCTTTAAGCCTTGAAAAAGTTTAAGCCTTTTTCCATTCTTTTTTTAAATATGGAAAATTATAGAAGGTTGTATTCATTTTTTGAAAAAGTCTCATTTGTATATTAAAATACATATTACTAAATGAATAGATAACAATTAAAAAATTTTCAGTTGAAAAACCTTTTCTGACTATAATTTATCATCTTTTGTTCTAATTCTTGTTTTTAATTTTATAAATTCTATGTATAACTTGCTGGTAACACGAAGATTTAAAAACTTTCATTCACAATGATTTTGTTTTGTTTTTAAAATTTATATAAGAGCTCGAAAAATTATAGAAAGCGTATTTTATTTGGTTGACTGAAATATGGCCTATTGTTCGGTCTTGTGACAGAAATGTTCAACTCAGCTGTATGGAAGTGGTCAAAGTAGTTGCAGGACACTTGTTGCTGTCTGGTGATGTTAGGCTTTTCCACAGTTTTTGCCTTTTTTTTTGAAAAATTCTTTCTAAAATTCGATTCAATATCAATCACTCAGTAAACTTTCCTAGAGATTCGTTTGCAGAGTGACATAAATGGTTTCAAAAAATTATTTTTGGACAAAAAATGATGATATTTAATCAGAGTAAAAACATTAATTCTTTGAATGAATTCGTCATTAACATTATTTAAATGAAAAATTGCAGTATCCAAAAGCAGTAGTTTGTTTACGACATATAGTTACACTGAATGAAGATGATCGAACTGGTAATTTGCTACTTTTGTTGTGGCTTTGCTATATGGGGGAATGGGAAGTTGTAAAGTATCAACTGAAGACACAGTTAAAGTTAAGTGAAAGCACGAGTAAACATTATTCATTAATAATCCAAGTGATAACTGAAGCAGTTGCTCTAAACATAGGGAATAATGAAGTTTGTTTTATTTATCTATTTTCAAAAATTCATATAGTTTTGCAAAATTCCATTTTTTTGCAACCTTTCTGTCGTTTATTTTCATTTATTCATCTTTCTATACTTATTTGGAAAAATGAGATTTAAGAATTCACGAATCAGTGAATCATGAATTTAAATTTATGTTAATTGTCTATATTTTTTGGAATTTTCATAGGAAAAGGAAAAAGCTGTAAAAACTTTGAAAAGCTATTGGGCTTCTCTTCATTCAGAAAAAACTTTTTATTGCTATCAGGCAAAAGCTTTAATCAAATATTCGTTGTTTATTGCTTCACATTTGCCAGAAGAAGATTGGAAAAAGGTTAAAATTATCCGTTCTCCTTTATCTTAATTTGATTTTTCAAATATCAAAAATAATGTTTGTTAGTTTTGATTCATTCAAGTTTTCAAGTTTTTTATAATATTATTCAAATTATTAATGAGAATACTTAAATTATCATTGCTTTTATTCATTTCAAGGAATTTCCAGGCATTGGATCCATTAAAATGTCTTGTTGCCGAATCCAATATTCTTTTTTCATTGACGAGAAGTCGTTATCGAGAATTTTGTTCTCTTGATCGAAACGTGGATATTAGTGATAAGCTGTTTAATCCAGATTTTTTCTGTAAGTTTTTGTTTTCTGTCAATTTTTTTACTTTAAAAACTCTGTAAATTTTTATTGTAAATTAAGCAGTCAATAATTATTCTCAAATTTGTGGCATATATTCTTTTTCTTTTTCGCTGAAATTTTCGCCTCATATTATTCAGTTAATATTTCCTTGTAGTGAATTTATGCTCGAGTATATCTGAGTATTTCGATATGCATCTTCTGTATTGTCGTCACCTTCTTGAAATAGGCATCCTTCGTGATTTTGAAGTCTTTGCGTTCAATTTATGGCAACATTCGCTGCGGTTCGGTATTTTCCCAAGGTTTGCATTTAATTTAATTTTTTTGATCGTTTTAAGATATGAGACATGTTAACGATTGGATTGGTTTTCAATATTATAATATATTTTAACCTACAATGGAAATACTGTAATATTGATGTAATAGGTTACAGTATTTAATCACTGGAACAAATTAAGAAGTAATTTTTGCTTCTATTGTGTCTGTCTTGTTTTAGGAATGAATTGAGTAAATTAATGCATAATCTCGACTCTCAAATATTTGATTCCATGTTGCTTTTGTCATTTTTTATTATTAATTTCTTTTGCTTCTTTTTTTTTAGTATCGAGATCATGGCTAAAGCTTTGCTTAATAATTTTTCAAATAAAATATTAAATCTACTCACAATTCTTTGATCTTTTTTTTCTTCATACGTTTTTTAGTACTTCTCAATCATCCTAAAAAGATCTCTTAAAAATTTCCAATTTCATTTGAAAATAAGTTTCATTTATTTTCTTTAAAGAGTTATTTCTATCGGAAATCTTCTTTTATCGAGTACTTTGATGGCAAAAAATACAAGTATTAATGCAAATAGTGTTCAAGAAGCGCTTGTTTCTTATTTGCATGTTAGTTTTTGATAATCAGTTTGATTTAATCTTTTTAATAAATCCTTTAATTCATCAAAATTATTGGCTTCTCAGTATTTGGTATTTTTTGTACATTTATTTGTAATACTGGAATATTTTTTTATAGCCAACTTCATGTTGTCGTGATTCAATTGCTGTTAAACTTAATGGAATTGAAAGGTCAGCGTTAATTTTTTTTCGGCTATTTTCGACTATATCCTTTAAATCGCCCTTCGAGATATTTCTGCGAGAATAAGATTCATATTTAGACGAACGGAAAGTGATGATGGCAAACTCATTACCATTAATTTTGTGGATGTGGAAAAATATCCTGCAAGTTGCAGTTGTTCCCTTTGTCAAACTCGTTCCACTAATTCTCAGTTTTCGCTTGATGTGGAATGTTCTGAATTTTTTCTGTCCAAATGCTCTTCGCTATCATGGCAGAAAGTTTTGGCAAGGTGTATACTTATTCGACGTTATATCAGTAGAATCTGAAGTGGAATCACAGAAAATGATGTTATTTGTTAAAATATTTGTTGATACAATAAGCTAGAAGTTGCAGATTAAAGTTGTTTTAATAGGAGGTGGGAATCGATCAAATGAAATGTAAGCGTATCCATGTCCCATAGATTAATCAATTTAAATTAAGCTGTTTTAACAAAAATATTCATAATATATTAATTTAAATAATGTTTACAGCAACCAAATTTTATTTTATTATTTCCGCTTTATGCAGAATCATTAAAAGCTGGACTTTGGAAATTCGAAATTTTGAGGATTTCGAAACCAAGAAAATTTATTTTAATTCATTTTGTAAAACGTCATCCTTAGATAGCTGATTTATGCTAGATTGTTATATTTCATATATTATCAGATTTCGTGAAGCAAGTTCAACTGTTTTTCAAATCATTCGAGAGCTAGCTAGAACCATGAACTTCTCTTTCAAAAATAAGGTTTCTTATATATTCCTACATCATTTTTTTTTTCGTAGGTACTGCTAGAATTTTACTCTTTATAAATTTTGCAAAGAATTCAAAGAAGAATTTTTTTCATTTGCTTCCGATACAGAAAAAATTTCAGGTAAAAGCAAGCAAGCCACTGCGAGATAGTTTTTTGTTTGTGGCTGTACGTTTCTTGTTGGAAAAAGCAATGCTAGAAAAAACGTGTATTCGTGATGAAATTTTGCAAAAAGCCTACAAAGTCCCTTTTTTTGTTGTGCAGTTTTTGTATCAGTTTTTATAAACTTTGTGTATTTCTCTGAAGCATCAGAATTTTTTTCATTAGGATTTTCAAAACAGAATTCAGATTTTCAGAATTTGGCCATTGTTTCGTAATGAAATTATTTATAATTGACATGAATTGAAGGTTTGCTGCCAAAGTCCTTTACAACATAGACAGTATTGGCTCCTTATTCGTCAAATTGCTCGTAAATCCATGCCAATAATAGATGGTCCTTGGATGAAAATTCCCGTCGAGCTTATTGCGGATCATAATGAATTGTCGGCTAAATTTAAAGCTTTGTTTGTGTTAATTATATAAGCGACTTTTTTTGTTCCGCATAGTTATTAATAAAATTTTTTTTTAGAACAGAAAAAGCTCGACGGTTATAAAATTGCTCATTTTTGTTAATATACTGTGGAACACTAATAGTTTTAATATTATATTTTTTCAATCTTCATTGTTGAATAATTTATTTATAGGTCAATAAAGTCACATCGTCGTCACGACTTAACTGATGCATACAATGAACTAATCCATATCGATAAAAATTGGTTTCAATCAGTTCAGTCCATTTATGCCTCTTATCAGAAAGATAATATAATTAGTATCACTGAAGCTAAAAGCGATTTTGATAAATTTGGCCATTTGTTTTATCGGTCAGTACTTCTTTATTCACATTATTGATATTGATATTTATTATTGATATTCATATTCATATTTATTTGTTCAAAATTACGTCTAAATAATTTCTAACTTATCTAATTTTTAATGAATTTTTTAAATCTGTATTCTAATCTAATATTTTTTTTTTTTTAAATTTTCGAAAAATTCGATATATCATCTATTCTAGTGAATGGCGATTCTTGATTTGTTCTTATCTAGCCCAAATTTATTTGTCGCTTAATTTCACCTCTTGGGATAGCGCATATTATTTCACTGAGGCGACATGTATCGCAACTCGTCAAATAATGCGATCTGCATCCGTCGATAACTCTTTAATCTGTTACAACAATACAGAAGATTTCATGGGAGCTGTAAAAAATATACCAAAAGGTTATTTTTATTACAGAAAGAATTTAAATGCATAATAAACTACGTGAAGTGCTAAAGCAGGTAAATTCGAAATAGAAAGTGGTGCTTTTTTTAAGATAAAGGAAAAATTCCTGTCGATGCCAGGGTTCTTATCTCGTAGCTCTCTCATTATATATACATATATATTTTTTAAAGTATCTTTTATTTTATGCATTGTATATTAACATAATACAGATTTTTTCTATAGTTTTCAGAATTAACAGTGGTGCTGCTTTTTCTCGATTATAATCGAATACTTTGGCTAATTCGTCTTCATTCCGACCGAAATCCATTAGTTATTCCAGTAGTCAAGATATCAGAAGTTATAATTTTGAAATGAAGTTGCACCATTTTTTAATTTATTGATTTAATTTTAATCTAAATATCAAAACATTTAATAGTTCCATTGTTGTATAATTATCATTACATGCAATTTTATTGTCAGTATTGCAGTTATAATTGTTATACAGGATAGTACTTTGCTCAATGATTTCTCGAAATTGTTGGAAGAGAACGAAGTTTCTGCGAAATTGTTTAAATGCACGGACGAAAATTTCTTCTGGCAGTGGCGACACAGATTGGACGAGAAGCTTAAGGCAGTTTCCGTGATTATTGTTATTTCCAGATGAGATTTTGTAGTTTAAATTTTGAGAACGATTTTTGGTATAGTAATGGTTTTAATTTATTTGTTCATCCTATTTTTTCGTTACCTTTAGGAAATTATCTGCGACGTTCAAAGTCAATGGTTTCGATACTTCGTTGCACTATTGCTTCCTTGTCAAAAACTGACCACTGAGGCTAGCAGTATAATAAATTTTATTTCAGATCAAGGGTTTTCTGAGGATTTCGCAACGGTTCACTTTTGTTATTACTTTGTTATTATTATATTATTTTTATTTTTGCTTCTTTACATTTGCTAATGATTTAATTCTTCACGTATTAGTTCGGTGAATTTGGTCTAAAAAAGGTTCAAAGAATGGAGAAAGTTCAGAGAAATGAATTTTTGAAGGTTATGGTCGAGAATTTATTTCGTTTGAATGAAAGAGATTGGCAGATGTTAGTAGAACAACTCGCAAGTCTCGAAAATATTTCCCAAAAGTCGCTTTCTGCAATTCTTCAGTCGTATGGGGTTTGGTACTCTGCTGGGAAACAGTCGCTTCTTTATGAGATGAAACAATATAGTGTTCTATCAGTTACTCCTGTACGTTAATTTTGATTTTTTACATTTATGTCGATAAAGATAACAAAAGCCATATGATTATTCAGGAATTGGCGCTATTTCCATTTGAATTAATGCCGGTTTTGGAAAGCTTCAGTGAAATATGCCGCATACCATCTCTCTACTTTATTACAGAACTACTGAAAAAATCAAAAGAGGTTTTTAAACTTTTCATTCTATTTTCTGTTTTTAGCCGATTGTTATATGAATGAAATTATTCATATTGGTTTTAAAATAAGCGGCAAAATTTATCAAAAATCATAAACTTTATACTTTCCTTTCACTTTATTCTTTTTTGAATATATTAAAATCTATTTTCGAATATATTGAATCTATTAAAATTCTTTCTTATTTTAATTCCTCGATTTTTTCGATTTTTAAAAATCTTACTTTTATTTAATTCGCAAGTCCAATTTTTTTCAGATTCCTTTTCATGCCGATGGAAAGAAAACATCATACTTATTAGATCCAGATGGTAATCTTCATGCAACTCGAAATCGTTTTTCAAGTTTACTGAAAAAGTGTGGTTGTTGGAAAGGTTCTATTGGTCAAGTACCTAATAAGAAAGATCTATTGCAGTTTATGGAAACATCTTGTTTTTTCTTGTAAATTATTCCATATTGGTTTGGTGAGACTATTTACATAAAACCATGATTTAGATGGTTGAATTTTTGATTTCATCTTTGGATTTCTTCTGGATTTTTTTTTATTTTCCCGCATATTTTTATAGTTACATGGGACATGGTAACGGTGCTCGATATTTTGGTCAAGATGGTGCTTTGCGTAATTCGTGTTGCCGTGCCGTGTCAATATTAATGGGTTGTTCAAGGTATATTCCATTATACAATTGATAATTTATCTATAATTTATTATTTGTTAGTACATATGTTTTTATAAAAAAGGCCACAAACTGAAATTATCAAAATAGCTGAAAATTTACCGTGTGGCTACTTCGTAATTTATTCTTTCTTTGTAAAACATTTTCTTTTTTTCCATATTTTCTATTCGCTATTGCGAGAAATATCTTTGTGCCGTCTTTTTAAAAACATGATTTAAAATAATTTTTGTAAATTTCATTAAAGTGCACGAATTCTTCATGAAGGTCAAGGTTTCGACGGACGAAGCTGTGTTTATGACTACCATATAGCGAAATGTCCTTGTCTTATTGGGTGTTTGTGGATGGTAATTTTTTTACAATAGAAAATTATTTTTGGAATATAATTGGCTAAATTTCTTTCTGTTGATCTGTTTACTATCAACTTCTTGATTGAATAGATTTTTTGATGAAATATCCTCAGGTGACTGATGGTGAAATCGACCGATTTTTTTGCTCGTTCCTGAAGCATTGTTTTGATATTGGACTTGACTCATCCAGTAGTGAGAAAAGGTTAAATTTTATTATTCATAAAGATACTTTCGACGAATCCACACATTAATTTTTAAAATGGCATAATGTATCTTTAAAGCAGTCTTTAATAAAATTTGTTTAAATTACAAAATTATTTTCAATGCTTCTGCTTTAACATTATGACAGGAAATGAATGCATGATACAGTTGATAATGAAATCTTACAGTTAGGCAGCGTCCAATTATATTTCTTTAATTCGAAATTGGTAATAATTCATCAGAAGAATCAGCCATTTAATTGGCTGATATGCTAATTTTTTATGTGGATATTTTCTGTACAGAGATTTTAAACATGTAGCCGGTTAGCGCCGAAGTGGTTCGATTCCACCTTGCGGGTGTCAGGGGCAACACGCTGGAGTCATGAGGAGGGAGAGATATGTTAATGAAGTGGGATTAAAAATGTAAAATTTGGAAGAAAAGAGAACTTCGCGCTTTGTTGATTCGGAGCAGCAACTTGATTGAAGAAAATTTCTTTAAGTCATCAATCAATACCAATATGAAAGTGTAAAACTTCAAATTTCATTACAGTTACAGATAAGACAATGCTTTACTATGTTTACTTCAATTTTAGCATTTCTAGGCCAACCCATCGTTTTATACTGGATGGTCTCGCATCAGCTCGTTATGCTTGCAAATTAAGATATTTGACTGGCGCTTCAGTGGTTGCTTATGGACTTCCAATTATCGCTCAAATTGCTGGAATATATGCTGGTAACAAAAATTTACCATAAATTTTTTTGCAGTGAGTAATATTTTTATAGTTTTTCATCATATATATTTATTAATAAATCGTGATGCACATATAGTGACTTTTATTACCAAAGACTTCAGTTTTGCTAAGATTTTAATAATCTCAGTGGTTTTGAGTGATTTTTTTCGTTATTCGTATGACGAATTTCGCAAAATTTAATAACAAAGAGCAAACCACTGAAAATGAGGATAAAAAAGGGAAAAATTGGAAAGAGCATTTAAGATTACTTGAAATTTGGTATAAGCAGCAAAAATAAATGCTAAAGAACAGTTTAATGGACGAATCGAAAAATAAACTAACGGAATACACTAGTGTGATACTATTACCCTTTGAAATACCCCAATTCCAATTGATAAGCAACGATGCATTTAACATCCATAGTAATATTCATTCAACTGTTACTTCCTTGTCAAAAACTGACCACTGAAGCTAGCATAAATTTTTTTTATTTTCTCTTGAGACTTATTTCTATTGAAAATCTTTTATTGTGTAACTTGATGGCAAAAATTGCAAGTGTTAGTGCAAGTGGTATTTTGGAAGCGCTTGCTTCATATTTGCATTGTTAATTTTTTAAATAAACCTTTTAATTCATCAAAATTGTTGATTTTTCAGTATTTGGTGTTCTTTCATACATCTGCAGCCAGGATAGAGGTGTCTGTTTTCTTAGCAGCACAAAAAATGCATAATACAGTTAAATACAATAATCGAACAAAGTAAAGAAAAATTTCATTTTTTGTACTTTCTACTATAAAATTTAAACATGGAGATAACACTGGAAGTCTGGGACCTAGTGACTGCATTACTAGTCTTTTGGAGTCTACAGATAAAGCATTTGCCCTGTTTAATGCTTACTTAATGCTCTACAAGGGTATGAAAAATCAAAAAATCCAAGAATTCCCGACACGGTCAGCCATTTCATATTTTAATTTTCTTTTTGTCTTAAACCAAATCGGATTAATTTTCGAAGAATTTTTGTTCCAACCATTTTTTGCTAGAAAAATTGGGTTTGCTAACGATACCTTCAAAAGTTGAAAATGTAATTTAGAGACTGTGTATTTATCATTCCTCAACAATAAAAGCAACAAAAAGGCAAGAAAAAGCTTTTCTGAAAAAATAGCAACAATTTAATATAGCAAATCAGTAGCATTACCTCAATATGAATAAAATGAAAAGTACAAAAAAATAAGAAATGAAGATGGTAAAACTAAAGCCAAATCAACAATTTTTTGAACATTAACATTATTTATTAAATTCATGAAAATGATAAAAAACGGATTCAAACGTTTTTCAATACAAATTCGGCGAACAGTTAATAGAAAATCTTAAAACAAAATCTTTAGAATAAAAAAGCAATACGATACAACAAAGCTAAATTAGAAAACAAGTAAAAAAAATTTTTTTTAAATGTGGATATATATTTGATAGCATAAAAGTACCCAAGATATTTGATTTTCAATGAAAAAAATGTATAAAATAAATGAAAAATAAAGTAAATAAAAAAAGAAAAGTTATATAAAACAACTAAAACAGAACTTCGCTGCTAAAAGACTTAAGAATTTTTAACTTAAATGGTTGAAAAATGATATATTTTCAATCCAATGCTGCATACATTTTTGCAAGCTCCGATGAAAAATGCTGTTTTAATTTGTTGCGTTTATTCTTTAAAGTTGGAGTAAGCTGATCGTTTTCAATCGAAAATAGGGTTGAAGATAGGTAGATGTCCTTCACCTATAATGAATTTAAAGGAATATTATAAGCAATTTTTGTAAAAAAGTAGAAGCAGAATTAAAAGTGCTGTTTAAAAAAAAATTTTTTTTGCTTTCCAAGCACACTGCTTCATAAAGAATTGACCAAAAATTCGAGAATTTAAAATACAAAAATACAAAATACAAAATACAAGATAAAATACAAAAAATTTTTTTTTCGATGAACCTGTTCAAAGGAACAAAGACCAGCCAGTTTGCCCATATTAGTCATCTCATTCAATATTGCAGCTTTAATATCACTCTTTTTACATAACTTTTCAAATGATGTCTCCTTAATATTTAACTCAGCAGCCAATTCCATAACTTCCTAAATTAAAAGCAAAAATTTTGATATTAATCCGTTTTTTTGATTTCTCGAATTAATATGTTTATGAAACATTTTAACAAATGGTAAGGAATTTAGCAAAAAGTAATTATTCTAGAAAGGTTCCAAAACTACCTCACGCTCGGGAACAACAATTGCAATAATGCAAGTCTTCAAACTCTCACCATAAACGAAAATTTGAGCGACATATTTTGCTCGAACATATATCGCTTCAATTTTTTCTGGAGCGATGTACTCACCCTAAAGACCATAATGATTTATCATATTATTTTTATATATTTCTTAAAGAAATTAATAAGAAGGTCCACCTTTTTTTAAATTTTTATAACATGGTTTTAAAAACTAAGGAAATAAACTGCTTATAATACCTGTGACAATTTAAATATATGCTTCTTGCGATCGATTATGCGCAAGGTTCCTTGAGTTGTCCACTTCCCAATATCGCCTGTATGAAGCCAACCATCTTCATCAATTGTTTCTTTAGTCAATTGCTTATTCTTGTAGTAGCCTTTGAATACATTAAAACCTTTGACGCAAATTTCGCCTGTCTGAAGTGTTTTATTGAACCAATTACTAAAATAGAAAGTTATCAAGTCGATGAGAATATGAAGTTTATTAGACATCATATTTCATAAAAATAAAAACATATATGTGGCTGAAGTGTAATTTAAAAAAAAAAAGTGAGGGAAGAAAAAATTACTGAATTATTTGCAAAATAGCCCAGCTCAGGCACATCTACCAATTTAATCATGTTACAAGGCACTGGTATACCTACATTACCAGTGCTACAATCTGCTTCAATACATAGAGTGCATTCCGCAACACATTCTGTTTGACCTGAAATGATTAAAATATAAATTTTAATCAGACCTGGTTAGACTTAACGAAAAAAAATCCAGTAAACTAAAATATACCATATCCTTCCAAAACAAGACACCCAATTACAGCTCGTGAAAATTCTAAAACTTCAGGAGCAACTGGAGCAGATCCAGTAACCATAAGTCTGATTCTCCCGCCCAATCCCTGTCGAATTTTTTTGAATACGATTTCATCGAGGAGAGTTGCTCTCATCACACCTCTTAAGCAGTTAAAATAATATATGCAAAAAAATTTACCCAATGTAATTCACAGTCTCTTTACCACAAGCCACATTTCTCAAAATATTTGGCCAAAATATGGCCCTTTGTATTATAAAGATAATGACAGGCTCGCAGGGCAAATAATAGTTGCTCTTTCCTTTTTTCAATATTCATTCCACGCACTTCAACAAATCACACTACAATAGTTGTTTAAAAAATTATTTTTAAATTCAAAAAAAACTAGCAGGAGCAAAATTAACCTTCGGACATCAAAGCATTTTATGGCGAGCGCAATGCTGAACAACGTTTTTTTAAGTAAAGACTTGTTAACCTCCGATAAAATCTGAAAAACAAAAAAAGGAGAGAAATTTAATATACCAGTGATAAAAAAGAAATTTTTTTCTTTAAAGGGAGCGATTATTTTTGCTCAAATATACAGTAACCGATTCTTCACGCTCCCTTTCTTAAAATTATTTTTATTCTAAAAAGCATCAATATGTCAATATTGAAGCAGCCACCTGATCCAAAATTGGCAAAAAACTGTCATTCCAAATAGCAAAAAGCTAAAATTTTTGTTGACCAATTCATCTGCAAAGCAGAACATGAAATAACTGAGGCTATAAATTTGGAATAACAATATACTTTGCTATAAATTCGATTCAGAACTCGAGGTACAAGTGGTACGACAGTCGGTTTCAATTCCTTGATATCTTCTATAAGATTTTTCACATCACCACTGTAATATCCAACTTTGAGCCCAAACATAAAAAATAATGTTTCTACAAGACGTTCGAACATATGAGCTAGAGGCAAAAAGCTTATCAAAACATCCTGTAATCGATCGATAATTTCAGATGTTTGCTTTAAATCAAAATTAAAGTAAATAAAAATTGCAAATGCAAATAAAAATTCTCGAGGATTCTTTCAAATTGTTATTTTTTCACATTTCTGCATAGATGAAAGTAAAAAGAACAGCAAAAAGAAAAACGTACACCGGGCTCGAAAGGGGCATTTTTCAAAAATGCTGCTGCTGTGGTACATGCAATAATGTTCCCATGACTCAGTACTACTCCTTTTGGACTCCCTGTAGTACCGGAAGTGTAGGCAATAGTGGCAATATCGTCCTCAGTTGGAAACTGAATTATAATGCATTAGATTCTCGTATCAAAGATGAAAATACTTAATACAGTTAAGTTTATATACTTATTATATTTACAGAATATTTGCTGTCAGATTTTATTCAAAAACTAACAATTAATAGCTTCTTCGAGTCTGGCGTGTTTTTATATAATCCCTCTGAATCTGATAACATTTCTTCCATCGAGAATATTTTTAAACCACGCATCTCCACTTCTCTACGAAATGAATTCGATATGCCATCAATAAGTATTAAATATCGCAGCGAGGGACATTTGGATTGACATTCAAGCATTACTGAAACTATATTTAAAAGTACTGATCAAAAAGAAAAGATCTGAAAAGAATAAAATGGAAAATTTCTACAAAATTGAAATTATTTCTATTATTTATTATTTTTCAACTTCTAGTCAGCATAAACTGAGTTTTTGGAAAAAATGTGCCAATCAGCTTCTTCAACTCTGGGCCATTTCGAAATTAAAACTATCGAAACATATTCATCTCATAATAATGACAAAATATGAGGACATGAGGTTAAGAAGAATTCTATATTCCAATGATCAATTAAATCCCGTGAAAATAAAATTCCAACCTTTTGCTTTAGTCTCGTTATCCAAAATAACTACTTCCAACTCAGTCTCATTGATAATGTATATACAAGCATCCCTTCCAAGAGTTTCATATAGCGGTACAATAATGTTATTATTATTATATGTTGCCTGCTCCCATATAATCCACTGTAATCAAATAATTAATCAGCGATAATTGACAAAAATTTACAAATTTAATCTTTAAAAATCCATATTTTAATCGTAATCATTTCAATTTTTTGATTGCCAAGAAAATTTTGGAAGAAATATGCGAAAACCACTCCTTCCCTTCGATTATTTTCATTGCACATTCGCAGCAAATATAAATTGACTTTTGAAATTTAACCAGCATTTAAAGAAAATTTTTCAACATTAAAAAACAGGTTCATTGGAAAGAATTATTATATTATTAGAAAACAAGAAAAATTTACCTTTAAACAAAAACAAGTATAAGAAAAATTCTTTTTTATACTCAAACTGTATACTGCGTATCTACAAGAAGTTCAAATTACCTCAGGCCGATTTTTTGCTAAAATGCCAATGAATGTTTTTTGACCAGACATTATACCAAGCTTTCTTAAACCAAAAGTGAGGACTTCGGACCGTCTAATCACCTGAAAAATTAAAAATTGCAAAAGATAAATTTATATTCACACATTACAATCTGTCAGGAATTTCCACATGAAAAATTAAAAAAGCCTAATAGTTTTCCAAAACTTTGTAAATCTGAAAAACCTCATCATAGGTGAGCCAGACGTACGGTGCTGTTCCATCAGGTTTAGCCCTGCGATAACCACACATCAAACCATCTTTCGATAACTGACGTCCGTGTCGAACCACATCGCTCATCGTTCTTACGGCATCATTTAAACGTGGCACAATTTTTCCATCTTTAAGATTGCTGGCAACCCTCGATCCATCCTAAAATTAAGAAAGTTAACCGTTCTTTATTTTCTTGAAATTTCCCACGCATGAATGCTTCTCTTTTTCCATTTTTTCAAAAAAGATTTCTCCTTAAATTTAATCATTCCGAATAAAAAAACATGAATAACAAAGCAATTCTTTCATTAGCAAGAAAACAGAAAAAAGAGAAAAGAAAGCCATGCAAATATACTTCTGTCGCTTGCAGTTTAAATGCAATGGCATAAAATTAGCAAATTTTCTAATAAAAAAAAACAAATACTATTAAAACATTTTTAAAACATTATTAAAACATTATTAAAACATTTTTATTATAGAATATTAAAACATTTAGAAAAAAACGATGTTAACCGATAGTATTTTGGTTTGTTGATTCAAATCGACAATTGCTTCCAATTTCGTCAATCCTTTACTCATATAATAATAACCAATAAGACCAACTGCTGCTGCAGTAGCAACTGTTACAGCATTCGGTACAGCAAAATTATCTACTGACATCAATTAATTTAAATCTAATCTAAAATCTATTAAATAAATTCATTATTATTAAAATATTACTTTTTTAAAAAAATTTGAAAATAATAAATCTTTAAAATAAAAGAAAACGATTCAATTAAATTCAATTAAAAATGGCGACTTATTAAATTTTAAATAAAATCAAAATAAATAATTTTCTTTGTTTTTATTTTTTCGTCATCAAATAACCAATTTAAGGGAATGAAAGGAATTTTACAAAGAATAAATTTCTAAAAAAAAGAATTCGTTATTGGAAAAAAGAGAGAAAATTTATTAATTTATGAATTACAATATGAAAAAAAAATTATAATCGAAAAAAGAAACGATGCTTCAATGCAACAAATTTAGAAGCAACGAGAAGCAGAAAAAGAAACGACCTAATTTATTTTCGAACCAACCCAATCACCGCATGTAAAACCATGGAGTCAAGCCGGGCCAAACCTCACCTCCTTTTAAGAAAGCAACCAAGTCAAAGTCCAATGAAGCCAAATTTCCAAATAAGATTTATTACCTATTAGCAATCGAAGCATTGCAGCACTAAATTTTTTTCGTACCTTTGAACTTGATCAATCCACAGTGGTTTGATTATAAAGATTTGGTTATTGCTAGTAATACTATTGCTAGTAATTAATATTTTCGACTACAAATGAAAACAAAGCGAGGTAAAAAGTCACCGATATTATTCCTAAGTCACCGATACTTTGCCGTTCGTCAAACCATCGTAAATTCGGTTCCTATGTCTTATGTGAGGACCTACGAGCATTTCTATTTTGTACTGGCTCTCTGACGAAGAGCTCTTCTCTTAATGGCCAGTGAAGCCAGCAAAACTAAAAATACTGATTGCTATTAGAACCACAGATCGAGATGATTATTGCTTTTCACCGACGAAATAATCCACAGCCAGTATACAGTACCTAGCGGTACTGACGCCACCCACCTATAATTCTATATTTCCAAGAAATTCTCTGACAGATAGATGATCAGTGATGTGAGTGCTGATGAGGTGAATATAAATTTGAATGTATAATGTATAAAACTGATAGATGGCAAATTTGACGCGAACATTTGACTATAGAAACAAGCATAAAGAAAGTGATAAATGATAAGGGAATCGAAATTGTTTTCAAATTATGGGTTTTCATCTTAAATAACGTAAATATTTCGAGCTATTTAAGGCAGCAGTGAAACTAAGAAATAGTAAATAATATATCCAATCCCTGTGGTGAACCGTGGAGACAGTCTAAAAAGCGCAGACGACGATAGGCGAAAATTCAAGCCTTTGGCTAATTTCTATTCAATCAAAATCCTTCTTTTCGTCATTTAATGAATTTTTGTAAACTTGATTTTATTTATATGATACATTAAAAAATTGTATTATTATAGCGTTCAAATTGTTTTTTATAAATATTTTTATTAAAATTGTTACTCCCTTTATCTTCAATTATATACATATATATATCGCTAATTTATAAGGCATGAAAAACGAAGAGAAACAATCAACTGCTGAGACGAGAGAGTTTTTAATATTATAGGCAAATCGTATATAATTTCAACAAATAAATGTTCCTTATGCACTTAGAAAGATCGCTATTTTCTTTTAATTATATTGTTATACATGGGAATATAACATTATAAACATTATTATATATTATAAAATATAATATTATTGTGTGTCTTCAGTAGAAGTAAACCTGTCATATCAAAAATCCGGGTGGCTGCAGGGATCCACTTGTAACTCTATCTCCGAGTAACTCTATGGTGAAAGGGACAGACGTTCTTGATACAGTTCGAGCGTAAAACGAACCCCAAGTTCATAAGTAAAATTTGATCACAAGCCAGAGCCATTCCTCGGAGCTTATCAAGGAGAAAGGCTCTTTACACTCGCGGCGAGGTATTAGCCGTTTCAGCGTGGAACATCAAAACACTTATGCACGTTGTAAGCCAAGCGATCATTGTCCACACCTTTTCTAAATATCGTGTGAATATAGCTTGCTTGTCGGAGGTCCGTCTTCCTCACTTCGGGCATCGAGTAATTTCTAATTCTAGCTCGGAGCAGAAGTGCTTGCTATATCAATGCAGTTCTTCAAATAACTTGGGAATGGTGTAGCGATTGTCATATTTGACAAGGTCCATTCCGCTTTGATTAAGTAGAAACCGGTAAATGACCGTACGGCATCCGTCTTAAAGGTAAGTTCTGCAATATCTCGGTCATCAGTGTCTATGCTCCAACTTTGTCTGCAGATGACCGCGATAAAGATAAGTTCTATGGGGAACATCAAATGTTAATGGTCTCTAACAAAATATGACATGGTCATAATAGGGGGAAAATGGAATGCGTGCGTAGGTCATAATGCCGCTGCGATTACCTCGACATCGGGATCAAGTTCGCCAATGGAGAATGCCTTTTTCGTTTTGCCGAACAGCATGAGCTTTTTGTTACTAATACATGGTTTCAGCACAGGAGAAAACATCTAGTCTCGTGAAACTCTCCGGATAACCAACACTTCAACCAGATTGATTATATTATATCTTAGTCAGTCGCCGTTAAAAGAATTCTGTGTAGATAGTCGTTCTCATCGCGGCGCTGAAACGCAAATATATGGGGAAGTGGTAGAATAATAAGACGGTGTTCGTAAAAGTTGTGTCCTTTCCTCTACAGTATTCAATTATGCGATGGACTGGATAATAGACACCGCTTGTCGGCACTCAAGATGTGTATAAATCAGTCCAGAACATTGTATCGCAGATCTTGAATATACTGATGATGTAGACCTTTTTGCTGACAGTTATGACGAAATGCAAATAATGCTAATAATGCTAATAATGTCAGCAAGAATTGGCCAGGGCCAGAATAAATAAAACAAATGAAATCTTCTAAAATAAAGCCTTTTCGTCTTATATACAAGAAGCTGATAAAATGCTTTTTTTATTAAACTCACTTCCGATTGAGGAAGTGTGCGATTTTAAATACCTAGGATCCACTCTAATAGTGAATGACCAGGAAAAAGACGACCCAGATAACGGAAAATTCATTCTTTCGCTTGACGAAAGCTTTATGGAAATCACCATAAAAACGAAAATCCGAATCTATATAGCCGTGATCCATTCGATCTTGCTATATGGTTCTGAGAAATGACCAATGAGAGTGGAGGATATTAAGAAGATAACAGCCTTTGACCATCCATGTCTAAGGTACATTTTACAAGTTCGCAGAGTGAATTAAATCGCATTCACCTTCGTTCAAACCATCTGTTTTAATAATGTCATTACAGAGCGTCGCCTTCGCTGGTAGGGCACATGCTTCGTCGCCCACCACAGCAGTTGACATGTATTTCGCTACGTGCTAAACCATGTGATGGATAACGTCAAAAGCGAGGTGGACCAATCAAGACCTGGACTGGTACTGTCAGAAAAGATTTTGAACGTATAGGTGGACCAGCAATATATGGACTTAGACGATGGAAAAAGGGATGGCTTACACTGCTGTCGAAGATGACAACAGATCACACAGCTTGGAAACATCTTACCCTTGTAGCCGTTGGAGCCAGCATAACCAGTAATAGTGAGAGCTGTTAGAAGGAGATTCACATGGGAATGTTTATTATTTCCAATTTATTGCTTGTGAAATAAATGAATTAGGCACTTTAATAAGAGAAACTTTTTGTACTGTTGATTTAATGCGAAGTCGATGTTCATAAATAGCGTTAGTGAAAGTTACAAGTCGTATGCAAATTACAAATCACATTTTGCGAAAATCAATCTGAACAAAATTAATCGCAAAGCCTCCATTTTCGAAGAAATCCTCGAAGAGCATAGAGGAAGAATATTGCGGACCATATATAACGTGCAGGCCGCACACTGCACTCGCTGATATAAATTAATTTCCACTTAACTGCATTTTTTTGAAAGATTAGATCCCTTTCTTTTTGCGATAGCTTAAATTTTTGTTCATTTTTCATTTGCATTTGTGCTTTTGCAGTTTTTTTAAATCATCCTTAGAACACCGTACTTTTCTTCCTATTTATTTCCACTATCAATCTTGAAATTCAATGAAGTGAATTTTCTGTGAACAGAGATAAATGTATTTTTCACTCTCATTAGAGATATGCATACAATTGCGACAAGTATCTGATTGAGCGAGTTCTAATTCTACTCGCCATTTCTATTTTGGCCGGCTCTAATGATTACCTGAGTAAGATACTTTCGCTAGAGAGTCATCTGAGGATAAAAGTGAAGGTAAGTCGCCAACACAACCAGCTATTTTAGCTGTTTAATGGGGCTAGAAAGAAATTCGCTATGTCGACACAACATATCGCCCTTCTCCCATTTTGTGCAAATCTGTGGGTTCATAGAATGAAAAGGTAATTAAATTTTTTTTTCTGAACAATAGCTCTAAAGCATGGCAGAAGAAAATTTCTTATGAAAAAAGAATGGAATATTATTCTCAGAATATTTTCAGAAATACGTCATCTTAACAATTATTTTCTGATTCATAACAAAATTTACTCCCAGTTCTAGGAAGTAAATTGCATACGCATTTCGACGAGTTTCTTTGTTTCTAATTTCAATCTTAATTTCATTTCGTGGTTTAACAAAAACATTTATTAATAATTCTTATAAATGAAATATAGGACGGGTGGAATACCAAAAAAAAATTTGGATAGGATAGCGATAAAAGATGAGAAATGGTCGAGGCATAAAAATTTCTAAAATTACTGGTGCAAATTCGTGGTGCTAATCGCTTTAGAAACGAAGTTTCATAAAATGGTGCGATCACGAAGGAATAATGTTAGAATAATTAAATACTTTTTATAACGGAATGAATCAATTTGAATACCCTTTTCGTTTCAAGTTTTAGAACAAAAGTCCAAAAAGTTCGGATTTGCTACTTTTGTTTGTTTTTAAGTTCACATTTCAATGGATGATGAATCCCAAATTGTTCAATTTGCTCAGCATGAAAATGATATCAACACTCTTTGGAAATACTGATATAAAAGTAGGCCAAACTTCAAATAACTTCAAATTACCTAATATATATATATATATATACAGATACTCAATCACCTAACAAGAACCTACAACGATGACACTGGGACGTCCTTTGGACTGGAGAAATGTGGCTAGATGGTAACAAGGAAAAGGAAAGTAATTAATTGATAGGGTGGATCTACCAGCAGGGCATATAGCAGGCGCACGGAGTAGCTACGAATATCTTAGCATCGCACAGTTATCAAAACCAAAATGAGAAAGCAAGAAAAACATCAAAATTTTACCAAAGAATAAAACACATCTTCAAGAGCCATTTCAGTATGAAAAACAAAATTCATGCCGTAAACATGCCATGCATGCCAGTCATCTGATATGCAGCCATCATAGCGACTTCGTCCAAGGAAGTCATAGTGGCTGCCAATGTGAAACTCCGGAAACTTCTCACTTTGCTCGAAAATTTCCATCCCAAGCCTAACATCCGTAAATGCACCAGTCGGAAAAAAATTTGGTGAGTGCCAAAGCCACTGCTTTGAATGATGAAACCGAAGCATCCAGGAATGCATCCGCGAGATGGCACAAAAAAGGATGAAGTACCAAGAGAATGCCAAGAAAGAAGAGAAGCATCAGTAGACACTGGAGAAAGAACAAGCACCACAGGAAGTATCATGGCAAAACAAGGCGTTCCATGGGTCTTACCATCGACAGCTGAGGTAGCTGATAATGAGAAATTACCAGTGGTTGCAAAAAACTGGGCAAAAAGACAGAACAGCACAACAGCACAAAAATAAATACTAGAATTCATCGAAGCAGGGATTTACCACATTAGACAAGGTTCTAGGTGCAATTGCGCAAACATGCTTCAGAAACAGTCCAACATATATTCGCAGAAAATCATAACGAAGTATTTGGTAACAGAAATATTTTTCAGAATATTGCTTATAACCTTCCAGCACGATATGAGAGATTCCTCAGTAAATCGTGGAGAATAATGAGGCCAAGATCCTGGGGATTTTTTTTGCAAACAGGCAATCAGCAAGAATCAAAAGGAGAACCAAAAACCAACACTAGTGATAGATATAGCAATATCAAATGATAGGAACATTGGGAAGAAGGAATATGAGAAGTTAGAGAAATACTAGGGATTGAAAGAGGAACTAGAAATGACGTAGAAAGTGAAGGCCAGAGTAATCTCAGCGGTGATGGGATCACTAGGAAGCTTTGGTCACTAAACATGGTCAGATTGTATGGTGGGTTGTAGTAATATGAAGTTTTATGATTTTTCTATTAAGAGTTTTTGTGGTAGGTTTTAGTGTTAAAGAAGTTTGGTTTTATGTTTGTTTTTCTAATGGCCAGAAAAGGTGGCTTCAGTAGAATCCAGGAACAACATCAGAGATCTCTGTCTAGAAGAACTTGTCGCTAAGATATTGAAGAACCCTTAAGTTCCATCCGAGCGAGGCTAAGTGTGCTCCGTACCACCCACGGGAGACGATAATGGGATTTTTTTGTTCATATATATGATGCAAAAATAAATGCGTATATAATATAATGTATATATTCATTGGAATGATCTCTAGAAATACGCTCATCTAAAAATTTTTATCTTTTATAAGCAATTAATAAAAAAAGTTCGCATCTCTGATTGGAAAAAATAACGCAAAATGAAGTAATAAGAAAACTTATAAGAGAAAATAGTGCAAAGAATTTTCTTCATTTCTCAGTAAATTATAAATTGCAAACTTTCTTATATATGGAAACAATAAAAATTTAACAATGTGCAATGTATTACGCAAAAGCTGAAAAACATTTATAACCGAAGTTTAATCATATTTTCTGGCCATAAAAAATTGATTACACCGGTTGAACAAACTTAGGTAAAAGAAATAAATTTATATAATCTGCATCTCTCTTAGGATTGGAGGCTTGCAATTAATAAAAAGTCTGCATCTCTGTAAAGATTGGAGGGTTGCAATTAATGAAAGATGCCCATATGGCAAATAAAATATTCCATTCCTGAGAGATGAAGGAAAAGAAAAAATTGAAAAGAGCTAAAAAATTTAGGAAATTAGAATTATGGTCATAGTCATTCGTACATGCATTGCAATATTGAATCTAGGATTCTTTAATAAAATGGGTTTTCATGAATATTTTTAAAACGAAGTAGCTAAGCTTGATTGAAAACATTGACAAAATATAATTTGGTTAATAAATCGGTAAAACTATTCGCCTAACATTCTACTTAGCATCCTTCTAAGCCCTTAATATTGTCCGGACAAACACATTTTACGTTATTATTTCGTTGCGGTAAGCATATGTATTTGCATCCTCCATTATTTATAGCGCATCCACTTGAAGCTAAAAATTTTGAAGTTAATCGCCTAAAGACGGTCATTATTTGCATAAACAGCCATTATTTGTGACAAAGGAAATGATAGATATACCTCCTCTACACGTTGATGGTACAGCTGTAATGCCATAAAGTCTTCCTGATCCTCCGAGTGTGGGTGGAAATGAAAAGTAACCATCACCGTAGATTGATACGGAGTGTATTTTATTACTATAATTCAAAAGATAAAATATTTTATAAAATATTACAATATTAAGATAAAATATTTAAACAAAAATCCAATCAATATCCGCTTTTCTTATAATAATTCTCATATTAAAAAAAAATGATAATGAAATGAAATAAGGAAATTTTATACTCAAGAATGGATTGAACCCACAATGAAATCTTTACCACTATGAACGAAGAAAAAGAATGATAGTTGCTAACCCGACTTCAAGAGCGAAATTTTAAAGGATACTAATACGTCCAATTTTCCCAGAATAATCAAAAAATATAAACGAACTCTCTCCAATCGGTCCAGTAAAATCGCTGTTCATTTAAAGATGTCAGTCCAAATGGATACTCGAGTGGCGCAAAGACCACTCGACGGTTACGACCGGTCAAATCGATGCACGATAGTCGTTGCATTCCAGCATCGACCCAGCAAAGTTCTTGTCGTTGTTCAAGTATAGTTAAGCCTAGAATCAAGCTAAATCTCTTCTATTTCTTCAGAATCTAATTGCTTTAACTCTCAATAATTAACAATTAATAATTAATGAAATACTGAGAACAAATGAATTGCAGCATTTAACTTAAAAATTTTATTAATTAAATAGCACTCTAAAATAATTTTAATCTAGTTTAATTTAATTTTAGGGCATTTAATCTATTAATTTAACCAAGAATAATCAAAATAGCAAGAAGGACCGTTAGGCAGATGAATGTCAGTATTGATGAAGGGAGAATTATTTGACCCATCAAGGTCAACTCGCCCAATCAAAGGATTTTCTCGATGCCAATCCGAATAGTAAAGATGCCTGGAAAATCGGAAATTTCTTGATAAATTTTAACGATTTTTTTGATCGAAAAGAAATTAATGAATAATATTAATAAAGCGTTTGCTTTAGCATTTTATTAAATTTTTTTTTAGCATTAATCTTTTCATCAAAGCTAAAGAAGATTTTTCCTCACAGAAAAACAGAAGGAAACATGAATTCCCACAATTGCCAACTTTCTAGTTTATAACTATAACTAAAATAAACAACTGATGTCAACCTGTTTCTCAGGTCGATTGCAAGTGCTCTTGGATTAACAAGACCTTCATTTACAATCGCTTTTTGATACTTTCCATCCAATGTGGCTACACCGATTTCATCCTTTATCGAATCGACGTAATAAACATTGCGAGACGATGTATCGACAGCAATGCCTTCAGGACTTTTCAGCACTGTTTCCAGGAATTTCTTTTCATCAGTGCCATTGAATGAAGCTGTGCGAAGAGCGTGACCTTAATTTTCTGCGCCATTTAACACTGAAGATAAATTGCAGAAAATTTCCTGTTTTTTTTGTAAAATTTTTTTTGCTAAATGAAGCCATCTGCTTGATTATGCAGAATCACAATGCATAACTGGAAATTCACCTGCAATATCACTCCATACTATTCGTTCTTCTTGACAATCAAAATCAATTCCCACTGCTATTTGATGTGGCACAATGATAAGCTGGAAAAACAAAAGTCAAGTAAAAATAAAAAATGTTAAAAAATTGAATTAATAAATAATTAAGACAATATAGAAGTGGATGATTCTATGAAAATTTTCCCATTTTTCATATTCGAATTGATTAAACATTTATTTTAATGAATTTTAATCAATGATAACCAGGGTTCAATCAGTTATCAAAATATTTCCTTGGTATCTCATGAAATCAGACATATATATATATATATATATACATATACCTGTTTTCCAGGTGTATCAATATTCGTACTTCTATGTATAATCATCATCCCACGGCCAATTAGTAAAGATTCTTTTCTAGTATCGCTATCAGCTTAAATGCAAATTTCAACATTAAAATTATAAATTAGGATGGAAAAATTTAAAAATTTAAAATTTTCTGTAGTCATTTAAATATTCCCACGATTTCTTTATTTATTTAAACTTAAAAATCACCCAAGAATATTAAAGAAAACAATTAGTGACGTGAATTAGTGAATTGTAGTTCATTTAGTATTTTCAGCTAAAAAAATTAAGCTGTAGAAGTGGGAAAAGACAAAAAAAAGCATTTAGAAGCTAAAAATTAGCTTATATTTCTTTGAAATAATTCCCACGAACTCACTGCTAGTACTGGTACCACTGTTAGCAATAACATTTGTGTTTGTTTTGCCCTTCTTTCTTATTCTTCCTCTCATTTTGTTGTTCTTGTTCTCACGTTTCTTTTCTTTTCCTTTAACCAGTACATGACTCCATAACCTACTTGGTTTTTATAAATAAATAAAACTTACGTGAACATATTCTTCCATTACCGTGATATCCATAAACGCAATTACAGACATATTGCCCGAATTCGCCAGGAACACATTCAGCATTAACGTCACATATAGAGCGATCATCAAGACAACTAGCTGAAGTGTAATAGTTAGAACAAATGTGATGAAAAACAAGTGGATTTTTTATTTATAATAGATGTAGAATGGTCCAAAGGTATATTGCTGGGTTAAATCATCACAGGTTTAATGCATATTTTCACACACGAGTAAACCTGTCATTGGAAGTGAAATCTGTAGTGTAGTGCTGCTTACACTCAATCTACTTCTATCCACAAATGATCTCTTTATTAAAGGGATCTTGGAACAGAAAAGCCAGACCAAACCAGAAATGGGTAGCGTTTTTGGAAACTTCATTGGAAATGGGAATTCGTATGGGTTTACAAATATAAAGGATTTACTAAGGATTCAACAAGCTAAGCTTTAAACTCGCCGATTGGAGTGCATATTTGTCCATTTCCTTGATATCCAGGATTGCATCGACATTTCCACATATCACTACTATCTTTTAGGCAACTAGCGTGAACAGAACAACCACTACATCTCGAAGACTCCATTCTTTCTGTAAAAAATCACATAACCTAGTTTGAAAAAATTATCTTGAAGCCTTTTAGTCTTCATGTCTTTAACTGAAATATCAATTACTGGAGAACTTTATTTACAAAACCAAAATCAACTGATCAATTGCTGTAAATTGTAATTGGTATCGTGTAAACGCATCAAATGAAATCCCAACAAACCTTGCACTATGCAATTTCTGTAGCCATCACCAAATGAACCATGTTTACAAACACACACATATTCATTTTTCTCGTGACTATAGATACATTCTGCATTTGCATGACACATCTCAGGTCGTTCATTGCATGAAACCGCAGTTGCAGGTTGGCAATCTTGTCCAGTTCCAGTATATCCTTCATATCAAGAAAAAGAAAGTTGCACATTCGATAATTATGCTGCTATTAATTGTTAAATGTGCAAGATATCATTGACGATATTAAATTTTAATTTTAATTTTAATTAAAATATTTTTTAAAAAAACTATTTCACCATTAGCAACCATTCAGGAAAATTCAGCGATATTATAATTTTACTATTTAGTAGTTCATCACTGGCGCCTTTATTTTTTCAAATACGAATTATCTGTATTAGGAAATTAATGAATCAATAGTTAGATGAATTGTCTATCGTAAACTTTTTAATAAGGAGAATTCTACTAAACCACAGCATGACTACCTTGTTTGCATTTGCACACGTATGCACCTTCATTAACACCGTAGATACATTCAGCGTTTGGATGGCAATAACGCGAATCAACCGGATTGCATTCGTCTAAAATAGCTTTTGCAAAAAGCTGTATTGAAATAATTTAGGCAAAAAGAATTTTGCGCTATAAATTAAGATAAGTTTAAGAAAGAATGCCTAAAAAAGAAAGAAAGGAATTATCAACAGACCTGCCAGATTGCATTCGCGAATGCCATCGCCTCTATATCCAGGCAAACATTCACAAATATAATCCATCGAGTGTTCGCGAACAATACAGTGCGCATTGTGATGACAATCGCTAGCTTCATGGCATCGAGCTGGCGCATCTATATAAAGACAAACATTATTGTATTTTTCTTAATGCAAATAGTACAAAAAACTACTTCCAAATTGAATTTTAATCTGATTGCAAAAGCATTTCTCATTAGCAAAGCTTATAGCGTGCAATGCAGACAGAATTTAAAGGTAAGCATAAAGGCGAAAAAGCATTTTAAAAGATCAAGAAATCATTAAAATGATGATAACCATCAGTATGAGGAAGGCTAGTATGAATTAGATTGCAAATATATCCATCGCCAACATATCCATCCAAGCACTGACATTTAAAAATATTTTTTAATGGATCATGGACGCATTCGGCACTTTCATGACAATTATTCAAGCGATCACATTGTTCGCTACCAGCTTAACAAGTTTCTGATCGTGAACAAAAAATTGCTTTGATGAGCTCAAAAACTTATAGATTTATGCAAGCAATAGTCCAAAAAAACTTCAGTATAGTATAGTATTCATAATGGTTTTTTTTTGGAAAATGGCATGAAATTTTTAGCGAAACAAATACGAGGCATAAGCGGAAACGTTTCTAGCGAAGTCATTGTGCACTGAATTCCGTCTCCGGTATATCCCGGACGACAGCGACAACGATGATAACCTTCTCCTCGAGGGCCTTTTTCGAATACACAATCACCATTAGGATCACAATTATTTATTATGTCACATGATGCAGGAGGATTAGTGATTACTGAAATTTTGTGCAAAAAGAGTTTGAAAAAAGCTGAAGCTGATGAAAAAAAGCCAACCAAACTACATAGATTTCAACTATTGGACAAGCAAAAATTAACAAAAAAAGCATAAAGGTAGAAATGATAGAAACAATCTTCTAAGCATCATGCGAAGGTTATAACAGTGCCCTTTAGTTCTTGACTAAGCTTCATAATTGATAATAAGCATCATTTCAGTAGAAAGCTCAATTATTACACCTTTCTGTCATGTTTGCCTCGACTAATAACTTTTTTGCCTCCTACTAGGATTTCATTTCTAATCCTGTTAGCTTTATAAGCTGCAATCTTGATCCTTTCTTGTAAATGTTTATATTCCAATAAAATTTTACTATTGTAAAATATTTCACTGAATCTTTAATCATTAATTAATTATTACTTTAATGTTATTTGTAGCTTTAAGAAGGAATTATATTTGTATTATGCCAATAATAATAATATTTCAATATACCCGCTGTATCGTCTAAGACACAGTTAATTCCATTTCCTTTGTAGGGTGGCACACAAACGCATCGATAATAGCCTACTTCCACACCATATACACAGTTAGCATTTGAACCACATTCGGAATGTGCCCGACATATGACATCTGCAACCATTTCTTCACTCAAACATCGAACTTTGAAAGACTCTCTAGATAATTCCTTTGTTCGAAGGAAGTAGACTTCAGGGAATGTTGGAAGATTACGATGGCTCGTGATTAATATCAGCAATTTATATATCGCTTTCCTGACCTGTTTTAGAGCTTTTCGGTGTTGTTTCGGCAACAAGAGGCTTGCACTGATATCCATCACCATGAAAACCGCTTTTGCAAGCGCATTTAGCCTAAATTGATCATTTTTCAAAAACGACTGATGGTCACTGGAATGCAATTTATTGATAAATGAAAACTTTTGAATGAATCTCAATAGGCCAGTTTATTTTTGCATTCATTCTGCAACATTTTAATGGTACGATGGAGTGATTTAGCGGAAAAGAAAGAATAAGGCAACATATACTTTATACCAAGGCTTTGGACCGGAATCCATTATTTATAACCTATCTTGCTTGGCTTTATTTCTGACCATAATCATAATCTACAAAGCCTTTTTGGTAATAGAAAATCAAACCTCTCCAGTTGCGGAGACTTTACATTGAGCATTGGCATCACAAGCGATCCGCTCACAACCCGATTCAATTTGCTCAATTCTAGGTTTCACAGGTGTTTCTAAACGAAATAAAATTAAATGACAGTTATAATAACATTCTTGTCTACTTAAAAAAATTTTAATACCTTACTGTCGCAATGGCCACAAGTTGGCGAAGTATGGTGTAACCCAGCCTCTCTGTGAAGATGTCTCAAGGATGTATATTTGTATCATAGACTCTGGTGCAGGGTGCAGGTAACTACCAGCGCGGCCACCGGTTGACAAGAAAAATTACTCTGAGAATATTGAATCATAGAAATATAAGAGATGCTGCATTCCTTGCTGGATGCAGTTGAAGTAAACTCGATCAATTCAAGTGCATTGCAACAGTTCAGGCCGGTAAAGTCAATAGAATTTAGCATTCAATTTTTGCATTAAAAAAAAGAATTGTTGTAAATTACATATGTTTTATGTATTTTACAACCATATTGATGGGAATAATAATAAATACAAACCTCCGGGTGGACCGCAGTGGTTTATTCCATCACCGACATACCAGCCACGACACCTACAGTAATTTGGTTTGCCATCACTTTCAAAAACACATTCTCCCCATTGATGACAATCCTGGTGAGCCTGACATCCTTTTCTTGTTGATTCAATACTGCTTTTGCTATCAATTTCATCACCAATTTCTGCAAAAAATTTCAAAAACTCAGCAGCATTCATTGGTGCAATTTGGCTGCAGACATCCTCGAGAAGCAACTTGATATCAAGAAATGCATCAAAAACTTTTTATCTTATACCATCGTTAATTTAAGGAAGAAAAACTTACCTTCACACTGACGACCATCGCCACTGAATCCCTCTTTGCATGCACAAGTATAACTTCCTTCCGTATTTTGGCATACTGCATTATGATCGCAGGTATGATCCCTTCTTTCACATTCGTTCGTATCTGACATAAATTTTAAGAATAAGGTCGAAAATTTGGAAAAAGTAAGAAGATAATTTTACATTACCTATATCGCAATTCCAATTTTTGCATCATGCTTTACTTTTAAATAGAAAAATTGGAAATGCAAAGGTTACAAAAAAGATATTCTTTTTTCTTTCGACAAAGAATGGAGTGAAAAGTGGATATCGTACCAACGCATATCCATCCAAGTTGGACTGAAGAATCCAGCTGTACCTGATAACCTTGCTGACATTCGCAGCGATATGAATAGTCCACAGGACTGCAAAACATATTTGGAGAAGTGCACAAATGGCGACCACTGGAGCATGGATTCTGAAAAATAGAATAGTAAGATTCGAAGAGCGACAAAAGTATTGATAAATCATATACATCTAAATGGTTATGACAAACTAACTTAAAAATTTAAAGATTTGGAAATTTATAAGGCTATTAGTCTAGAGATTGATATTCTCAATATTCATATAATTTTGATTTTTAAGTTGATTTTTGATTTTGATTAATTTTGATTTTTGATTGAATATAATATCAGAAAAGAAAATAAAACTAACTATTAAAAAAATATTTAAAATATTTAAGGCGAAGCTAAAAATATTTTAGAAAAATAGTTTTTTTTGGATTTACAGATGAATGATTTTACCGCAAGTAGTCCATAAAAAAGATTTGTTTTAGCTCCATGAAAAATTGAACATCAATAAATTCTGAATGAATAATTACGGGTGAAAAATAGGAAAATAGGAACCTGTGAATCTCTTGCATTTTCCCGTTCAGTTAGTGGTTGTTGATCAGGGTCTGTTCGATGTTCTTCTCTGTGAGTCTCTTTTGACTCTTCTGGATAACCGGAATGCTTTCTTTCATCAGTGGCTAGATTCTCGGAAGCATAACGAACGATTTTTTCTTCCACATCATATACTACATGCGGCCGGGTAACACGAATAACGACTAGTGCATCTTTATCAAACTGTAAGTGATTTTAATACTAACGATTATAGTAACACAAATCTTTATGCCTGAAATAAATTAACGATTTACAAATGAACAATTTACTTTCTTGAAGGAACATTCGTTGTAATGAATCTGCTGATCGACTGTCAATTTTACTGGATTCTCTGTTGCTCCTTCTTTAATAATTACATTGTAAGTAGAATATGAGCGAACAAATCCTGAAATAGGCAGGTGAATCATTAAAAATTATATCAATGGTCATAGCGATATGGATAAAAGCATTTCATTTTGTCTGCATAATCATCAAAAAAGCAACCGAAAAAAAGCTAGAGAAAAAAGCTGAAACCTGGTCCTTCACGTCTGTATTCGTCTTCATGATCAGGGAAAATAATTTCAGCACCTTCATTTACTGGCGGCAATGTTCCAGTAACCAATATCTGAAAAAATTTCAACAAATATCCTTCGATAAAAGGAATATGGAGATTGACTTATTCTATTGAAATCAGTGAAATAAAACTGATGACAAAATTACATGTGCTTTAAAATAATGGTAGATATCACGACCAGAAAATTGCTGTCTTATGGTTACCGTATTTCGGTCACCGATATGTACATTAACTGTCCGATTAAAAAGACCACCTGAAAAATCCATAAAAAGAACTGCTGAAATATCAGCAAATGATAATTGAAATGAATTAGACGAAATAATTTGTGCAATTATTTATTTATGTATTTTTATACCTGTGAGTTCGAAGCCATTGTAGGATTTTGCAGAAGCAACCTGAAAATGTCTAAGATAAACTAATTTGTTTTTACACATCTCTATTCATCCATATGTTTATGGAAAAGAAAGCTTTAAAATTTTTGTTAATTCAAAAAAAAAACAGTGCTAAAACCTTTGCAAAAAGCCATCCCATTACTCCACCAATTGAATCGAGCAAAAGAAGCGATCGTCCTAGTTGTGGCGAAATCTGAGAAAGAGCCGTATACGCTCGACCTTCAGATGTTGTCACATAAGTGTGAAGTTCTGTTCGTTGCAATTCCTCGCCATTTATTACACCCTCAAATCCACCATTGATTCGCTGTGGCTCATCTGTATATCATTAAATTGTTATAAATATATTTAAAGCAAAGGTATATTTTGGAAAATTTTTAGGCTCCATTGGATAAAAAGTTCATAATAACTAATTAAAGCAATAAAAAAAGGAATAAAAGGAAGAAATCCAAAGAAATTAGGCAAAAATTCTGGAAAATTTGCTTTCATGCTTTGTGCAGCAACAGTAGTATTAGTGCTCAAAAAATTGAAAGGTTTTTAAATGGAAAGAACGATGAACAACGAACCTTTTTTGAGGCATTCCTGACCATTTCCGTAATATCCTGGAAGACACTTGCAACAATATCCTGGACTATAGTCAACGCATTCTGCATGTTGATGGCATACTTTCATCTAAATTTGTGAAGTTGTATTTATATATGCATAGAATTTTACAATTTAATTAATAGTTAAGCGATGAAAGTGAAACGATGTCTAAGAAAATATAAAATCCTAAAATACATATCCTAGTTATAAATGTAACATAGATGCAGTGCTTAGCTCAAATTATCCAACTATGCATTCATCAAGCAGAAATATAATCATTATTGTTATTGTAAGTTAAAAAATTGTTTTCGGTATTTTCTGGGAAATGAACCTACCACTTGATTAGCTGCATCACAGTTTAGAGGTGATTCATTGTCCTGGCTTAGGTCATTCGACAAATCTGCATTTGGTATCGCTTCCTCTACTGTAATTTACCATGTAGAATAAATATTTCGAAAATAGATTTTAATTGTAGGTTTAAAAAGTATAAGTATCAACGGAACAATCATAATTCAAGGTTCGATTTCGCCTGTATGATCCTTGAGAGTTACCTACTTTGGTTAGGCCATATTTTTTGATGGATGGCGCTAAAAACGCGGCGATCCAATCAAAACCTATGATAGCTAAACTAAACTAAACTAAAGTGAAGTTAAACGAGATTTTGAACAAAAGAAATCCAACAATATATGGGCAAAAGTAATGGCTTCTTTCAACTTCAAGTACATCATCGAATCGAGAGGCTTGCCTCATCCTTATAACCAATAGAGCCAGCCTAATCAGTAATTTTTAGAAATTTTAGAATTTTAGAAGAATTTTAGAATTTTTTAAAAAAATTTTTTAAAAATTTAGAATTTTGAAAAAAAGAAAGAATCGAATTGGAATCAAAGGAAAATATACCAAGAACAGAATTTTATGTTAAATAAAAGAATTTTTGCGAGTGATAGCTTACTGCCTTTAAGCCAACTGTTAGTGTGGTTAAAAAATTTTGTCAAGGAATCACTTGGAACAAGAAATATCTACAAAGGTAGCCAGCACAATGACAGGTTCTCCTGTCAAGTGCCAAATTTAAACCTTCGCCTCTCTACACAATAATCTGAACTACTCATGGTTATCTTACCCAAAGTCAAAAAAAATAACAGGAGAAATAAATTTTTATTTTTATTTCATTTCATTTATTTCATTCAAATAATATACCATTGTCTGGAATTCTATTTTCAGCTTCATCCGAATGGCCATCTTTGTTTTTTGTGTGGGGAGAATAAGGAATCAATTCTTCTTCTTCATCCACCGCATTTGACAAAGAATCGCTAGACGCACTATGAGGATATTTATCATTACGAGCTCCATTATCTACTTCTACAACTCAATTCATAAATTTCTGAGTTTTGCGCAATTTTCATTGATTTTTGAGACTCAAAATTTCAGGCTGGAAATAAATGACTGTGCTAAAGCCAGAAAATACAGTTTATTTTTTCCTTTTTTTTATAACCTGAAGCATGTTTGCTCATTTTCACTTCTGTATCGCTTTCAATACGATTGGTCTCGCTGTGAATTGAATGTGATGGCGGTTCTAGAATTATTAAAGTTAGCTTATTGATTTTTTACTGGCTTAAGCAGTTGAAAAACTAACTTAACATGAATAAATTATACACAATTTTAACCATTGGCTGTGGCCAATGGTCATAGCCATCGACATGACATCGCCTCAGTTCTGCATGCGTTTCTAGATTTTAGTGGCAAGATTTAACATTAACTGGTCTCCTTATACAATTTATTACAATTTATTAGAATGGCTGATTGCACTTTAAGATTCGCAAGCTTGATAATCAAACTAAATAGGACTAAATTAACAATATATTTTGTCTGAGAAAAGTTCAGGACAAATTAGAAGCCATGTTTTTAATTTGCCTCATTTTGAATCGTTTATATCAAACTCATGTGACTTAGACCTTGATAATTTGTAAAATGAATGAATTTTTACTAAAAGGGTTATAAAAAACTGACGTGTGCAAACACAAAGCGAGCATCCGCGATCATCACTAAGAATTTGGCATTCTGGTGGACAGTGATAACGATAAGGATCTGGTGGACAATCTGCATTTGATGGCTCTAAGCATAACATTTCATCATTTATCATTAAAACCACATTTGTCTATATAATCATTTTTGAACTGAACACTTAAACAAAAGGGAAAAGTATTCAACTAAAAATATTCAACATATTCAAATAAGCAATAGCAATTTTATTTCCCGCCGCAAAAAGTAAAAGACTCAAGAAAACTCAAATTTACAAATTTGCAGAAAAAGACTTATTATCGCAATGATAAGACTTACGATGCTGTCGATCGTTACCTTCATCTTCATCATAATCACGCTCATTGTAATCAGAATACTGGTAATCGTCGATTCCAGAGGCACCCCGTGGATCTTCCGGTGTTGAACCGGAGATTCGAAAAATTTGACTCCCTTCTCTTTGGTTATTCGACAAACTAAATTTTCTGGCCTTACGATATATCATTAATATTCTCTTTAGTTCTCCAAAGTGATTATTTTCATTGAAAATTTTTGGAACAAAATTTGATGCAACTAACTGAACAAGTTCTCGCATACTATCTGTGCCACTATGAATAAGACTATGTTGTCGTCCATTTGCAAAATAGAATCCAGCTTCAGCATGTTGGCCATTGGAAGATGTCCAGTCGATTCGACCATATATGAAAAATGCATATGAGGTGATGCCATCTGTTGCAAGAATCAACTGAAATAGGCATCTCTGAATGTAATAGTACGAAAATTTGCGACAAAAAAGATGAGATTGCTACTAACTTGGAACTGATTACTTCCTTGCGTAGGATCAGCATTTTTCATTTGGTCCCACGTTAAAACGATTGCGTGAAGTGCCGTAAAATCAGCTGAATCTTCTTGTGGAAAATTCTTCTGAATTCGTTCTGTTATATCGTTTAGAAGATTACTGTCACTTGATGTCGCGCTGAATTTCATCAGTTCTGCTCACTACTTTCGATTTAAATATTATTTTAAGGGAAATTTCGATGAAAAATGATGGATTATTTGATGAAATACAATTTCATTATGTGAAGCAATAGATAAATTTTAAGAATATTGTTCGAAAATAGAAAAGATTTTTGCTCTTTGTTTTTTTTTACAAAAAAATCATCTTATGAGGAATAAAAATTGATAAAATCAAAATGAAACCGATAATAGACGGTTCCGTCCGTAACTGGTACGTAGAAAACAGCAATTGAATTAAGCTGTCTCGCATCGACGCTATCGCCAGTTTCTATTGACTTTCCAAACGAAACGATTCCATTCGATGATATGAAAAGTTCGTTTTGTGTTTCTTCCGAATAGATGATTGGGACATCTAACGACATACCGTAAGAGTCTGGAGAAAAAGGAATCTCCTGAAATTAATAAATGCAACCAGGAAATTTATGAGAAAAGAAAAGAGACGAAAAATATGAAAAAAAAAATATCCTCGAGATCCTTAGAATTTTTAATCAGCAAGAAAATTACTTTATTCACTGCAAAAAGTAAAGAATTTGTTCCATAAGTCAATCTCCTTAAATGATTCTCGGAATCACCGATCTACTAGCTTTTATTAGTGGATCTAAAAAGAAACTAAATCATGCGATCCATTAATGCAGTTTACCAATGCTTTGCACTCGAATGATTGTAAGTTACTTCAAAGGCTCACAAATATATATTTGGCAATTACAATAGATAGAGCGTCCACTGAATAAAATAATTCAAAATACCTGGTCACCTCGATCTTGACCATAGCCATATAATTTTGATGTTGATGTGCAAAAAAAAATTGAAGGAACCAATAGAAATTCGTAAATTAGCTTCATTTCACTCTGCAATCATCCAGTCATAAAATTTTTAAAAAATAATGAATAAAGAAATGAATCAAAAAAGGGTACCTTCAGTTTTGAGTGAACAATGTTCCTCTTCTTCAAAACAGAACTATTCTAAGAAAGAAACCGAAAATACGAAAAATACGAAAATACGAAATACGAAGGTTCAGCGAAATCGATGTGATTCCTGCAATGTTAATGAAGAATGCCATTAATTTGCAACGAAAAATATCTTAAAGATCGTGCTAAATTATTGCTGAAACCTTATAAATGCGTCTTCAATTTATGAAAGCTTAAATATAAAATAAAAATGTCCTGATATAGCAGTTTTTCTAGGATATTCTGGCTAAATGTTTTAACCGTAACAAGAAGCACATTTCCTAATCAAAATGACTGTCGCTTCAATTCTCAACCATTTGTAGCCATTGAATATTCCAATAAGATTAGTATGGAATATCTCGATGTGTCAGACAATTTTATGAATGCGTCTTTAATTTATGAAATGAAATACTTAAATATTCATTATCACTAAGTGTCGAAGAGATAAACTTGCTCTTTTGTTTGATAAATTTTTACTTTTATCAGTCAATGGAATGCGAGCTAATTAAAAATCTTTAAGTATCAGGCACAAATAAATACGAGAATAGAATACAACCTAATCGAAGCGACATCGTAAATGATAAATTGATAAAATTGATAAGTTTAACAACAGATGAATATCTTTATTATGACTGATTAAATTGGATAAAAAAATCTAAAAAATTTTTTTTAGAAAATACAAATGGAAAATGGATGGTATTTTGATTATTACAGTTTGATCAAAATTTAATTGAAGAAAACCATAATTTCATTCGGCAATAATTGTCATTAATGCCATTTAAGCAAGTAAGTAAGTAGTTAGCATTCATTATTTCTGGTTAAGTTAGCTGCTGAGTGTTAATTCAAAGAGAAATTTTTGGCAAGCATATGCACATAAAAATATCACTGGGTCCCCAGTACCACTCCGAATTTATGATAACGTGTTTATTGCTATAGAAGATAGCTTCCGAACCTCTTATTCTTAAAATAATAGTTTAAGCAACAATCACCTACCTATACAGCCTCCATATGAAGAATAAGAATATGGACATGTCGCATAATAACTTATTGAAATCAGCTTGTTCAAACAAATAGTTAAATAGACTAGTATAATCTATAGACTAATATAATCTTGAAAAAAAGAAATTTCATTAATTGGATTTTCCTGTTTTTATCTTTCAGAAATTTTTAAAAATTTTGAAAATTTATAATTTAAAAACTTATAATTTTCACAGAAACACAATCGACTAAACATATTTTTATATGTAACTAACTAAATTCAGTACTTGCGATGATGGTTGGAACAACTTTAGTGAATTTTAAAAAACATATTTATTATATTGATGCAAATACTAGATAAAACAATGAAATAGATAAAAATTGCGAAACTGTGTCAATATATCTCGAATTTTTTTTCATTGAATTCCAATTTTGTCCAATCTTCGTGGAACTTTGCAGAAGCTAATTTGAATTCAAATATTGATAATAACAAATAATTTATGTATTGCATTTTTGATCATACTGAAGAAACATAAAAATCTAAAAGATTCATCACGTCACCGAATGACGATGAAAATTTAATGGTATTTGGCAGAGTTGGAGTTCAGAAGTTGGAATTTTACAAAATGCAATAGATGGAGAAATTAAAGAACAAGAGTAGCACGCCATGTAATAATAATAGACGAATGGCAAAATCATATGAAGCTAATCGACTAAACTAACTTTTATGGTTGATTCAAGCACTTAAAAGTGACAAACGAATTGATAAATTGAAAAAAATTTAGAAACACCAGAAAAAATTCTAAAAAACTCGGCAAAATAGATGATTAATGGAAGTTAATCCTAAAAGTTTTCATTAAATATGGAATCTTTAGCATAATGATTATAAAAATGGAGAACGAATTTGTTGCACTTTTCACATTTTCTGACTATTAATTAAATAGAGTCAAGATAATCCATTGAATAGTCGTCCAGGTTGTTGAAATGCAGTGAGAAGCAAAGGTTCAACTCCTGCTCTTGTCGGAAGCAAATTAAACATTCAGGTAGTATTGGTAACTTGCTGGCAAAAATTTGTAACCATGTTGACGGTCAACGAAGAAAACTAACCAGAAATAATGAACACTGGCTACTTAATTACTTGCTAATCAAACTAATCAGAAATTTTTGATCATAAATCGAGGATAAACAAAGATGATTTGATAATAAAAATGACAATAAATTTTCAGAGTTGATCTTACTTCTCAACTAAAACCTCTTAAATTAAACTGTATTTGACGGAATGCTAGTTGAAGCACTATTGCTAATTGATGGAGAGGCAATTAATGTATTGTTTACAAGAAAAAATGCGGCACGAAATTGCAAATTTATACTTTGGAAATATAATTGAAACCATTTTAAAGATTTTTTTTTGTATTCGGAAACTCTATCAGCAAAATATTTCGCGAATGATAATAAACAATTTTTGCGAAATTTAGGTCAAAAAAATCTTTTAAAGTTTTTACTATTTTACTTATTTCTTTATCATTCATTAATTAAAACATGAGACGAATTAGCCACAGAATTATTTGCGGATAAAAACAAGCACAAGTCTCCAGCATTAACCGAGTTTTACTTTCAGTGACCAGGTACCACCACCTAAAGGGGCTCCTATTAGGGAGCAATAATCTGTATCAGCAAAATTTAAATTCCCGATAGCTCATTAAGAGACAAGCCAATTTGGACTCAACCAGTATTCTCAGCAATTATGCGATTGGTGAACGTGATTCTATCGTAGTTCAGTAGAATAAGTGCTGCATTTAATCGAGAAAACAATAGCAATAGCCGTGTATTTTGCATCTGTAAGCATAGCTTCAATGTTCAAGTGCTATGAAGAAAGCTTTACAACAGCAGCAGGTCAACATATATTTTACAGGGAGTTAAACGAAGCCCTGTTAGCAAAATGATTGTGAATAACTATTTTGTGAATAAGTATTTCTATATTAGACTATTGTTTTCTGATATTTTTTGCTGATGAAGTGCATGATAAAAATTTTTTCCACTAAAATTGATGCTAATCATAGTTTTTCACTTATATAATTCGCAGTATGCGAAGTTTTTTCAAGGAAAAAAGCAAAGAGACGCATCAAATATGTTCGCAAATCATCAGACTTCGATGAGACAAATCATTGGTTGAGTCAAATCCGTATTCATGTAAAAAACATCTAGCGGTCGACAAAAAAAGAAAAATTTACGGCAATTATGCAAAAAAACAAATAAAACATTCCGACTAGTAACAAAAACAATATTTGAGAAGGAATTTACAAATCACTTACCACCGGTCTAACAAAAGTTAAAAAAAATTCTTTTACCATCCAGCCTGCCTCTTTTGTTATTCAAAAAATAAATTAAAAATGAATGCTATTTAAATGGAAACAAAAGTGCCAGTTATCACCGGTGTTCCCATAAAAAAGACCAATAGTACTAATGTTAATCCAAAAATTTCGATAGTCTTTTTTTGTAGCACAAAGAAGATTAGCTTTTATAAGTCAGGCGGATTAGATAAATAAAGGCAAACGATTAGCTTTTAAGCTTTTAGTATTCAAGAAATCTGCATATTCCATAACCCTTATTTGCAACGTATCCACAAATTCCATTAAATTTTGCACAAATTTAATTTCATCCACTGAAAATGCAATTGGTAGGTTCATTTCCATCCACAGTTTTCGATTATTTTACACTAATAAATGATTATCATTTTAGACAGCATGATTCGACTTTTGCTTCTTACAAGAATAAATGTGTCGTCGAAAATTCCAAATGGTGCCGGGGACCCATCTGTAAGCAAGAAATCATAAATGCTGCACACTCACTAACTAACTTATACATTATTTAATTCCCCTCGCACTTGAAATCTAAGTGAATTAAGTATTTTAGAAAATTTCTACTATAGGAGTAAACGATGCCGAACTACGAAATTCTTCTAAAGTAACAGTCAGAACCGTTTTGAATTGATAATGAATATAAAAAAATACAAATATAAAATATAAAATAAAAAATCGATTTGACGATCCAGTTGGGATGAAAGGTTTTATTTTTTGAACTAAATACAAACACAGTGGAGTAGAATTTTTATAACTTTTTGTCTAAGAGTGCTCAATAATAGTTAAAGTTCATTTTGTTGGCTTGTCAAACCAAATAAATTTTGCCACGGAGTTATTTGGCGATAGAAATAGAATTGAGCCGACAGTATCACTCGGATTTTTACAAGATAGGTTTTGTTTTGCATTGAGTTGAGCCCCAGCATCCGAAATTTGAGGAACAATTTATTAATAGCATGACTATTAAATTTAGATTATTTAGATTATTTTATAAATATATCAATGACGATGATGAAAAATTCTGAAATATTATTATATTAATACGAAAGGCCAAATGGTCATAAAAGAGGGATAAATGAGTAATAAATATGAAGAAAATATAAAAATCTATGAGAGAGTACATAAATATATAAATATGAAGAAAATATAGAAATTTAATCGCTATGAAAAAGGTGTTTAGAAGCGGGGTTATGAGGCCAAAATGAATACGTTGTCTTCATCGAAAAAAATAAATATCATTTTACACCGATAAACTATTATACAATAGTAATTTGATATTTATTAATAGAATTGGTGATGAATTATTTTCTAGTTCATAAAAATTCATAAAATTCATAAAAATCGCATCCATTTCAATTTGAAATGTTTATTTCATTTATTTCTATTTATTTGTATATATAAATATATATGTTTAGATCAAGCAGAAGTGGCATGGTAGGGCAAAACTGCATCGACTATACCATCGACATATAGCACTGAGGCGCTGACATTGAGAAATCCTACTAGTGGTTGGAAAAAGCTGGACAAAAAGATGCGCAGAAGACTACTTAGAGATTACTCAATAGTGGCAGACGCAAGTAGGAACAGGATGCACCGGACGGTATAATCAAGTAGCTGGCATCGTCCGCAGGAATATCCGCACAGTATATGGGATAGAATCTCCCAAGACTAGATGAGAGATTCCACAGAACATTGTGGAGAACAATAAAACCAAGATCTTGGGGCGGACTTTTCATCAAGATCAACAAGCAAGTAATGGTCAATCAACCAGAATCAAAGTAGTTGACAAGAAAACAACTGTGATGACATATGGCAATTGCAAGTGATAAGAACACAAAAAGGAAGAGAGAAATGTCACAGGACCTGAAATAGAAACTAGAGAAGACGTGGAGATCCCAGTTGTAGTATGGACTGGATCTCTAAGCCAGAAAAGTGCTGTGAAAGATTCCAGGAACAAAATCAGAGATCTTCGCCTAGAAGAGCACGCTGCTAGGAACAGACGCTGCGTTCAGATCTCTGACAGAGGATCTGAGGTTGAGAATGACTCATACCACCAATAGAGGATGATAAAGGAGTTTTTTTTCATAATTTTATTTCTTCCACTTTTAACGATACTCAGCATTTCTGGTTTGGTTCGCCTCATTGAGCACTGAACTGATATCCTTTTGTCAAAGAAACACTTGGTGATAGAAGTGCAGGTGAGCACCGCTGGGATTGCATTTCATTAACTGATATGCTGTCCCGAGAGATACGAATCGAATCTCTGATGGCATAATCTTAGTCGAAGCAATATGCTTGCTACTATAATGCCTTTCCTATATGTTTATATTTAAAAGATCTAAATTGTCAACAAATTATATCAGTAATGGCTATTAATAAGTGATAAAAAATGACGAAAATCCATTACAGTCGATTGCTAATTTCATAGTGCAGTGAGAAATTGTTAAATCTCTAAAATTGTTAAATCTGAATATAAAACTTCCATTAGCAACAGAAAAATCAGAAAAATCCTATAAATATTTCGAAAATAAATTTTATGGATATATTTATGAGGAAAGTAGACAATAGAAATTAGTTAACCATTAATCATTCTTAAATATTTTCTCACAAAAAAAGGATCTAAAAGAACTAATTTTATTTCCACAAAGTAAAATTCTCGAATTGATTAAAATTTATTTTTTTAAAAAAAATTTCAGTGTTTCAAATCAGATAATTGATATTCGATTTTAAAAATTACTTGTAATTTGAGATTCAAATATTTAATCATTATTTACATTTGCCAAAATTTTTTTGAGGAAATATCTATAAAAATATATAAATATTTAAGATAAATGTTGTATAAATCAGTATGAACAGTATAAACTTAAAAACACTTAAAAAGCAAAGTAAAGTTATAAAGTTACAGTAGTCAATTAAAAATTACAGTATTAAAATTTAGATTAATATTTGTGGCGAATTAAAATCGGTTCGGTTACTTGTTCCAGAAATTAATTAAAGGCAACAACTGACGACAAGTGCCACATTACTACCAAATGAATACGTCATTTAACACATTAAATTATTGCTTATAAAAAAAGATTAATTAAAAATCCTCGAGTGAATTTTGTACAAAAAGAATAAAGTAAAAATAGACTAGCATGCAAATGAACACAGTTGTAAGCGAGTGGAATATAGTGGTCGACAATGTGGGCTAAGGGATAAAGAAAGGATCGGCAGGTGGTCATCGTTCTTCTTCTTATAGATTTAAGAAATCGAATCTGTTGGCTTTTATCAAATCCCCTCTCGTTTCTATTACTTTCAACTGTTGTTGTTGTTGTTATTGCTGATTAAATTCCACCTCTTCGATTCAATTGAACCATTTCAGTTTGCGACAGTTTTATATTTAAACCCACTCACAAGCGATATTCATAAATCATTACTATTTTTATATCTTCGAATCGAAACAAAACAAAAATTTATTTCCTCAATACTGCACATGAACTTTGGTAGAAATTTTTCACAAGAATTGCATAACACGGATTAAATAAAGGATTAAACATCATTTAAGCCTTTTTTTAAAAATTATTAACCATAATCTTCACAAGTTTTCGACTCATTTATCGAATTAATTTTTCTGAATGAAGAAAATTAATTGCATAACACTTTATCAATGTAACGATCAGAAGAAGGAGGGACAACTGTTCATAGATGTCCAAACAAAAGGTGTAAAAACGATGCGGACAATCGATGCTAACATTTAAGCGCTAGCTAAAATATAAAATACTTCACAAACTGACGATTACAATCTTAAAGGCAAAAATATATAAAAACATCGAAATTTGAAAAATCCAGCATAATGGTAAAAAATTCAAAAAATTAAATAAATTATAATGATAAATAATTTAAAAAATTAAACAATAAACGATATTAAAATATGAAAAATTTAAAAGAAATCCTTCTTTCACAAATTGAGATATGAAATTTCCTTACAAAAGATCAAATATATTTTCATACACATTCATTTACAAATAAATTAATTTTTTTTTTCAAGTTAACAGAGAAATTATCGATTTAAACCTAATAAAACATTTTCAAATATATACCCTTATCGGTTTATGAATCTTTGTCACAGTTTATGAATCACAGAACCCACGTAAAGTTTGTAATTACAATACTAACAATAAAATGTTATCAAAGAGTATAAAAATGATAAATTCAATGCAAAATGCGAAATGAAATTTATAAAAAAAGAATGTTTATAAAAAAAGAATAAATTGTTACCCTTCTATATGAGAAATATTACAACACTGGAAAAAAAATAAAGAAAATGAAATAAAAAGTGAAGTAAATAAAATTTAATCGACAATGCTCCATAATGTCATTATTGGATAATATGTCAACGAATATTAGAATACATGGTCATTTTTGATGAAGTAAATCGTAAAGGAATATTTCTCATATTAGCTCCAGCAGAAAAAAGAGCTTTAACATTAGTATCTGAACGAGTTCGAGCTGGTCCAATAACTTTCATTTGCCTGCAGTGAAATGAAATAAATATCAGTGACAGAAAAAATGTTTCATCAATCGCTCAACTAACAATTAATAAAATAATAAAGCTGATGAAAATTTGAAACTCATTTTCTATTCCATAATAAGTAAGAAAAATCATCAAAAATAAAATAAATTACTGTATATTAAAGCATAAAATTTATGCGCGAACTCTTACCTAATATGCGTATCTCTACCATTCTGATGATTTTGAACAACTTGGAGCTGTAAAACGAAGGCACGAGATGGTCGACCATTAGCTCCACGTAGGTCAATCACCTAAAGAAATAAAATTTATAAAATAAAAATTTAGATACCACATTCAAGAAACTGCAACCAGAAATGGCTTCTTTTTTCTAACAAAACCTTTGTGGAACCGCGAAATCAACATCAAAATGAATTTTGTTCGCATCTGCCTCTCTGAGGTCTTCACAAAATCCTATTATGTGGCTGCCAAACACAGTAAGTGTGAGCTGAGAATACGAAGAACCTAACCAACCTTGTCTATTTTTGCTTAACGCATATTTTACGCTGAGCGAATAGAACCTCATATGATTATATCCACCTTCATTTCAGTATTACCTGTATTAATAGTACCTTTATTGAGTATTAATATCTAAGCTGATTAGGCCATCTTCACTGTAAGATGAAGGCACGAAATAACGACGTAGTATTAACTGATATAAATATCGCCTTGTGATGGATCATGTTAAAAGCGAGAATGCCCAAGAAAATGTCGATCTAGGGAGATTTTGGATGTAAAAGCAATCTAATAACATATAAGGAAAAAAAGGTTATTTTCTGCTGTCCTTTTCACTTTCAATTGCAGCATCGAATCCTTGAATATACCTTACTCTTGAAGTAAGTAGAGCTAACGCAACCAGCAATAATGAAGAAAAATTGTCACCATGTAAACCACGAATATTCATTCTATTCACTAGCGACTTCCATCATACAGTGAAATAGTATTAATAGGAAATACTTTAGGATGGCAACTGCGAAACAAATCCTGATGGTTCAAATCTTTCATTTTGCTACCGAAATTAGTTGAAACAATTAAGAAAAAAAAAACTTGGGCAAAATTTTGCTCAAAATCGCTAAAAACAAAAGTTAAATCAATTATTCTAGAAATAAAAATAGAATATTGAAACAAAAAAAAGGCACCTGCCATCCAACTGGCTCGGTAAACATAACAACTAGACCTTCGTCAAGGTCAAGCACTGATGATCCAAGATGAACAACAACTCTTAAAAAATTTTTGAATCAAAGATCTAAAAGATGAAAAAAATAAATAAATACTCCATTATTTCTCGACTAAACCTTAAACAAATATTAATTAAAAATAAATATCAAAATTAAAATAAGAAATAGATATCATGCTACAAGGCAGTACTATAGTACTATAGATAGTACTACTCATACAAAGAATCGTCCATTTCTAGTCTCACGTACATTTTAAACACGTGATTCGCACTTTTGTGTAGCATGAAAGATTATTCTTACAAGATAAAAATATCTAATAATTTTTATTCTTTCTATTTCAACCAAAAATTATTTACAAATTACTTGCTAGGAGTGTACGATTCATCCGTCTTATAATCCAAGTATAAAAGAAGGAAACATATCTCCGTTTTTCTGTCAAATTCAATGGTCACTGTGTGAGGCTGTGGTCCATCTGACTGCCAATACTGATCCACATTATCTTCAAGTAATTGTTGAATACCAAATCCGTCTGAAAAACTTCGTATAAAATTTCCATATCTTCAAAAAATATATGGATCATCAGTATTAAAAATGGTTTATATGCGTAAAGAAAACCTGTTTTACAGCTAGACAACGTCCAAAAAGCATGGTCCGAGATATCTCGTACATAACCAGCATTTTTAGGCAATGCTCTTTTCCAATCCATATTTTCTTCCGTAGACTTCTTTGTTGCATCCAACTGCTCCATATTTGTATCTTCAGCAGTGCTATCTGAAAACATAATTTAAAATTTTAGCCGATAATTTCGTTCTGTAATTTTATGCCTTTGATCCAATTCTCATTCAAACTGATTATGTCCTTTTCCTTCTTTTCACTTTCTTTTTTCCTATGTTTCTTAATTTTTCACCTTTTCAAACTTCTCTCAGTGACATTCCTCTTCCTCACCAATAATTGATCTACGAACTCGCCTTTCTTTACCAGTATTTAAAGCAAGGGTAAGGATGGTCGAGTCGTATGGTTGTTTCGATGCCGAACACCATAGGTTGATTCTTTGATTCCGATATGTCTTTAAAAAAATCCCAAATGGCGAAAGCGACTCATTTATGCTTCTACAGTTAAGTGATTCCTTAAAAAAAGTTCCGAATCGTAAGCCTATTGTTTTTTCAGCTATGAGCGAGCAGCTCAGAAGGAAAGTACCAAATAAATATCAATAGTTTTACTTACAACATCGAATCAGCAATTTACAATTTATTTTGTAAGTAACGCTGAGTCATGTAAAAAAAATTTCTTCATGAGGATTAATGCGACGAAAATACAATAAAATCAAAAATAGAATGGCAAATAATTTTAATATTTTCACCTTCCCAAATCAATTCGTCTGCACTTCGTCCCCTTCCAAATAACTGCAAATTGCTCATTTCACTGAAAAAAAACTTTTTTTTCTTATCTGTTAAAAACATGTATCGCACTGTATAAATTTTGCGAACTTTTCTAGCATTTAAAACACTATATATACACTAAACACTAAATTAAACATAGCCCGTACAGTAAGTATATAAATGGTTAACAGTCGGCATTTTCGGTTAGACTAGCTCCACTGGCTATTTGTACGGTGAAAAATTTTATCACTTAGTGAGAGAAATGCCATCCGTCACCGCTCAGGCAGGTTTATTCCGATCGGTGCCGAACTCCCGTTTCCTAGCTGCCGATTTAAGTAACTCTGCGTCATTATTCGCAATAATGCACTGTTGATGCATTCTACGTCGAACAAAGTTTTAAACAAACAAATTAAAAGACAGATGAATTATTAATCGCGAAATTGTAAACAAAATTTTAATAAATTTAAATAAATGATACGGCTTAAATAAATGATAATTCTGTGATAATAAAAAGTCGGCCCAGTCAATAATGATAAGCGCCGTTGCCATATTCTACTAAATTTCCATTTCATTCAAGGGTTTTAAAATTTCCTCCTAAAAAATATCCAAAATAAATTCCAAAATTCTTATTTCGACTAATAGAATAATTTTAATTCCATAAGTTCATTTCCTAAGTTTGGCTGAAGGTTAGAAATCGTAAGATTACAGCCGCGGATCGGCTGTTTTGTCTGTTATTCAAATTTTTTCTGGATTAGGAGTAAAGCTTTTAGATGTAATCTACAGCTGCATTGATTTTCGTATATGTGCGAGTTATAATATTTTGAATTTCTTAGATGCTTAAAGTGAATAAAATGTTACTTTGGTGTTTTGGTGCCTCTCATTTTTTTTTAGCATTCACCATTACTGGTTGGCGCGGTTCCACAGACTTTTGACTTGTTCGGAGAGTCTCATGGAAATATAATTACAAGTAGTCTTAAGTGAACGTGGCAGAACCGCCCTATCTCAGTGCCTTTTGCTCAGTACCTTTCTTTTTCGCATTGTCTTTTTTGCAGCGCCCATTAGCGGTCGTAGGTTTTCGTGCACTTTTCTTTTTCTTTTGTTTTTTCTTTTTTTTCATTGTGGATTTATTATTTCAACTTTTATCCTTAAATTATTCCGAAACTAATAATTTGCTCCACAGTCTTGTCTTTTTATCTTCTCCTATCTTCGTATTTTTTTCCTCAAGAATAGTGCAGCCTTGCATCATATCAAGTAACCAATAAGTACCAAGTAAGATTTGGGAATATTTCGACATTGATGATGGAGATTGATGAAAAAAACTCTAAAGAAACTAATTGCTTAATTTGTTGGCTTTATATGTTATTCATTTAACAATGAGAGAGTAAGAAACGATATTCAAACATAAGAAAGGGTTGCATGTATAAATGACTAATTCATGAATTGTTAGTATAATTGTTAATATTGTTTTTGCGAAGTGTGGTTTTAATAACAGATCGATGTATTTTTGATTGAAATATTTGTTTATATTTTTATTGAAATATTTTATTTAACATATTTAGATTAATCAGTATAATTATAGATGTTCATTTTTTAAAACGATTGTGAAAGATTCGAATAAAATGGATGAAGTAAAGACGACATTGGAGGATTTCGCAGAATTCTGTGGTTTCAATTTAAGCGCAACTTCTTATTTTCGTCGTTTTATCTTCAAAGATTTGAACTATGAATTAAGACCATGTGCGGAATCGCTCTTGGTTTTCATCCAACATTTTCCGCTTTTTTTCTTTTCTGTACTCGCAGTCTTCTCACTTTCGGTTTGTTTCTTTTATTTTCATAAAATTTTTCGTGAAAAATTCTTCAAAAACTTTTAAAAGTAGATTTAAAAGATTTGAAGATTTTGTGTATTTTAATTTATAATTTTATTATAGCACATATTCATAAAGTTTATGAAAATCATTTCGTTAGTTCATTAATAGCGTGGATGCAGCAACAAATTGCGAAATCGACGAAGTACTGGAAAATGTGTTGCGCGATGAGTTTATAGCTAAAGCTAAAGTTAAACCTAGAAAGCTTAAGTAACATACATTTAAATAATTTGAATGTTCTTTTAAAAATCTGTTTAAAACTGCCTTTCATTTTTTTAAGATTTTTTTTCTTTATAGAATTTTTCCTTTTCCTTTAATTTTACGCTCGTTATTTCGATATATTCTTTTTATATTCTTTTTTATTAGTTTAATTCGTAAATCATTGTTAATTATAATCAGTTGTTAGTTCTCTAATGAGGTATGTACCATGGCGCAAAAACAAAAAGTATTTTTTGTATGAAGAAGATAAAAGTGCTAAAAAGAATCATATTAAAATCATATTTTCAAGGTCAAGAAGCACTTTGAAACAGAAAGATGCTCGGGTCATTTGCGATACCATCGCTGAAAGCAATAAAAGCCATTCCTTTTTCCATCATCTAAGTCCATATATCGCTATGTCTACCTATGCGTCCAAAATCTTTCCTGGCTGTGTCAATCAGGTTTTGACTGTCCCACTTTGCTTTTGATGCCATCCGTCACAGGGTTTAGCAGGTAGCAAAATATATGTCTATATAGTAAGATCGAGCGAATTGCAGCTGTGTGGACTCGGATATTTGCCTTTCGTCTTTACGATGATTTTGCGACTTAAAAAAGTTCATAAAGGTTTCGTCAACTGGAAGAACGTTTCTAGTTACCGTTGTTCGAGCTGTGATTTCTTCTTTTGCCTGGCCATTTGAGATTAGAATGCATCCAAGATATTTGAAATCGGATATTTCCTCAACCAGCAATGAATTGATCAAAATAGGTATTTTAAAATATGAGCAAAGTTTGACTGTTTATATTTTCTATAAAAATTGGATCCCATATTGCAGATAAATATTCTATATGTCTTTCTAGGTTTCATTTAGTTGTATTAATCTAGAGTGTATTATAACTTTAAACAATATAATAATTAATGGACTGAAATTACGAAAAATTTGCATATAAAATTATTCCAAGATTGTTAAATTTTCTTCGTGCTATTAATTATGACAGTGAATTAGTTGGACTTATTTGTTTATCTATATTCTTAAGCAGATTTCATATGTGACATTTTATAGACGTTTCGACGGATCACTTCTGATAAAATATGGTTTTTGATGCTTGAAAAATTTTTCCTATCACTGGTGACTACAATCATTTTTGGTTTATGCGTTTTTCTTGGATTGGTATCATATTATAAATTGAGTTCAGTCGATCTTATACTTTACTCATTTTTGTGTTTAATTTGGTTTATTTCTTCGTCTCAATGCGTTATTTCATTGCTTTTTACAACGTAAGTATTTTAATTGTTTTTATTCGATTTGACCATATTAGCCACATCGGTCCTCGAATATAAATTTTGTAGTGGAAATTTTATTTGGCTTTTTTAGATGGACATTTTCGATCGGATTTTTTTTGGCTTATAAGATAGCGGCATTTTCGATTATTTTTTTTTCGGTTCATCGATGGATAATTTATGGCTTTAATGATTTTCGTACATTTCTTCCGTTATCAACTGTACCATTCCACTGTGTACATTTGTTGGTTTTGTTGTATGAATGGCATATGTCTAGGTTTGTTTTTTGATTGTTTTTTGTGAATTTTTCAAAATACAATTTCTCAGTTTTAGGTTGCTTATGATAGTTTTAACATAAGAAAGTTCAGCCTTTATTTAGCTAATCAAATAACTAATTTAATAATTTAATTTAATAATTTAAATAGAGTAGGCTGGTCGCATGTATGCTGTTTCAGCTAAGGCATAGCCATAGTATTTACATTGATCTTCCTTCATAAAGATAAACCTGCCATTAAAAAGAGTCCAGATGATATTTAAAGGTTTTCATCATGATAGTGAATGAAGTCAGCCAAATCAGAAAAATATTGTTAAGATACGAGCAAGAAGATTGGTAATATGGAAGAAAAATATGAAAGAATTAGCTGAAAAAGATGAATATGTAGGAAAACAAATTAAAAAAAGTGAAAAACTTATCTAAAAATTTTAAGAAAAAATCTTTCCGCTTTGTATTCCGATATTGAAATTAATGATACATTTGTATCGCATGATAACATTGATGAGCCTGGTAATTTTCTCTCTCGAATATTCTTTTGTTGGACGGATTCGCTGGTTCAAAAAGGGTATAAAGGTCAACTTAATGAGGTCTGTGATTTTATGGATTTTTCATTTTTTGTTTGAAATTATCTTCTTTATTTTACGATTAAAGCGCAAAAATACTATTAAATGATGTATTTTCGAAATTATATTTTTCAGGTTACGGATTTGTTGGCGTTGCCTTCAAGTTTAAAGGTCAATATTGTTGAAGATGAATTCACTGAATCTTCATCAACACGCTTTGTCGATAATGAAGACTTTTCTTTGCTCAAGACCTTGATTATGGCTAGATTTTTATGCCTTTTTACTTAATAAATAAGTACATTCTAAAACCTCTCATTTTTTTTTGAATCTGCATTTTTCTCTCAGATTAGTTTTTTTCTAGGCGTTTGGAATTCCATATTTTGCCATTGGCATTATAAAGTTAATATCTGATCTCCTGGTTTTCTTAGGTCCACTACTTCTTCATTCTCTCGTTGTTTGTTTCGAAGATGTGAAGTGTAAGGTAATCTGTTTGTTCATTTTTTTTATTTATTTAACCACAAAAAATATGAATTTCCATTTTAAAAAAATTTTTGATAAATAAGAAATGCTAAAGCTGACAGTGGTTTCATCTCATTTTTTGTTTGTGGTTTATCATATTTTAGATTCGATTATAATTCTTTTTATTTTCCAGGAGGATGGGTATCTTTATAGCGCTTTGATGGTTTTTGCTTCATTTCTGACGGCTATTTTGTCAACTAATTTCAATTATTATGTTTCCAAAATAGCTTTAAAAATTCGCTGTGCAATATCTATTGCTTTATATGATAAGGTTTCGTTAATTTTGGAGCTTACCTATGCAACTTTCAATTGCTCTATACCTTCTTTATCGTTTTGAAATTGTGTTTTTCAGATTACGGATCATTATTATGACTTTTTCATCAAGGATTGTAAAAATATAATCTATTTCTAATTAAAAGCTTAAATCTGGGTTCAGTAAAGCTTGATTCTATATGTGACACTTCCGTTGATTAGTATTTGCATTGGCTATAGATCGGTGATTAATATAATTAGCTTTATGATAAATACGTTTTCTACGTTTTCAGCTGCTCCGTTTGCGATTATCCACATTGTCATCCTTTACATCTGGTGAATTATTTAATTTTTTAAGTAGTGATGTTGATCGCATCGTCAATTTTTGTACTTCTTTCCATTCATTTTGGAGCTTGCCTATGCAACTTTCAATTGCTCTATACCTTCTTTATCGTGAGGTAATGGTTTATGCAGTGAAAATTATTTTCTTTTGCTAGAATATTTCCATAAAGCTTCCATCCACTTTATGTGCGAAATATCTTGGAAATTGGGGAAATTGTTTCTGTCTATGTGCTCACATTTAGTACATTTCAAGGTAGGTTTGGCTTTTCTTGCTGGTTTGCTGGCCTCCATTCTTCTCGTGCCAGTCAATAAATGGATTACCATCAAAATTGGCCAGTTATCAACAAAAATGATGGATTGCAAGGATCAGCGTGTTAAGGTTGGCATTGATTATCGCTACAGTTTCTTTATCATTGCTATTTTCATAGTTCTTTTACATTTTTCTTCGGTTTTATACATCTTCATAGATTACATATATTTTCACATATTTTTAAGCTGGTAAGTGAGATGGTGCATTCCATTCGAACCGTGAAATTGTCGAACTGGGAACATGAATTAGAACGTCGTATCACAGTTTTACGTCAGAGAGAGCTGAATTATCTTCGTGGTCGTAAATATTTGGATGCTTTATGCGTTTATTTGTGGGCTTCAGCTCCAGTGCTTATTACTGCTGCAATTTTTGCAGTTTATACTCTTCTGCTTCATCGTGAACTTACCGCAGCAAAGGTTGATGTTTATTTGAGGCATTAAAAAATTTACTTCATTACGATTTCATTTCGTTATCTTTTAAAATTTTTAGAATAAATTATGAATGACCGAATAAATCGACATGTTTGGCTTCATTTCTAATTTTCCTTCTTTCCCAAAATTTCATGATCTATATTGTTCTGAAACGAATCATTATAGAAATATAGCCAGATCTCATCATTATTATAATTGAGTGGTTACGCCTGGTTAATAAAGCTACATTTCATCTTCGTTTTGTTTTTTTTTTCTTTCTGCGTAAAATCGTTGAATTTATTCGTCTTTTAATTAATTTATTTTAGGTTTTTACATCTTTGGCCCTGATTAACATATTGATAATGCCATTAAATGCTTTCCCTTGGGTTTTAAGCGGAATTGTTGAATCGTATGTTTCATTGAAACGACTCAACAGGTTTTTCGCATTGGAAAGTATCGATCTTGCTTCGATTTATTCATTGACCACGGGTTATTAATCGTTATTCAGCGACATTTTTTTTATCCTCATTTTTTCTACTGACCTTAGTCAACTGTGCATAAATTGATGTTTGGTTATAAAAGAATATTTATTTCCTCACTGTCAAGATTTTTATCTCAAAAATACAATAGAACAGATTTATTTTTTATAATTCGATCACATACACACGCATATAATGCATTTGCTAATAGTTTTCCCAAAAATGTCGCCAATAGTTTTTCAGATGCTACTCAACCAATTCAAATCGATGGTGCGACTTTTTACTGGAAAAGTGGGAAATCTGTTGGAAATGTGGTGGTAAATGGAAATGTGGTGCGATTTTTTGAAATATTCAACTTACAAACCATTAAAATAAATTTGCTGGTAAAGAGAAATGTTATTATTTTGATCGAATTTGTCGAACATTTTTCTTTTATTAAAGGGAACGGTAGTCGGTATATTTGGTCCTGTTGGTTGTGGCAAATCCACTTTTTTACTAGGAATTCTTGGCGAAACAGAAATTATAGGCGAAATTCGTATCAGGTATTTTAAGTTTTCATTTAATTTATTTTTTTCCAGGTGTTTTGATTTGATGACAATGCTTTTTGATTGATAGAATTTGTGCAAAAATTAGCAAAAATTAATTTAAAGTTTATTTCAATTTTCAAACTTCGATTTAATAAATGAATTAAAAAGCAGCAAAAAAAAATTTCCTCGTTATACCGTGAAATTTTCAGGCAAAATGCAGTCCGAGAAGGATTCGCTTACGTTTCTCAGAATTGTTGGTTGCAACGTGGCACTGTTAGGGAAAATATAATTTGCTATAAAAATTTTGATGAAATGTTCTATAAGAAAGTTGTACGTGCAACTGCTTTAGATGTGGATATTGATGTAAGGTCATTTCACCCTATTAATTTTAACAAAATACTAACGCAATTGGACTGCATTTTTCAGTAGATATAATAAAAAAGGTACGAGAATTCTGTTTTAATTTTTGCGCATTTTCTAAAATTTTTTCTAAGAGCGCTCGCAATTTCTGATTAAACTCGCTATGGGCATATAGAGCAGGCATTTTTTTCCAGAGTGCGATAGGAGTATAGATGAGTCGCCAGCATAATCTACATTTTTTTGGAGGGCAATTTTACTCATACTCTTGCGGAAATAGAAGTTATGGTCCATTTTTCCCTTATTTTTTAACATTTTCTATATTTAGCAGAAATCATGAATTTGTTTACCAAATTTTTGTTTCTTAAGTCATGTTTAGAAAATGCTGCACTGCTTTCGTGGATTTTTTTGACTAATTTCATAAAATATTTTTCCTAGGGTATGCCTGGAAATGACGAATATGAAATTGGTGATGGTGGTCGTACTTTAAGTGGTGGACAACGAGCACGCATTGCTTTGGCCAGAGCTGTCTATCAGGTAATTCATTAAAATTGACATCGCTGAAAATGAGTTGAATATAAATATTAAACATAAAGCAGTTGATCATTCATTATACAACATGTTTTGTGAATTTTTATGATAATGGCTGCAATTAATCATTTCGAGTTAACATTATTGTTTATGAATTATTGTTTGTTTTATATTACTGTTGGAGAGGCTTTAGAAAGTAATCTGGAAGCGGATTTGATATTTAGGATCTCGACGTATACCTGTTAGATGATCCATTTGCTTCTGTTGACGCCAAAGTTGGCAATCATATTTGGAAAGAATGTATTATGGGAATGCTGAAGCGTCGAAATAAAGTTGTTTTCGTTGTTTCACACAACGCAGCCTATTTGAAAGATGCAGATGAGGTCATTGTTCTCGATAAAAATGGAAAAATTGCTAAAAGAGGTAATTTATTGATGAAATGTTATATTTCTAATATTATTTGATTGCGCATTTAAAGCTTGGATTTCGTTATCTATACATCGTTTTCCAAAATTTTTTTCTAATTTCCAGTATCAAATACTCTTGTAATTTTGTCCTTCATTTATATTAAATCAATAAAAAGCAATACACTTGAATTTATGTGAGAAAGTTTGGCAGTCTAGTCTGGTTTTTTTTTCTTTTGAATTCATCATTAATTCTTCGCATTTAGGGATTCCGTCAAAAGTCTTAAATTATTCTCCAACACAAGAATTGTTATCACTTCAGGCGAAAAGTTATATAGAATCTAACGCTGAACATTTCCAATCTCCTCCTGAAGAAAAACAGGTGGGTTCATTTCTTATGAGAGGCGTTTTAAATTTGTAAGAATTTGTGAAAATTTTTTCATTATTCTTCTCTAGTTTTTATTTTTTTGCCTTATTTTTCAATTCTAATTCTGTATGAATGTACTACTAAATTATACATAATTTTAGTTTAGTGGTAACATGAAATTTTGAATCGGTTCGGTTGAATTTTTTTTCCATTGTTTTAAAGAATTTAAGCCCTGATTTATATTGATTTTTCTTTAAAAATTATAGCAAGGTAAAGTGCGTTTAACGGTATATCGTTATTATATTCGAGCAGCCGGTATTATTCTTTCTTCTGCCATAATCCTTGCATTTACTATGATGCAAGCGTCAAAAAATGTTTCGGATTGGTGGTTAAGCAATTGTTCGAAGAAAAACGCCAATCTTTCTTCAATACCTCTTCGGTATGTTCGCTAGTAAATTTATTTTAATGGATAAATTTTATGTTTGAAAAGGAATTAGTGGTGAGTATAATTGCAAAGCTTTGAGATAATATTGCTCCCTTTATATGGTAATGTAAAAGTATTGGTATTTTTTCTTATTGACATTTTAAATGAACATGAGTCTGTGAAACTCAAAAAATTTCAGATTTCCAGATTTTTTATGGACTTTTCAAGAATATAGCATCACTGACTGGAGTCGGACAGTATACTTCTTGACAGTATATATGATATTGGCTGCTAGTAATACGTTGTTCACCCTTATAAGAGCTTTTCTATTTGCTTACGGAGGAATGAATGCGGCAACTCGTCTTCATTCCATTCTTCTTCATCGTATTTTGAAGGTTTTTGTAGATTTTTTTCTTAAAATTTTGTGTTTGAAAAATTAAGTTATTTTCCATCCTTTTCTTTGGCCAGAACTTGAAAAAAATTAAGTTATTTTCCATCTTTTTCATTGGCCAGAACTTGATTCTTTGATTAAATGGACGATGGATTCGGCAGGAGCTGTGATCACGAATCTTCGTCTGCTTATTGCTATTTTTGTATGATCATAGGGTATAAAATAATGGTTTAGGCTCCAGTTCAATGGTGGGAAAATACACCATCGGGTCGTATAATTAATCGATTGTGTGCAGATATTTATAACATCGATGACTCGCTACCTTTCATTTTTAATATATTTTTGGCTTCATTATTCAACCTTTTCGGTTCAGTGATACTTAGTTTTTATGCAGTTCCATCTCTGACGCCAATCTTCATTTCACTTTTCATAATATATTATCTTATTCAGGTATTTTATTGATATTTCAAATTTTTTTAATAAATTTTTTTGTGATTTTTAATGATTCTAAAATAAGAAATTTGCAATATTTCACTTGTATAATGCTTATATTTGTAATGATACTTTACGTAATTTTTTTTGAAGCGCTATTATCGATATACTACATGTGAAGTAAAGCGATTAACGTCGATTTCCCTTTCTCCTTTATACAATCATTTAATGGACACTATAAGTGGTTTGAGTACCATTCGTGCTTTTCGTTTTGTGGAAAGGTATAGTTATTTCCTTTTTTTAAGCCTTCTGGTGCATTTGCGATCTTCTTTATTTCATGGACATCTTTAGATTGTCAGACATTGATAAAAATCAAGTTCATTTTCTTCATATAATAAGCACATATAATCTATATATAAAGGAAGAATTAGCCTTTGTTTTTGAATTTTAAATTTATTATTGAATTTGTTAATTTTTCTTATATTTGGAAATTCCTTGAAATTTTGATTTATAACTCAATAGATTTTCAGTTTTATGGTTCGTTTCCGCACATGTCTCACTGATAATATTCGAGCTCAGTATTCCACTTTAGCTTCTTCACAATGGTTAACAGTGCGTTTGCAGATTATTGGTGCATTCATGGTTTCAGCTGTATCGCTCACTGCAGTTGTGCAACATAATTTTTATTTCGTTGACACCGGTAAATTTCTTCTAATTTTTCCAGACCATACCTGCTGATATATCTTTCTTTTTTATTCATTGCCGTTTTTCTGTTTCTAATTCCTTATAGGAAATTTTGAATGTCTAATTTATTCTGTCAGTATAGAGAAAAATTTGCTATAGGTTTCATTGGATTGGTTTTAATGTATGCCCTAACAACTACCAATCTTTTAAATACATTGCTTACCTCGTTTGTCGATTGTGAGAAAGAATTTATTTCGGTCGAGCGTATTGCTGAATTTATCGAACATACTCCTCAAGAAGACAATTTTTTTGAGAAGAAGGTAGGTTTTTAAGTTGTTTTTTATTTACATTTTTTGCATTTTTTTTAAGATTTAGGTTAAGTTATCGAAATAATAGGAATTTTTTATTCAACTACAAGATAATGATCTGAAGATTTATCTGAAGGTGATATCAATAATGATCTTTTTGTTGCTTTGTGAGTAGAAGATTTATATTTTAAACAATTTTAATTCAGTTTGGGCTTTTAAAAATATAAAGAGGAATTAATTTTATTTTTTGTTTAAATATTTTGTACTTTATATGATTTTAAGTATTCTTAAGTTACTTTCAACTGTGTATGGTGAAATACGTTTTGAAAATGTGGCATTGCGTTATTCTCCTGCTCTGCCTTTAGCAATAGAGAATGTTTCATTTCGAATCGAACCAGGCAGTCGTATAGCTATTGTTGGCCGAACAGGGTCTGGCAAAAGTAGTTTGATTCAGGCTTTGTTGCGAGCAAACCCTATATGTTCGTTTCTATATTTAGCCATATTTCTTCTTTAAATTTTTTTCTAAGAGTGCTCATCATTGCTAGTAAAATTTGCTAGCGAGAGCAAGAACCATTCAACCATTCTATTGTTTAATAAAAAATTTATATTTAATTCATTTTTGTTCTAAATTATTTGGAAAAAGTTCGTTTTTTTCAAAGTGCGAAATTATTTTTATTGAGATTTTTAATTTGTTTTTCAAATTTATGATTTAAAATTATGTTTATGTTTATTATGTTTATTTATAGGTGCGGGCAAAATATTTATCGATAATGTGGACATTTATACGATTGAATTGCACTCATTACGTTCTTTATTTGGTATTGTAACACAGACTCCATTCATTTTCTCTGGTACTCTCCGTGATAATCTTGCTTTTGGGGCTAGTTTATCTGAAGATGATATCAATAAAATACTAAATGTCAGCCAGCTTGGTTTGTTTATTTATAAATTCGATGAAATTATAAATTGTTAAAATTCGTGCAAAATTCTGTAATACAAATTGCCATTTATTTTACTTCGATGTTCTTGACGTTCCTGGACCATTATTCGATTCATTTAACTCTATAGGCTGTTAATTTAATTTTTTTATTCTTTATTTTTTATATATTTATTCCTTTTGTATTTTACATTTATTTATATGGTTTTTTAAAAAACAGTCAACAAACAGTCATTTATATTATTGTCAGTGTTTTGTTGCGGGTTGATACACCAACGTTTGTAAATTCTCCATAAAGAATCTCTAAATTTTTTTTAAATAAAATTCTTATTTTCTTTTATCAAAATGTAATAGACATAAATTGTTTTATTTGCCATAATTGATCGATTGGGTGGTCTTGATGGTTTTATCGAAGAAAATGGAGCGAATATTTCGTTTGGTGAGAAACAGATCATATCAATTTGTCGAATTGTTCTTGCCCATCCGAAGGTTTGAATCTAAAAATAGTATTCACTTAAATTAGGGTTTCAAAGCGTTCTATGAAAAAATTGATTTAAATAAACCATTCAGTTTTTTACTTGATGATCTTAGTAAATGTTCTTTTTTTGAAGCATAAATAACTCTGCTGAATTTAGTTCTGCAAGTTTTATGATTGAAAGAATGTAAATTTGAAAATGAGGAAATTTGATTGGTTTTAATGAATATTACACTACAGATCTGTAGTATAATATTAATGAATATTATACTACAGATTGTGATATTCGATGAAGCCACAGCACATATGGATTATGCAGCTCATTCTGATATGAATAGATTGGTGCGTTCTCTTCTTCCTTCGTCAACAGTGGTTTCAATTCTACATAGAACGGAAACTATAAGTGATTATGATAATGTTATCTTCATGGACAAAGGTCAAGTCGTTTGGCAGGGTACTCCAAACCAACTCTTCTGTGATGATATTAGTATACGGTTCAATAATGCTGTTTAGCTTTTAGCTATATTTTCTTTTTGTCATAAATTTATCCATTTTTATATATGTGTTGGTGTTATAAACCGCTTAGTGATTTTGATAATGTTTTTGTATTAGATAATTCTTTATTAGATAGATTATACTTTTGTTTTCTAATAATATGGCTGGTCCCATCGACTAATTCGCCATTGAATCAGAAGTTTCGTGCATTTCCGAGCATTTGTATTATGCGGTAGCACTGTGATCGTTTAAGGGTTCAAAGAGAAGTTTTGTAAAAAAAGAGCTATTATAAGGATAAATAATAGTGTGTCTTGTTATTTCTGTTTTTGTTAGTACATTTGGTGGAGTACCATTTTCAGTTTTCGGATTTTATTTCTATTACCATTTTATTGTTTTAAGAGCTTTTTTTCATTAAACTATTACTTTTTGAAACCATTTTAATCATTTTAAAATATTTCGCAGGATTTGATCTCCTGGATAAACTAGCATAATTTCCATCTCTTAAACTGCGATCAAATGGTCGTTTTCTTTTTTTCATTTTTCTTATAATCTTGTTGGATATTACGTATGATATTTGCCTTCGTTTTCTTCATTCTTCTGAAGTTTTTTGTTGTTTTTGAGGAAACTTATTGCTTTTATTCATTGCTGAAATAAATATATTGAAATATTGATTTATAGATGTGGAAACTTTTGAAGATGTATTTTCAAATGATACTTTTTAGAAACTTATTTTGATAAAAGTAATAGGCTAGAGGTTGCAATTTCTGTTAACAAACGCTTCGAGTTCGATTGGAGCATTCAAATTTGGTTAGCAATAAGCCATATGCGTTATTTTTAGAAAAAGACTCCCCTTTTTTGAAAATAACCTATGTTCGGGGAGTAAAGATGCGCTGTCTGGGCAAGCACGATGATCATCCGGTTTTGAAGCGTCGCCATGATGGTATAAAATGAAGTATTAGCACCATTTAGCAAGCAAGGTTTTGAAGTTGGCGTATAAGTTGCGTGTGGATTTTCAACATTTTTATTATAGTTCAGACTTTCCTTTAAATTCTTGTGAGCCTCGTTTTGGCATTTCTGGAACTTTAGGATTGATTATTATGAGTTTGAGAATTCTAGCTAACAATGTTGGAGGCGCGAAGCCTAGAACCTCAGAACCTCTGTCTGTCGTGGTTTTCGTGGAAATAGGGCTAATTGTATTGAAAAATATATTTTTTGATGTTTGCTCTTGTTTACTTTTATGTTTTTATGTTTGCTGCATTCTAAATCTAATTTAACATTTATAAAGCAGTGTTTGACGTAAATTTATTCATATGAAATTTGTTAGCCTATTTCGTTTCGATTCATATAACCCTAAGCCAAATGCACCAACGCGCTCATTCAAATGACTCAAACTCGTGAACACATTGGTGTGAGCTAAATCGAACCCACGCTGATGCGTCTGGGATCATATGGTTGGGCAACGTGCCAGATTCTCGGATCGATTTTTTCCCATAATTCATGAAAATTTTGCGAACGTTTGAGTCATGCGAAATCATTTTTTAATTCTTCGCCTTGTAGGTTTCGTGTATTTCGATGTGTACGTCGTTTTATTAGGATTATAAGTTTTATTTTAAATTAGAATTTGTTCGGCGAGCGGTTGTGATTCATTTTTGTTGACAGAAGTTGTCACTGTTGGTTTGCGCATACACTTACACGGATGACTGCGTGTAAAACGAGCTTAAACTGCTCAATAGCGAAATAGCGAAAGTTGAAATTTTATGCGAATAAATTAGCGCAGACGTAAATTATGGTTTTGTCAATGCGTTATTGCGGTATGATGTTTATTTTATTTTATTTTCGGTTATGAAAAGGAATGGATAAGTTGAAGAACTGAGGAAACAGGTTTTTGATTTTTTGTCTTGGTATTTCGAAAAATGTGATTTCTCGGTTTCCCAGTTTTAATTAATAAAGGTTTTATACGAAGTAAATGGCACTGAGCATTCACTATTTGCGATGTGGTTGGTTACACTTATCTTTTCACCAGAGAATCATTTGAGAATGAGTCTGCAGCATCACTCGAATTTCACGTTTAGTGAAAGGTTAAGGAAAGGTCTGGTGTCGAATCTGTGACGCTTGGCCTTAGGCGAATCTATATTCGTCTTATCTGTACCGTCTTTAAACTTCGGCTGATAGTGCTTCTTGATGTTATGATAATTCGACAAATTACTTGGTCATCTTGTTTTAACAAAAAATTTAATCATTTCTGATGGATTATTTGAGAAATATTAAATTAATTTGAAATCTTCCATGGTTGTCATAGATCGGTTACTGGCAGTCGTGGTGGAATTTTTTAATCTAAATTTCATTTTTCAAATAAATTGAACGAGATGTCTATCGCTTATCTAGGCATTGAATAATTTAATTTTTAAACAATTTGTTATTAAGAAATCTTAGCTTAGCAGCCGCTTCACTTGCACCATTATTCCAATGGAGCCAGCTAAATCAAAAATGATTGTCGTTAAAAGGAAAATAGGAGAAATTCGAGCTTGGATTCATTACTTTGGTTTAGTATGCTGAAAATATGAATATGCAGAAATAAGCGCATTTGAGTTTGCGTCAATGTTTTGGTATAAGCACGTGTTTTGTTTTCCTATCGCTGAGAATTGATGTTTCTGTTTGTTCTTTTGTTCTTTTTTGCACTTTTTTTATACTCCTTTTTTCTGATTCTGCGATAAAATGTTAAATGAAGCGTCGTCGATGATACGAGGTTTTAGTATAAAAATAAAAAATAACAATGATTTGCTTTTTAGCAGATGGCGCAACAACAATATGGCTATGCAGGTCAGCCACCATACCAAGGTGGTGGTTATTATCCGCAGTCGAATAATCCATATCAGCAAGGTGGTGCTGTACCCGGATGGAATCCTACGCAACAGCCAGGTTTTTTATTTGTTTTGGTTTTGTTTTTAAAAAAAATCATACCCTTTTAGCTATTGATTAAATATTTCTTTGCTACCTGTTATTTCCTTAGTTATGTAGTTCTGTTGGAAATACTTGTAACGAAATTGATTTTCTTCTAATGGTGAAAATTTGAAAGGGCAACAATTTTTTATGCATATGGTTTTGTAATAATTTTTCTAAATTTTTACCTTCGTGGAATTCTTTTTTAATTTTTAGTTAGTATCAAAAGCATTTGATTAACTAAATTTTTTACCAGTGCTCATGCCAATAAATTATGTTATTTTACACAAGTTAAACTGAGTTGTTTGCTCATCGAAAGGTCCATCGTATTTTGCTTTAAAAAACCGCAAAAAAAAAATTTGGATAAAGTGTATGTCTTCATTATTTAAGTAGTCTGATAAGGAATGATGGAGCATTTTTGCGGAGAGGCAGTAAAAATTGTTAATTTATTTAGGATTTATGCCACCACCACCAATGCATGGAATGCCTATGAGCGATGCTTATGTAGAAAGTGGCGGTATAAAGTCTAATTTCGGTTTTGATTCCGTTTCAGTTCGGTCGGCTTTTATTCGCAAAGTTTTCTTTTTAGTCGCTATAATGGTTTGTTTTTTTTCCATTTTTTAAAAAGAACTTTGTTATAAAATCATCAAAAAGTCAGTAAAAATGATTTTTAAAATTTCAAATGCAAGGCTTTCCAAATTTCAGACGTTATTCTTGTGCTCTAACTTTACCCATTTAGTTAACTGTGGTCACATTGATGACAGCAATACCTTTCATGCACCGGGATACAATGACATTCATTCGTACAACTCCTTCGCTATATTATATCAGTTATGTGACGTTCCTCATTGTATATCTGACTTTGATGTGTTGCGAAGGTGTTCGACGATCATTTCCTGTTAATTTGATCGCGACTGGCATCTTAACGCTATCTATTGGTTATATGACGATGATGATTACATCCTTCCATAACGTCGTCTCCGTGCTGCTTTGTCTCATCATTACCGCAGTTTGTTGCGTTGGAATAATAATTTTTGCTTCACAGACCAAATATGATCTTACCAGGTTTTTTTTTTTTTTAAATATCGTCAGCTATTAATATTTTCCATTGTTTTTTTCTTTTGAGTCGGTTTTCGGTTTAATAAATTGTAAATTATTCGAAACAGGAACAAATTCATCTTTGCAAGTTGAGCCAGTCGCTAATTTGTCGTTTCAGTATGATGGGTTTCATGTTTATCGCTTCAATGGTTCTACTGGTTTTCGGCATAGTTGCAGTGATTGCAGCGGTAGCGTTCCACGTCAGCTGGTTATATACGGTTTATGCTGGACTTGCAGCTCTTCTTTTCATGGTTTATCTTGCTATCGATATACAAGTTAGTTTTTTTTGTCTCACACTCGAAAGCATTTAAGTCTGACTATTAAGAGTAATATTTAACAGTAAAAGTAGGTGCTATTAAAGAAGGGATACGTTGAATTGGAACTTGTTACCTGTGTCCCTGTAAATAACTAAGTATTGTTCATAAATTTCATATCGAAGTAGAAAAATCGAAATTTTAATTGTTTCCTATGTTTTTGTTTTTCCTTTTTATTTTATCAAATAATAACTGAATAAAAACATGAAAATAAACAATCTGCTGACATGACTGGTGATATGTATTGATACATGGGTTGAACAATAATATTTACAGTGTACAATTTTACGGAATGAAACGCTTTTCAATGTTTTTAGATGATAATGGGTGGGAAGAAGTTTGAGATTTCTCCAGAAGAGCATATATTTGCAGCGATACAGATCTTCATTGATATTGTTTATATTTTCTGGATGCTATTGACTATTTTCGGTTCAAACAAGTGAGTTTATTTATTCTTATGAACGTATTGTTTTTTTATTGCAATAAATGGTGAGATTTCTTAACTTGTAACTTAAATTTGTAGTTTTTGCTATGAAAGGTTCTGAAAACATTACAAAAAGTTATTATATTATTATACGTTGAATATGAATAAGCACAAAATCTCTGGCCGCTTAAAATGTGCTACATGTGCTAAATGTAGATTTTTTGATAAGCTTATTCTATCTTTTTGTTTAAAAATGTTATTAGGTAAAATCTTTGGCTTATTCTTATTCCAGCTGATATATACTCGTAAATTTGGAATTTTTGCTAATTTGCTAATTTTGAATCTTATATGGCACTGAAGAATAGAGTTAATTTTGTTTAACCTCAATCGGCACCTTTTAAATGTTCAAAAAATGTGTTTTCACGCTCTTATGAAAGAATCCCTTCTGTTTTTATTACAAAATCATTTATGATATTATATTGATTATTAATCATCTTTTAGACTTTGATAACGAGACTGTTAACTCGTATTTAGTATTTTTTAAAGTAATATGTCGAGGATTATAATAATAGCGACAATAATAAAATCGTCACACCAATGTAAGATCCCATATCTTCTGTAGAAGAGGAAGAAGGGCACCATGTTTTCAAATAGTCGATTGGGAAACCAATCATTCAACAGTTTCGTCTGTGGTGGAAAATTGCTGTATCCTTGTAACCTTACTGTTTCTTTCTAACCTACAGTTCATGCCATATGTCTGTTTTACTCATTCGGAATTTGAGAAATAGAAATAGAAATGTGTTTTCTTTCCTCCTGATAGCGGTGATTGGGTGGATTCGAGTTTGTTTAGCGCTTCAACAAAGGCTGTTATCTTTTTAGTAAATATTTTGCTATTCTTTATCATCACGCCTGATTTTCCTATACAAACTGCAGCCATTCACATGTCGCTGTTTGGGTAGGGTTGTTGGCAGACACAAAATGGCACAAATCTGTATTTAAGAACGAGGGACGTTTGACAAAAATGATTCGCGAGTTAGAAGACCTTGAACAATATCTTGCATGCAAAAGATTGTGCGATCCTGTTTAAGAGTCAGTAAACTTTTTGAGAAACATGGAATTGATGTTCATGGATCTATCGAAATTGCTTTTTGTTTTTTCTGTTTTCTTTTGTGGTGCATGTTCATTCGTACTTTTTTTTGTATAACGTGAAGAATGTACTATAAGTTGTTCTTCTATTTCTTGAGATGAGAATTATGGGCAATCGTTACTGCACTAATGGTTTTGGCAGTCTTTATTTTGCCTCCTTTCCGCAATGATCTATCACTTGTAATCTTCTAAAGAATTGAAATAAAGGCAAATTTAACACTGATTAGTCGATGGCTTTTTTTCAGGGATTGAAATGGGAAAGATAGTGGAATATGTATCATATGTATTTGGCGAAGGTCATACATTTTTTTTTACCTTTCATTTTTCATATGTTCTTAGAAGGGTTTGGTTGGTCGGTTAAAGTAATTTCATATAATCCGCAAAAAATTTTTTATCTTGAGGAATATCTTTATCTTTGTAATCACTATATATACACCATTTAAAAAGCTGTTCTATGAACATGGACTGTTTGCGCTCGGTTTCTTTTCTTTTTTGGAGTAGTATACCCGTTTTAGCCATGTGACACTATAATAATACTACATGGGGCACTAGTGTTTTATCCATTTTCTCTTCAATCCAATCCTAGTCGTTGCTGTTTGGTGATATTAGTAATTTATTGTGTGAGTATCGTCTTATAGAAGTCTGAGATTGCCATTTCACAAGGCTTTTTTAAATATGTCACATGAAAGGCAGTCGGTAAAAAGGCTGTGCGTTTTAAAAAATTTTTGCTTTTCAGTTGTAATTTTGAATTTAAATTTCAGCAATTAATCAAGAACTATTAATATACGTTATTCAACTAGCAGTTATGGTTTGAAGTTTGTCGCGAATCGCTTGCCGCGAAATAACATTTCATTTTTTTAAAATAATTTCTTTTCTCATTTCTTCGTTTTTTTTATCACTTGTATTTCATTTTTTTTTGCGCGAAAAAGCCGATCGTTTTGTGCAACCTAATTTTGTGCTGCGTTATCATACGAGATTGAAGAATAAAATTTTATATTTGCTCAAAATATTCATTAAACACTTATGGCATGATGCTAAAATAAAAATCGCTTATCAGCAATGGCCGGTATCATTGCTGATTATAAGAAATGAAGAATTGATTGAAATTATCATTTGATTCAGGTACAGAAAAACGATGTTTAAACAACTTTTCTCCAATGAAAAACCTTATTCAAGCCATTTAGTTATTCTCAGAGATGATCGATGGTGATAACATTTTTTTGATGAGGCGAATTGTCAATTCACCTGGTACATCTGGTCAACCGAATTTGCAAGAATCTTAGAATAGAAATGTTCTGGGAACAGCTGAAGGGCTTTGGCAACAAGGATTCGGCTCTCTTCGAAGTGTCCGAGCTGGAAGATGATTGTTTGTAATTGGGTGCGGTGGCTATGATAAGCAAAGAAATTGGGATCGTAATTTGGGAAGTTTCTGCTAAGGAAAAAAACACGAGAGGAGTGGTCGAAGTCTCTTAAAATGCTAGGAAATGTTCTTAGCTATTTTTAGCTAAATGAGCATAATAAACAAGGAATAGGGTTTTGTTAAAGGATTTGAAAAAGTAAAATCTGAAATCAAAGTTACCTGATATGCTAGCAAAGCAGCGTTGTAATGAGGTTCGAAAAGGTACGGCCCTTTCTCAATCGCCAAATGAAAAAGACATTGGCTTTCCCCCAGTTTCCCTTCCCTCATTTGTAATACTGCCAAATTGCAAATGCTTTCAGCATGACTGTTATCAGCAGCCATCGCTAAACGATAGCAACGTGCGGCCATTTTTGTATCGCCAGTTGCCTTAATTTCCCTATATCCTTACAGTCAGCAGTCATAAAAAATTGCATTAATGATGAAAGACTTAAACCTACTAGAAGAACATTTCCGGTGTTATACCAAACATCTGCGACCACATCATCGCTTGCAATATTTTGAGCACGTTCTATGCAAGAAATCGCTAAATCAAACTGTTGGCAAAAAAAGCAGCATAAACCGAGATTCATGAATAATTCGGCATTATTCACACCCACTTGTAGAATTCTTCTGAAAGCAGACATTCCTTTAACAAATGAAAATAGCCGTAATAATGAGTACAGTAATTTAGCTTATAAAGTCCGACTGCAGTTTTAATAAAGTGAGTTGGATTATAAATGAATTTGAAAATGAATTTGAAATCTACAAAAGTATTTTGTAGATTTTTAAAACAGAACCGAAGTCCAAACCTATAATATCGAAGAGCAACCTCAGGCTGATCACTATAAAAGTAGTTCGCAGCAACACATGCTATAGCTTCAATATTGTTTGGATCTTGACGAAGTATGTTTTTATAAGTATCGATAGATTTTTCATCATCGCCAAGCTGCTAAAATTTTAAAGAAAACAAATGGTTAGTTGTAGTTAACAGTTGCGTTTGAATTTTGTGGACTAGCAGCTGAACCATTTTATTTAAATTCAAATTCTTCTCTCTAACTCTTCTTCTTCTAACACCTCACCATTTCTGATTTGGCTGCCACCATTAATTATAGTATCTAGGCATCATCACCACAGAGTCACTGAAGGATGAAGTGGGAGTACCACCACCCGGGTTTCATTGTTAATTACACCTGTAATTATATAGTCAAATATGGGGAACTATATCGTTTTCCTATTTCGCTTCAAAGCCATCTTTCTTTTTATTTCAGTTTTCATTGTATTTTTAGTTATTACTCGTTCCAGTTTTTACCTAATAAATCTTTATGATAGTAATATTCACAGATTTATTTGGAGTCCATTCGCCTGTTTGATGAGCACAACCAGAGATACGGTCGACTAAGAATTATTCTGTGAAGAAATAAATGGCGAAAAAATCGATCTATCTGCGATGAATTGTTTTTCTAATGAAATATAAGTTACTTCATAAACTCGAGCAAGTCCGGTAAGAAGAGTGATATCGTTTTTGAATGTTTGCAAACCATTTGTATAATGTTCTATTGCCATAAATGGTTGATCCAAGCGTTTTGAAATCTGTATGAAAGCATATTTATTATTTATTATGTTGAAAATTAAAAAAAAATTTTCTCTCACTCCCTCATGGGTGGTCATGATCGTCCTCAATCTCAGGCTCTCTTGAAAACTGAAATGAAGAAGAGACTCCACGTTCTACGTGAACAGCAATTGAATGTGGGTCGGTTGATCCTATAATATCGGCCAATGCCGTTTTGCGAATTTAAATGAGAGAGAAGGATGGAAAAATTTTTTTATATTTTTAATATTTCTATAATTTTTATTTTCTATAATATTCGTAAAAAAAGGAATAAAAAGGAATACAAAAACTTTTGAAATTCTGAAAAAACCCTTCAAGCAGCGATTGGATTTAAAAGCAAATTTGCTGTGTTCACAAGTGTTTTAGACAACTTGGAAAGCTAAATTTAAAGTATATTTAGTCTAAAGTATAAGCAGAAAAAGTATATTTTATGGGTAAAAATAATTATAACAATTGGACAAATCAAAAAACCCAATAAGGAGTTTTTTCAAAAAAACAGATCAGGTATGAATTTGGTTACCAACAACCATTAGTTTTTTTCTATTACTTTAGGCATCTTTCAACCATCTTATTTTCAAGGCTACTGTACGGTTTTCCAAGGCTGAATTTTTTGGCCAGTGCTAGGAATCACCGAAGCAATTGTTTATTAATTGTCGCAAAAGAAATTTCATAAACAAAAAATTAAGTAGTGCTGTGCCAAGAAAAATTTAAATTTTTGACTCGCTTTAACAATCTTGCTTTAGAATTCCAGGACCATATGAGAAGAGTCTGTCTAAATGAATTGTAGATGGTTTTAGAGGGAAATATCGAATGTAATATGTTGGAGTATAGAGATGACCCGACCAATCTGGCATCCACTCTTCAGTTCACTCTTATTCAGGCAGACACAAAAGTTCTAAAAGTTCTAATCCACATTACAATATTATCATTTACATATTAAATCCTGTTTATTTTTTTTATGAATCTTGGTACCTTAGCCAGGTATGCATAGGTTTCAACCATCTTTTGGTTATTCAGCGATGATAAAAACTGCTTTGTAGCGTCAGCATACATTCCAAGACGGTAATAACATTTACCTAACTGATTCTTCCAGTACCAGTCGGAATAATTAGCACACTTTGTCGCTATTGCTGCTATCTATAAGTATAAGTATTTTTAAAAGTTTACAATTAAATGGGTTATCGTTAGAATATTATAGTATTATAACTTTTTTATAGACTTTTTGAGAAAACTTTTTTTTGAGAAATTGGAAGATTTCTAAAGTAACTCTGTACTCTCATATTCTTTCTAAATAACACCTAAGCGCAAAATGATAGAAAGATAGAGAAATTATGGCTAAGACAATGCCACAGGCGATAAGATCATCAATTACTCTACTTTTGGCATTCTCGATGACACCTTTGATTTTTATGGGTCGCCATCCACATCAAATTAATTACATTTATCGCAAAGTTAGCATGATCAAGTCATACATTGTTTCGATTATGAGTAAGAATAAGTTCGCCTAATAGGTTCAATTCCTATTTCCTATTTCCTATTTCTTAACGAGAATAAGTCTACCAATAAATACCCTAATAACTAGCCGAATTAGAAATGTGAGTACTGTTGAAAGAATTAAACAGATATTTTGTGATATAGTATAGTATTTATTTAGTATAGTGATATAGTATAGTACACTTTTTGTCCAGAGTTAAGACTAATCGATAAATAAGTGATAATCATTTATCAGATGCAATTGATTGACAAAATTAGGTGTAACTTGAAAGATGTTATTTGATTTGTTTAACCTTCCTCGAAATGAACTTTTCAAATATTGATTGATAGGCTTCCATTATAACGCTTCAATGATAAGTATCTTACTTGATGTGCAATTTTCATGTCGCCTTCATGGTAAAAGACATATTCGAATAAAAGACGAGATAACAGAGGATCATTTGCATATTTGTCGACATTCAAGCGTGAAAGATTTAAAAATGGTCCATCTTTTTGACTGACCATTGAAGCCTAATTATTTATCAGTAATTATTGTCTATAGAAAATTAAAAAAATTAAATATCAAAACTGGCATTGTTCATTATCTGGGAACAATAATCCAAGAGACAATCAACAATTAACTTTTCATTTAGAGCTTACTGTTCCTAGCCGAATGAATCTTGCCGAGTTGGATGATGCAGCTCTGGTAGTTTTAGCTGTTCGTGATGTCCTCAAGGCTTGTTCCATTGTTCCTGCCTTATTACTGGTTTCAGATCTTATGACACCACTAAGTGGACGACCAGTGTTTGATCGTGGCCTAAAAGAATTAAATATTAAAATCTAACTATTTCAGATAATAATTTGATAACAATTTTATTTAATACTTAATATTGACAAAATATTTAAATCATCTTCATATATTTAAATTTATATAAATTTATTTAAATTCAATTTAAATTTATATATATATATTTAAGCCATATATAAAAAATAGAATTAGAAGAACGAATTCCAGGAAAGAATCGAGTTAACTTTTTAATTTAAATTCACTCTCAGCAATAAGTATATCGTTGGGAAAAGTTATCCGATTTTATTCCAGATATTATTTCAACAATAAGGCTAAGAATTGCCTTATAGCTTGGCTTTGTGTCTTTGGTGAGCTAATCGGTTTCGAAAATGAAGTGCCTGGTCGAGCATTTGGTGCAATAATATCATCTTCTAGCAGCATCTCTGCAATTCCACGCTCGTCATTCTCCAATTCATCGACATAAATCTCTTCAGTCATGCAAGCCATCTTCAAACCCCATGCTGCCTAAAACCATTTCGCTGCCAATCTTACAAAAAACAATTGAACAACCGTGATCGCAACTGCCAAAAATTATTAATCAAAAGACAAAAAATTTGAATAAACCTGGTCATAAGCATTTTTTTTGAGAATATTGGTACAATTTTCTATCGCTTCATCGATTTTGTTCCTCCTATAGGAAAGTAGCGCTAGAAGAAATGGATCCATTTTATCGGCAACACCAAAGTCTAACCAATCACTTTTGTCGAAATGAATTGAACCCAGCTCTGTAAATCTATCTTATCTCTATGACAACATGATTTAAGATATATCCATAGCAACAAAGCTTATCTGGTAAATATCATATGAAATGCGAAAGATTCTACCATAAATTTTTATTACAAATAAATCAGCTTGATCCTCTGGTTGTCCAGTTACCGAAACCAAAATGAATTTTGGTGCCACCGATTATATTTTCAATCATTACTCATAGCCAACTTAGCAAGTTTCATATTTCTTAATTCAAATGTAACATATTGCTAAAATTAAATTATTATATCGAAAAATTTATATCTAAAAATACCTTCAGTAGGTTGTTCATTTATGAAATGTGCATGTCAGTCCATTCATTCATGCAGACACTTAAGTTTTACTTTTGTTATCAATATATTTCAATTTTCTTATATTAATTGTAATTCGTCCAGCTATATCATTTTTATTTGTTGCATTATCGCATCCTTTATAATTTCAAAAAGTATAGCATAAGCTTCTAAAAGTAGACTAATTATTAATCATCTGTTAATTATCGATCTGTGGAAATTAACTGATAACAAGAAAAATTGCTGAACTTTTTTGAGTGTAATTGAGGTGTGAATATCAAAATTTATTCATCATCCATCATCAAGTCGCAAATCGCAGGAGAGCAAACTCACCACATTTTATAGAATATGATAATAATGTGAACGAAATGTAAAATCTGGCAGGATATTATCAATGAAATATCGCAAAAATTAGACCTATGGTATTAAAATTTGTCGATTAGTTAATCCAAATCTAAGAAGAGTTACTGCATGACAGTGTCATATAAACCAGCTGTAATAAAAACTGTCGAGAATTTAGTAATTTTCCTTGGCGTAAAAGATAGGCAAATTTTTTAAAATGATTATGATATACCCAGTAAAGCAGCTCTATCTTAGATCAGTCAGCTTGTACAGAATTTAAATAATTAAATAGCGACTAATAATTAAACATATAATAGGGCATCGATAGGTTCAGCTTGGGACAAATGATGATGTGTGTCTGACAGCAATAAATTACCACAGACGTCGGATGTACTCACCACGAACATCGCGTATCGTACCGAAAGCTGACATTCCCGTCTGAAAAAAAAGAAAGAACCAATTGTGAAATTCGAAACAACAAAAAAAGTTTGCTTGATAATCTCCATTGCTTTTTTCTTTTTTTAAGAGACATTATCGAAAATCTGCCATGTTAATCTGTAACACTTGTCTAAAATATATAAGAGTATGTAGTAAGCCGGGATTTTAAGCGAATTGCATATTAAGCCATTTGGAGAAAAAATTTTCCCTTATTTGGAAACTAACGGTAGCATTTCCTGATAAATTATGCAATGTTTTTGGGAAGTTGGTATATTCTTTTCAAATATAATTCCAAAAAAATGGAGAAGGAATAGGCCAATAGAATATAGAATACTTGGTTAGCAAATTCAGTCTCTTGACCAGACCAGAATGGAACTTCGGGTCGACGAGCCATATCGAGTGGAAGCTCTTCGTGGCCATCATCAACAAAGGGAGTATAAATCTGCAATTTGTGGAGTTACAAGAAAATTAGAACTTCACTAATTAATGGTTAAGAAATTAGCAATAATTTTAAAATAATTTGAGCATTTGGCCACTGGCAATTTTCATTGTCGAAAATCGGAAAATTTTGTAGAAACTAGGAAATTGAACAAATATAAAACAAAATCAAGAAAAAAACAGGAGGAAATCGGATATTACGGATTTTTTTCTGGGTCTAATTTTTTAACACAAGAAAATAGCTTACCTGCCTTGGCATACCAAACCCAGTCTTCCCCGCTTGTGAATCTAAAAAATTGACTCCCATCTGGTAAGGAATCATTCCTTGGGATCGTTGTTCCTGAGCTTGCATATTCAGAACGGTATTATTTCGAAAGGCCCCAAATCCTGTCATTCCTGCCTGTGAAGCTCCTACAAAAATATTCATAGCAGCAGAATTTCACAAAAAATACGCAAATTAAACTTACCTCGTGTTTTGTTTTAAAGAAACATGCAGAAATTCTTTAAAAGATGCTGGAAATAACCAACAAGAAAAGAGCAGTGAAAGGTGGGAAGGAAAGCAGCTCAGCACTTCTTAATGAACTTCGATAGGAAAATCTTAATTTAAAAGCAACAAGAATATCAGTAACTAAACGAAAACATTACTAGCGATCTTACTATTTTAGTTCTATTTTCGAAATTCAAGCCATGCATCCAGCATAAATTTTCAAAAAAGGCAACGATAATTAAATGACTGAAATTAAACTTTACTTAGATATCACTACAGACTTTTTTATGTTCATAGTGAATCTTGAACCCACTTACTTTTAAATATTCACTGGATTATTTGTTTTCTTCCAATTTTCCATGTTCTACACAAGGCTCACTAGGATCCTCTTTGACTCACGAGAAGCTAATCTGTATACCTTCAACTAAAAATAGATTTGATTTCGAAAAATAAACTTAATGGTACTAACCCTCTTTCCAGCCACTCGTTTGCCTCGATATAACCGATTCATCATGAGGCATTTCACCGCGTTGTTCATCTTTATACTTAGTGATATTATGTCGAGGCATGCCAAAACCAGTCATACCAGCTTGATTGGCAAACCGATTGGTTCCCATTTGAAGATGAATAAAACCTTGGCTTTCTCGATCTTGATCGTTTGTCTTTCGAACTGAAGAAAAACAGGATTCATCAATTCAGAAATTCTATATAATTTGAATTAAATTGTACCGCTGTGCATTTTTCTTCGTGTTATCTGTAAATAATTCACAGTCAGTTAGAAGTTTATGGTGTAGCAGTACTAGGGTTGGCGTTCTCTCGTAAATTCGAAGAGGGATGAGAGTTTACTTGGATTATTGTATGTTCATAGATTTGAAGCAATAAAATTTGCGAGCCTTAGTGATTCTATCTAGCTAATTTAAATTTATATTCAGCTTAACACTTTTATATTGTTAGTTTTAGTAAATAACTTCGATAAGAACGCAATATTAAACGAGGAAGATTTGCGATTCCACCTTTGTTGTTATAAGAATAATTTATTTTTATAAAAATAACCATCAATAATTCTCGGCATTCCCATCCCTGTCATTCCAGCTTGGGAAGCTAATTTATTCGTGCCTGATTGCAAAGGCACAATTCCATCAGTCGCTCGAGCTTTCTCTTCAGGTACTTCGCTTGCGCCACCAGTACCTTTTGTTTTGTAGTTCACATCACGTGGACTACCGAATCCTGTTTATTTAAGAAATTATGGATGAATAAAGAGGCTTTTTAAAAATGTTTACATATCATAAAACAAGCGAAGCTATGTGGTGACCACAATGATCTAAAATTTTCTACCACCTTAGCTTCAATACCAGACCAATATTGTCTTTTAGCACAGAAAGTTAACAGAACAAAATTACTAATAAAATAACAAAATAATGATTTCTTTAGTCCTTTCGTTTCTGGATTTCCTTACAATTGTGAATTTTTTCGAAACAAATTTTACTTTATGTACCCGTTTAATATCTCAAATATTGATTAGCTGAAGATTTAAACAGCTTCGAACTGTGTAATAATTGATATTTCTTCTTTAACTTTGAATTTAGCAACACAGGAATCTCTCCTTGTGAGTAATCATTATAATATCCAACAAATTTTTTTTGCAAAAGATTAGTAAACATAGTTAATTATAAAAATTATAATGGTCTTATAATGTTATCAACCATCGTCGCTATTCGTCCATTTTTCTTCAATTCGAGTTACTCCCAAATTTTTTCATAATTTTAATTCGTTTATTCGAACCAAATATTACTTAATATAGTTAAATAAAATGAAACGAACCAGTTATGCCTTTTTGTGAAGCAAATTTGTTCGTGCCGGATTGAAGCCAAGTTGATTGTTTTAAATTTTTTATTTTTTCCTCATCAGTAATCTCAGCCAAATTATCAGCTTTGACTTTATCAATCACATCTCGAGGAGCGCCGAAGCCTAAAATTAATGCCTGTTTTTAGTTTTATCTAGTTATTTTAGCTGCTTTTAATAAATATTCAGCTATACAATCGCATTTATGATAACAGTTTCTGTAGATATAAGCAAAAGAAATAACATAGTATAATAAAATAGTATAATGATGATGAAAGCGATTAATATGGTTTAAAAAAAAATTTATGTTTAAAGATTGCAAAAATAGTGCTGCAAAAATAGCACCAGTTTTGATGTCCATAGCGTTGTTTTTCTTTACCATCATTCTCAAATTATTATGACATGTTTCATCTATAAGGAACGGTTTCCAAATTCGATGGAATTAAATACAAGAAAATTTAGTAAAGCCAAATTTTTTTAGCGATGTTATATTCGCCTTACAAACGATGAACTTAAGGCAGCAAAACGAATTTTAAGCTAGTGAAATTTACTGTTATCAGGAATTTATTCTAAGTATATGTTATATCAGTCATAAAAAATGAAATTGATATATTCAAGAAAATTTGAGGAATTTTAGAATTTTTCAGTAAGCCAGCATTGAGCATTCTTCGGATTAAACTTTCCTGATATCCTTATGGCATTAACCAAACGTAAAGCTTCAAAAAATGCAAAATTCATATCATAGGAAAGGATTTCAGATATAGGCGCATATACCTGTCATTCCTTTCTGCGAAGCGTATCTATTTGAGCCCGCTTGGATTGGAATAATTCCTTCTGATCGCATCAGCTTATCTTTATCGTGCTTTGATGGTTTGCCTGCTGAAAATTGTGCAGCACGACGCACAACCGATTTTGGTTGAGAAGGTAATCCATATGAACGACCAGGTGTTGGACTCTTGATATCCACAGGTGGTGGTGGCTTTACCTAAAAATAATATTAAAAATTGAACTAAGAACAAGCAAGACAAAATTACAATTAATCAAGGTTTTGCTAGTTAAAACCAATATACATGCAAAATGGGTTTGAAAACAATTTGTACAAAGAGAATAACAGAGAATCAATGTCGAAAACATTGACGAAGTCAATTAAACGTCAAAATTTAGCTTTTTAAAATATGGTCAAGAATTATATGACAAATGTTTTTTTAACGAAACGGTAGAACCTAAGTTAATCAAAAAAGTGAAAATTATGGATTCAACGAAAAAATATTTGAATAGAAAATTTTTTTTTGGCAGAAATAACTAAATTAATATCCGGGAAAATAAAAAAAGAGACATGTTAGGATGAAAAAAATGAAGGAAAAATGAAATTTACGAAGATCAGTGAGAACTCTTACATGTTCTTCTTCATTTTGCTCCTCCACATCTTCATTTTCCTCGTTCATTTGTTCCTCATCGACATCAGCCATCGTTCTCCCGTTCTATATCTCTGGCTAAGTAGTAGCTGCAAATCGCCCTGAAAACTCATCTCCATATCGCCACGCCTTTCTGGTCTATTTATATCGAAACGTAGAAATCCCTTCAGGCAACTCACACTCCTACATAAACGACTCACTTCCGTTTATTATGCTTCGTTAATGATTCTTATAAGCTTATTTTCGAACTTATTCAGAACAAAAAAAATTGTTTTTTATTTGTCATAAATGATTATCACCGAGAATTTTATTACAAAAATATCGTTTCGTGGTATTTATGATTGTGAATTTTTCTTATTGAACTAATCGTCTAATAATTTATTATAACTGCGAATATTTCCACTTATAAACCACACCCCATTCTTTTGCCAAAACCAAGCAACAAGATTTCCTTACGTATGTCTTTCTTAGGTGTGCTTAGTGATCACTACTTCTGGCCAGGTTCGCTTCGCTGGATGTTGTACCCCTAAGCTGATACAAGTGACAAGTGGAAAATTAAAAATCATTAATTGAGGTTTCAGAATTCAGGATTCATCATTCACCCATATTCTGCATACTTCTTTCATAAGGATTAAAGAAAGAGTTTTCTTATTTAAATACCACAGTAAAACATAGTTGGGTAGTTAAACTGTTAAAACTAATGAATACAACAAGAAGAGTTTAAAACATGAGCGATAATTTTACTCGTTTGATTTATGAGCAGAACATTGTTTAGCATTGAATTGAGCCATGTTAAACCATAATGTACGTTGATAGAACGATAAAAGAAATTATACTAATAGATTATATCAATGTAATGAAATAATTATGATTGTATTAATATTATATTTACATATTGATGTTAGAAGTTATATTAATGTATTATTGCAGTAATTTTTCGATTTTAACCGCATTCTTGGTTTGAATATTTGAAAAATTTTAGGAATAAACCTTATATAAATAGAATAAATAGAATTAAATTTTCCAGTTCTTGAATTACACGATCATTTTTATATGACCAACTTCAAGTTCAAAAATTTTGAATAGCTGCTTGTAGTTGATTCATAATTTCAAAAATTACGAAGAGATAATCCATTAAAATAGCGCAAAAAAATATTGCGCGAATTCTGATTGTAAATAACATTGTTAATATAATAATAATAATGATAAAATTTGTTTTTCTGGCCTTCGAAAATTTTTTGGAAATTTTTTTTCAAAGGTTTTTTTTAAAAAATCAGTTGCTTTCTGGTTATGCCTCAAAAATTTTTGGTATAAAATACATTTATTCAAAAAACAGTTGATATTTTTTTGATCACTTGATTAGATTCGTGCATTGTTCTATCCATGTTATGCGAAGGTTTTCGCATGAATTTCAAGATCACAACACTTATCCATCGCAACGAATCTACTCAGTATGTTTCATAGCTACCACCACTGTTGCCATTGTTTTGATCACTACTAGTACTGGATGCCAGCTTGCCTTATTTTTTCATGGAAAAAAGGAAAAAGCTCAATAAGAAAAATCATACAGAAAATTTCATATGACGATTAGCTTGTAACATAATGTTCAAAAGCTTTCCGGATAAATGTTGGATGGGAACAATAAAGTCGTAGCTTTTTGTGGCTTTATATGTCTTTATATATATTCCGCAGAACTAAAAGGCTGATAGAGCAAGTAGTTTGCTGATAAAAATATTATATCTTTATGCGGCATAAAATTGTATAAAATTGTTAAGATTCTAGCTCTAGGTTTTAGAAATAGCTGAAGGAATTACATTCAAATAATATAGTAGAATGATTCGAAAAAAAGAATAAGTTGGTTAGCCTCGATAGAAAAGCAAGAAAGATTTTAAAAAATTTAAAAAATTTCATTGTTGACGCATCACGCAACGAAATAATTTTAACATGAATTGATCTGAACGATTAGCTTTAGAGATCATCGTCTTTTGAATTGTTGATCGCAGTGAACCTTGATACTTAACTATTGTTTTAATAGATAAAAATATATACGCATGAAGGGTAAGGATTCTCTTCTTTCGATCATTTCGCGAACTAATTTTACCAGTAAATCTATCAGTACCTCAAAACTGCCAGTATGTTAACAAATATTCTAAGAGCAAAGCTGCAGACGAAGGTTCGTAAAAGAACAGTTTTTTAAAATAAATTTGTGGAAAACAAAAGAAAGTATTGTTCATTCTGCACGATTAATTTATCTTCATTCTATGAAATTCCTCTTCAATTTTTGTTTTCTAAATTCTATCTTAAATATGTTAACAAAGCTTTTTCTATTGTTTATTTGCAATAATTTTAGCTTCTCTCTTTACTTTTTTTAAAAGCATTTATAAAATTGAAGAAAAGTTGAAATCCAAAAATTAATGAGAAATATTTTCTCCAAAATTGAAAATATCTTTATAGTTAAAAATGATTTTAAAAAATTTGACTATGGAACATTTATGAATAAACCAACCAACTGAGCCTCAATCCTGAGCGCTAATTTCCAATTTCATAAATAACCTTCGTATCTAACTGGCTCACTGAACATGCAGTTAACGAACGTTGGTAATTCATCATTTGCTGACGACGATAAATGATTTTTCCTTTTTAATGTAAATTTAATGTTGAAAAGCTTCGTAAAATGTTTCGATGTCCAATGTTTTAAAGAGAAATCGGATTGTTGAGAATGCGAAATGAAAGGAAAATAGTGAAAATAACGGTTAAACGAAAGCCCATTCGAACTTAAAGTGTAACAAAATGCCAGAAGGTACAATCGTCTTACGCCCGCTGTCTTATTTCTCTTCTACAATACACTCTCGATCGGAGCTAACGACTAACGAAAACAAATGAACTAGCTGAAATCGAAATAAGTAAGATGAATGCTGCAATAAATATGCAGGGTGGCCTAAAAACAAATTGCATGACCATGCTTCTTGCAATACGGTAGCTTTCTTAAGAGAATCTGTTTTATTGGGTTTTTATTACCGAAAAATGCTTTAGATCCGCAAGATTTTTGCTAAAGTTAAACAATTATTTTGGTTAAATTCCAAAAAAGTGAACGCAAAACAAACCTTTCTCGTGAACAACATTATTCCACTGGCGAATACCGATATCTGAACAAAAACTGTGCTCAAGACGGCATTTATTCATAAATGACTTTAGAAAACTCCTCTAGCCGACCAAAAAACCTAATAAAGGTGGAAAATTATAGCGAGTTCGATTAGCAAAATAAAATGCCTTCCGTGCTTTCAGTTATGAAATCAAAAGCAAATTTAACTTTAATTATTAGAAACCAAGTCAACAAAACAAAATGTGCATTTCGCGCAAAATGTTGCACGCAAAAGTCCACGTAAAATATTTTATATTTTTATATATTTTATATCCAATTCTATTTTTATGATTTTTTATAAAGTAATGCGTTTTTATTTGGCCTGAAATATTACCAAATGTTATTTTTAGCAAACTTTTCATTAAATTATTTATTCGCTCATAATATGTTTCCACTTTATTATTTTTTAAAACATTCTAATCCTTAGCGAAGAAAAACCATAAATATGAGGTAACCGGTCGAAACTCTGAGTCTAAATGGAAGTTAAGCCTAAGGAGCTCCATTCACAAGGCAACAATATATTCAACAGTACCTCTGTGCCCTCAGATGAACCTCTGGTGAACCCCATCTCATAAAGCCAATGAAGCCAGCCAAATCAAAAGTAACGAGTGTTGTTAGACGACTACAATAGTTTTTATTTATAATCACGATCTTTGTTTCGATTCCATAATTTTAGTGAACAGAAGTATTATTTTACGACAAAAAACGAACTAATGATTTCCATACGCATATTATTGCTGCTTCTATGTTGTTAGAAATGTTACTGATATTATCATTGATATTACCATAATCATTATCATTAAGCGGCTTACATTTTGAAGAAAAAATCGTGCGAGATAAACAACGAAAAACAGCTGTTCAAGTGAAAATTTAATGCGTAAAAAAGAACGTTTGATTCAACATAAGGAAAAATATAAGTCGAATATTTCCTACAGGTTAAATCAGGTTGAATCCGCCATCTGAAAACCATAAAAATTAGACCTTAAAACTTTGATTCTTAAATGAAATTAAACAATAATGGTGAGGTTTCATCTCGATTGTTTTTAATTGCTTTGTTAATTGATCAGAAAAATTAATCGTAATTTTTGCTTGGTTAGCACAAATAGTACTGAGGCACTTCATAGAGCCATGACAAGAGCGGAAGAGTCGCCAGCGAGGTTCACCGGATTTTTTCCGAAGATTGTGATGCTTGGAAAGGTTTGAAGCAATACGCCACTCGAGAAACTACTTCTTATTCTAACACATATATTTTGTGTCCTCTTTTCTGAAAAAAAGTAGAATTCATTGAAGCCTCCTTCAATAGTTCAATGTTGCCGAATAAAGCTGGAAAAGTACTTTGTACTCACCATTTCTGGTTAGGCACTTCCACTAAATATTACATTTGAAAATTTTTGCCAAAGAGTCGCTTGGCGATAGAAGTACAAGCAGAACAGCAGCACAACTCTGGTTTTCTATCGAAAAAATTATTGCAACCGGAATCGAACCTATTTTCGAAAGTCCTTCAAAATTTCAATATGTAAAATTGCATGGATTCGATAAACTGCATCAATTTATTGTTAAGCGAACAACAATAAAATAATGCATGAAAATTTAGAACCAAAGCAACTCTTCATTCACGTTGACAAATAATTTTTTCAGAATTTTGAAGCAATGAATTTTTCCTGTTCATCTTTTTGAGAGGAAGATGAATGTCTCTTATCCGCTTGAAAATGGGCCTAGTGGAAGCCCAGAATTTATTTTAAAAGACTTTGGACTCCATCCGAAAAAAATACGCTTAAAGATTCTGCTAAAATATACTATGACATTCATGCATCAATTTCGAAAACAGTATATTTCACATGTGCCACAAAATATTCCGCCTAGGGCTACGTTTTCTTCTTGGGCAGGCCACAGGCTTCTAAAAGCCGGCTTATTGTTCGGCCAGAAGCGTATTATGGTACGAATTAAATGGTTGAATTCCGTGGAGAAAGGGTGGTGGGTGGGAAAGGATTTCATTTGATTTTAAGAAAGTAATAATTTTTATTTTATTTTAGTTGAATGGCTGAGGATTATGAAGTGCTACGAAAATTATGGGATGGACGAATACCTATTTTAATTTTTTTAGATGAGACTGAATTTCCGAACCGTCCAGTTAGGCCATTTTGTGTAAGTCATTTTTATTTCACAGTTTTTTCCATTTTTATAGTTTGTAGACCGCAATAACTTTTAGAGTTTTTCTCTTAAAAGTTGATAAAATTAGATTGATTAGCTTAATTGTAATGTTCAGTGGCTTATTGTTTGTGGTTCGTACCACTGTTAGTGCTATGCGAAATTTGTGCTAGGGAGAAGGAAAAATACAGAGAGGTCGATAGCGCAGCTGGGCTTTAAGCAGGTTCGGAACTCTGGTGCTTGCTATAAACAATAATCTGATCAATTTTTTTTCTGTCTTGCCTTCCTAGCTTTCCTTGTTTTTGTGAGTATGCGCATTTTTTTATGCCCGCATGCCTCTTTTTCACTTATCTCTCCATAAGTATTTATGCGAGCGGCGTAAAGCCTAGTAGAGACATAGTAGTTTATTTCTCAGTCCTTTCTTTTATGTAAATTTCTTGTAGTCCGTTTTTGTGAAAATAGCAGCCGTGGTTTCATTTTTCTTGCTTAAGCTGTTCTTTTAAAGTTTTTGTTATTTTTTGTATTATATATTATTTTATATTTTGCTTGCTTTTTAGGCAATGGTTAGACGAATCGGATATTTTCCCTTAATTCTGCCACAAGTATTAGAATTTTTTGGCATTGATGAAGTATCTTTCTCACCATGGCTACAGTACAATGGAAAACCAATCAAGTGGTTTGCTTTTCTTTTTTAAATTTATTTTTATATTATGTACGATTTTATTGGTAGATCTTTTTGCAGGCTTCCAAAACTGTTTCTTTAAGTAAAAATCATAATCTTATGCATGAATCATAAGTCATTTAAAAATTTTTCCCGATAATTGGTTTCTATGCAGGCATTACCCAATAGGCGTTTTATTTGATATTTTAAAGATCGATCGACTTCTTCCTTGGTCTATAACACTAAAAACAAAGGTATGTTTATTTGTATTGTTTTTGTTTTATTACCAACTGATCTCGTGAAATCGATCTTATAAAATGTTTCTCTTTGTTTTGTTTTCTGAATTAAAGATTATCTTTGTTTTTCAGGATTTTCCGAATGAAATTATTCACTGTTCGGGGAACGCATTGCAGATGTGTTTCATGCAGTCAATAAAAGAAGCCGACCAACTAAAACATGATAGTAAAATTATTAACTCAATGAAACCAGATGAACACATACAATTATGGAATGGTGTTCTCCATGGTTTCATTTTATCTCGTTTCCTTTGTTTTCTCATTACTTTTAATGTTGGGACTTATTTATATTTAATATTTAATTTACGGTTATTTCTCACTGTTTTTCAAATTCATTTATACTAACTGCCATAATTTTATTTTTAGTTGTACATTTTATTATATCTATAATTCATATCTGTATTTTACCTAAAATTATTTTTTTAATTTTTAATTTTTAAATTATCAAGCCAAACATCTCGAACGTAATATGAAATTCATAGTATACATGACGATCTTGATTGGTCGAAAGCAATTGTCTTTAAATTTTTTTTGGTCTTTTTTAATTTTTTGAATAATTTATGCATGTGGTAGCAATTAGTAACCCATCTTCAAAAAATGTTTTCGGCCATTTTTTCTGTTCATTTTTCTGTAGATCGTTACGATGAATACTGGATTGTGAATAGGAAGCTGATGGAAAATAGCGATCAGAATCCTTTATTGCATGTACCCATTCGCATATATAGGGTTAGCTTTTTAATGTTTGGAAGTTCTTTGAGGAAGGAATCAGAAAGCTGATTCAATTGAGCTAGAAGTTTGGTAAAACTTTTAATGGTTGTAAATCTAGCTTTTTGTAAATCTTAATACAAATTACTAATGGCTGCCCAAGTTAACGACAGCTTTTTGGTTCTAAAAGTGAAATCCCTTTCAAAGAAAATTTTCATTACGAAAGTTTTCATTATATATTCATTCATTAGAGATAAGCTAGCTAATTTCTAGTGAAATATATGAAATATTAGCAGACTGCCTAGCAGTTTAAATTTGTTTTTATTTGTTAGTAAGCATATTTTTTTTTGCTGATTACTGTTTGTCTTATTTTCATAAATATTGTTCAGGGAGATGAACGATATTACCAGCCTCTGATCTCACCTCAAGATAATGATGGCCAACTCATTACTATAGAAAAAGCAATCAGGCAATATTTCTTCGATGATAAAATTATTCCTTTATCTTTCAATATACTTCTTCCTTTGGAAACACCTATTTTATGGATGTGTCAGAACTTTACTTATGCTGACAACTTTATTCACATTGTTGTGACCACTAAATCTTCTTAATTCATGTAGATATTGTAATAAAATATGCTTTAAAAGAACTGAAGAACTATTGAAGTGATGAAAAAAAGTAAAAGTAGCTTTTTTCAATTGAAAACAATAGGAAGCTTCTCATCCTTTGAAACTAGTGTTTCTAGCTTTATATTTCATCATTTATATTTCCTTATTGCCCATGGTAAAACATTCTCTTTATTATTAAGCTTGTATTAGCTTATTTAAATTGCTCTTATCTGAGCATTTCAGTGAATTGGTTTTCATAATTCAATAAGGTTATATGTTGAAGTAATGAATTATGTAGTAAGAAATGGAATTTTACTTAAATTATGCTTGATTGCAACGAAAATTGGCAGTGATCATAATGGGAAGTATGAGAAAATTAATTTTCAAGTCATAATATTGAGTGATATTGGAATTTTTTATATTGATGGTCAAATTTTTGATTAACGGTGGTCGTAGCCTTTTGTAGTTGCTTAACAGTCAAATTCATTGCTTAACAGTCAAATTTGGTTTAAAATTACGATGGATGCCAGAAATTTTTGTTCATTATTGGAGGTTGAAAGTAATCATATTTACCATAAGATATCAGAGCTTACGATTTCAATAAATTTTTGTTTTCTGAAATATAAATTTAAGAAAAAATGGCAAGAAAGAAAGGAGGGGAACTTGGTAATTATAGTTTTCGTTGGAAAATTTGTTTCAGAAGCAGTTTTCTTCCGAGAATCACTAATTTAAAGAAAATAAAAGTTGCAGAAATAAACTGCATCGAGAAAATTTAGATTACAAAACAGTCCAGTTGAATTTACGAATGGTTTCGTAAATTTTAAGAAACAAAAGCAGAGAGTGAGCTGCCAAAATTTTTTCAGCAAATGTTATGTGCTCAATAATTTTGATATTTGATAAGAATGAAACCAAAGTATTCATTTGATTGTCGCAACAAATGTTCCTTAATATCGATTGTAAATTAAGATTTATTAGTTTTGTTAGTTAAAAATTTTTTAGTAATCATGGAAAAAAGTTCATGCGAAAAATGAATTTGAAGAAACCATTGGCCAAGATTTTGCTTAAAAATTCGAACGAAATATTGTTTTTTATAGAGAAAAGGAACGGAATTATCATCCTTCGGTTATCCTTTGGTTAAACGAAATTCTTACATTAATTAGAAATTCGTCAAAAGCAGAACTATTAAAATTGCTCTTAAGATTGTTCTGCTGGGCCAAAACACGGATCACTAGGGCATTCACTTTTAATGAGACGTTTACTCCTCGCAGAAATGCGTCCTTTATTCTTGAACTGAGTGTCTTAGTAACGAAAAAGCTGAGTTTGTCGCAGTAATACTATTTCAAAAAAACTCCTGAAAATATTAAATTCTTATTTCTAGGAGAATATTTCACAAATTTGCTGAACCTTTGCAATAAATTTAAAAAGAGAATACAGTATTTAGTATTCAGTTCGCAAATCGCATATCAATATGAACGTTTTTGAAATTTATCTAGTATTTTGACCTTCGTTTACTGCGAAGCAGCTGCCAGTAAGCGAATCTTTGCAAAATTCTTCGACTTAAAATTTCTCCAAGCAAATGGATTCTTTTTTTATGCTTGCGAATATATTTTTAAAATTTTTGCTTTCATATCATCACACATGTTTTTTAAATCATCTAACATCGTTTTGCATAAACTTCGGTTCAACAAACATTCAGTCTTTTCTATTTTAAAACTTTAAATAAGCTTGTTCGGTGCTTTGTTTCACGCCACATCGACTTTCCGATTAGTTAGCTTTCCGCAGAAATACAACATTTGTTTGCCACTGTTTGTTGCATTATTCAGGCACTCCACTGACTTTATGTCACAAACCAATGAATCTAAGAGTTCCATTTAATCCGTTAATAATTCGAAAATTCCTCGGTTTATTCTAAGAATAAATTTTAAAAAATAAATATTCGACTGCTGGTTTTGATATTTTTTGAACACGGACGCCAAGAACTATTAACAGAACGTTCTATAAGCTTCTTTGTTTTTTGCTGATTTTTTTAACAAAAACTTCATTTTTAAACTTTATCTATTTACATTCTTATGTCTGATATCACCTTATATATTATAATTTAATTAGATGGAGATCAGACTAATGGGAAATCGGCAGTTCTGGCCTAAATTTCTCAAATCTACCATTACATCACTCTTTTAAATAAGCCATTAGTTCGCTTGAAAATGCTCTTATATTTAGCATCATTGTAAAGTTTTCACGAATCTATTAAAACTAACTGAATACAGTTCTTATTTACTATTTGGGAGGCTTCATATACCTTATTTATCAATTATATAACTTGATAAGATTAAAGCAATGATAAATCTAAAAAATAAAATCCAGTTTAACCTACAAATATATTCGTGTGAAAGGGATGCCGAATGAACTTTCAAGAAACTCAAAGCAGAGCTAAATCGTAAAAATTTTAGTATAAAACTATACTTTTATCTACATAAATTGGAGCGATATGAATTTAGCTAAATTTAGTTACTAATGTTTGAATATTTGCACATATTGTTTCTTAACAAATCGGGTTTCCTAATTTCAGTATTTCTTTTTAGTATTTCTGTTTGTTTAATATGGTCAATCATCTATTATTATTAAATCATTTTATACTATATATTCACTGGTCAATCGCTCTGTTGATCAACGCTCGATGCAATTTGCCTATGGATCGAGGTGCATGTGATCATAGAGGGCCTAAAATAAAATGGTACTATGATCGATTCGCTCACCGTTGCAGACAATTCTATTATGGTGGCTGTGGAGGAAACGATAATCGATTTGACACTCTTTGTGGTAAATCTTTATAACTCTGCTTACTCGTCATTTGCCATTTGCAAAAACGAAAAATACTGTGAAACACTAAATGGATGAATGATTTCGGATAATTTTAAGATATAACTCGATCATCTAACCATTGTGTTCATGAAATACCTTAAGGGAATACGTGATTTAAATCTAGCCAATTTGTAATTTTGGCTAAATTTGGCATTTCATTGCAATTTTACTATCTTGAAGAGCAAAATATCCTTGAAAATTTTTCAGAAGAATTTTCTAAATTTAAAGGCAAAAACGGAAACTTTTTAAAATTGTGTAATTCCAAAGATTGGAAATCAAATATGTTTAAAATATTAAATACGTTAAAAATTTCGTTTCTATAAAGTGGATTTTTCTATTTTAAGCAATTGGGTTTCGTGTATAAAACATTAGAAGTCTGATGGCAGAATTCAGATGAAATTAAAATAGTTTACTACTTACCTTTAACTGTTCGGACCGTTTACTCTTATATACTGGGAATTCAGAAATCATGAAAAACAGGTGTTTAACATGAAAATTTAACAAAATATATTGTAGAATGCAATGAACAGTGTTATTTCGAGTCAACTGTTGGTGATCCAAAGCATCGGTGCAGTCAGATTTATGAACAAGGCTTATGCCTCGGTGATGAGAGGTGGTACTTTGATCCCAATAGGAAACAATGTTTGCGCGGGTCATTTAATTATTATCTCCCTTTATAATGTTTAAAAAAATATTGAAATTTATATTTTATATATATTTTATTATTGATCGATTATTATTCTAAATTATAAGCAAAATTTCGAAATAATATCAAATGCCTTCAGATCGTGGACTCGATGTGGTGGAAATCCCAATCGCTTCTATTCGTACAACCATTGTATGAACATCTGCGCCTCATTTGTTGTTAACCGATCAACCAGTGTTAAGATAAAGGAATTCAGTCCAAAAAACTATTTCGAAGTGCAAACTGCCAAAGACCCTCACAATCCATCAATTTCCGATAGTACACATGATGCAGTCGCAAATTGCAAATTGGTTAACCAATTTTTTGTCACATAAGGAATTTTTTTCTTTCATTGTAAAATAAACGAAATTTCCTTGCTGAAACGGAAAATGTGATTCTACGTATTTATTATCATCGTAAGAGGTTAAATTCAGAAGTATAGTCTTCATTAAATGATTTAAAAAATGGTTTTTATCCGAAAAAGAATTAAAAAAGATCAAAAGGGAGTGCGAGAAATAATAGTTCTTTTTTAAATTTTTTCTTCACGTGAGAATGAAAAAATTTTCAACGGTTATCCAGATCACCAAAACAATTCAACCATTTAAATCATCAATTACAACTTACAATACGGCAAACCAAAATTATGCCCATTCAATGAGGGCAGAAACGCCAAGCGTAAAAATCCAAACCTTAGTGAGTTTTGGGCAAATAGATTGCACCATTTTTTAGAACTCGGTATAACAGTTGTATATATATACCACTACATGTGGTATAAAAATTTATTTCCATAAAAAAACCTTTTTCTAAGTTCCTTTGGGTGGCATTGGTCATTCTTAACTTTAATCCCGAGTCCTCTGTCAAAGACCTGGAAACCCAAGAGTTTTGCAAAGTATTTTAGCTATTCCTAGCATTGGGCTCTTCTGGACAGAGATCTCTGATTGTTCCTAGAATCCACTGAAGCCATTTTTCCAGTTTAGAATTCATAGCCTCTAATGCTCGTACCACCATTGGGCTACTTTGCCCTTTACTTTCCATATCTTCTCCTGCTCCTCTTTCAGCCTCTGATATTTCAGCAGCTTCTATTCCTTCTCCTTGATGTTCCTATAATTTCGTATTTTTATATCTATCAAGGGTGCCGATTTCTGATTGTATCTCGACATTATCGTAATATGGTTGATTGGCTAATACTTGATTGTCCGCTCTGGTGAAGAAGTCTCACAATATCTTGTTCTTATTATTTCCCAGATTTTCTGAAAAATTTTCTACCTGGTCTTAGCGGGAGAGCCTATACACTGAGCAGATATGCCTGTAGACAATGCCAGCTACTTGGTTGTTTTTCAGTGTTCCTGTTTGCATCTTACATCCTCTTACTATGTTTTGTATAGTTTTTGATTTTCTGCACAGTCTGCACCTTGGATTCTGATGTGGTAGATTCCTGCTTTGATAGATCTGATACTTAGCACTGCTTCTATGATCAATGCCCTCTTTTGGTCTTTCTATATACATAAACATATATATATATATATACAGTAAGCATTTGTTAGATTTTCCAGTTCAAAGATCATAGCTCCTAATGCTATTACCACCATATTTACACATTGCCAGATAATTTTTAAAAACTTTGCATGAAAATATCATATCATGTTTTTTTAGATTTATCCGCTTATCATCTGTTTACAGGGCGGACGAAGAACCACGTATTATCCTGCTCATGATGGACATCGAAAAAAGGTGGAATTAATTACTGGACATAGAGGGCATGGATCCTCATACCAATACGGCATTTCGGATCAAAACGGATATCGAATTCCTCAAGTTATTCGAACGAATAATAACCAACAATATTCTCAATCTTCGACAGACCGGAGAAATCAACAGAATTTCTTTTATTTCGCAAATAAACAAGGCCTTGACCAACAACCTAACGTTCAAACAACTGATGTTCAACTCAGCCGTCAGATTCATAGCAATTCTCACATCCAAGATCCTTACAAACATGCTGATAGCCATAAAACTCATTCACAGCATATCCACCAACAACCTCAATTTCAAAAGGTACAAAGTTCTTTTGAATATCCTGTTACAAGATCACCATATTACCAAACATTTCAAAATCTGCAATCTCATCCAGCTGAAAAAGATCCCTTAAAAAGTCATCAATTTCAACAGCCTTTGTCAGATTATGAAAGGCAACTTAAAAACCATGGGCAAAATAGCTATATTCAGCAAATTCAATTTGAACAAGATTATAACGCACAGAATCAACATAATGCAAGAAATGACCAGTCTAATAATTATCTTCATACAATCGGCCAACGAACATTCAATCAGGAATTCAAACAGCAGTGGGCTGAACGACCAATCAATCCAGAGTATGAAAATCCATCCAAAGAAGAAATGGCTAGAGCCAAGTTAAAATATTTAAAAACTCTTAGGATTTCTAGAATTGGATCATCATTATCGAAAAACAAACTTAAAGAGCACATGACTAGGGCTATATCCACGCATTTAAACAAAACTAAATCGGAAGAACCGACATATAAGATAGAAATAAAAAGCATGGCCACTGCGACAGAATTACCATTTATAGACACCAAAAATATAACTGCAACTGAAAGCGATCAAATTAGCAACGATTTAAATCACGATCACTATAATGATGATATTTGGACTGACGGCAAGCAGACAATAATCGGAGGTAATTTAGATCAAAGTCATCAAACTACTCCTAGTGATAGAGATGCGTTTTATTCAAGAATTAATGAATCTGATTATGCAAGTGCTACGTCTTTTCCAACGATGAATATAGCAACAACAGAAAAAACTTTTAACGCAGATATTTCAAAAGTAGGATTTTCAAAATCAAGTTAAAATTAAGATGTTGAATAAAAAATGTTAGTATCGACCTCTGCAGAAAACCCTTCCCTATGATTTTACCTTCCAATCAAATTACGCATGAACATTTGCAGAAAACTCAAGCAGAACAAGAGTCAACAAAGACGTATAATTCAAGGATTGAAACAATCGGATCGCAGAAATTGACATTTTCTAGCCACGAGTCTGATAAGACAGAGCAGCAATTTAACAGTTAATTTAATTTTGCAAGGGTAATGGCCAAAAAGCGCAAACAAATATCTAGAATCTATAGTGGGTCTCCAGGTGGGATTACGAAAACTTTGACTTTTTACTTGTACCACCCTGTTCTTTAAGTGCAAACAAAGCCAATTGGAATGATATTTGATAATATCACCCGCCCTGGTACCTCGAAAAAAAAGATCAATCAAAAAAAGATCTTAGATTATAAGGAACAAAATAATAATTATTTTATAATTATAGAAAAACAGAAAAACACCGTTATTGATAATCGATACCGATTCGATATGCCGTCTGCCGCAGCACCGCCCAGAACCGAAATTGCCGGTACCACACACGATATGCTTGGTCTCCATCAAACAACATTATCATCTGTAAGACTTGCGGTACTACCATCAGCTCCGACTGCATCTACAGAACCTCCCGTCCAACAATCTCTTATTCTGCTGGCACCAACAGCAACAGCGACATTACTAACTCCCTCAACAAAAGCAACAATCCACCTTGGAAGATTGTCAACAACCACAAAAACTAGGGAAAAAACAAAACCTGCACACGATCTACAAGGAATTCAAACAAAGCGAATAACTGATGAACAACATACTGATGACACCGAAATCATTGAAGATGACGATGACGATGAAATATTATTTTGGAGGCAAAGCGGTTCATCGAGGCGTCCAAGAAGTAATTAATTTAATTAATAAAATCAAAAAAATTTGTTACTTTAGGTCAGAACCGATGTACTTTATAACCAAATTATGTTTAAACTTCCCTATAAATGCCTTCGTTCAATGTGTCTATAGTCTATTTTATAGTTTTATAGAACCCTGAACTGAAGAAAGATTTCCTTCAATCATATCACGTTTCATATTATTGAATGATCTAAAATGATTGATGCTTTATTTCAAAAACCTCAAAAAAGCTAATTATATGAGCCGATAATACCAGTGATAATTTTACCAAAATTTTAGGGCATCATAAATCAAAGCCATTTAATCGTACAGCCAGTCCTTTATTTCATATCAAACTACGCTGAAAACCGAAAATGTTTCTCATTGATGTGCAGTTTTTACTTTTTTCTATGTATGATTGAATATATGATTGAAAATAATAAGTAATAATCTTTGTATAATAATAATGTTAAAATAAGTAAATCAGTTGAACCACAATAAGTATAGACCTCGGGGTTTTGACTGAAATTTCTTTCATTTTGCTTCGACCATAGCGTTTAATTTCTTACCGACATTCTTTGCGACAAATAAAGAAAGTGCTTTTGAATAAAGTAAGTAAATTAAATTAAAAAACCATGCAAGGAATTTTTTTAAATTTAACTCTTATAAATTAAATCAAACGATGTTGTAATATGATAAGACAATTGATTGATAAACCGCAAATCTCAAATGCGAAATTCAACTCCCTCGGATTTTGAAGTGGAATTCGAAGTTTGAAGATCGTAACAATCAATGATCCTGAAATATCAAGGCAGTTCCATTTTCACAATAAATTTTGTCAAGTTCGATGTCTGATTAAAACACGAATATCATATCGGGTCTTGAAAAAAAGTTCCTCAATGCTGCAGAATGAAGGTTTATGGTGGCGTTGCCGTTTGCTTATCGCATTTGGCAATAATTATTTGATTTAATTATTTAATTATTTGAAAAAAACTATTTCCGCACAATGAATTATATGTTTATATATTTAATTATGAATTAATTATATAATAATTTCTATAATTATTGATTATATTAGGTGGAAAAATTTTTTTGGCGAATTTTCATACGCCATTTGAGCAAATAATATTCACTAATAAACACACACTATGCTAAAATTTTTATACGAAATTCAGCGAATACACTCTTTTTAAATAAAACAATAATCAACAAACAATTACAACACCTAAGCATAGTATGATTAAAATGATTAGAAACTTTGCGGTTTCCTTCGTCGAAACAAAATCACCTGAAAGGAAGATTGTTTCAAGAAAATTTTAAGTCTAAAAATCACCTTATTATTGCATATTTCTAACAACCGTAACAACCGCACTAACGTAAGATAAATCAAATAGACAGCGGATATATTCCCAAAAAAATTTATATCATTCCTCAGCTACTGCAAAGAATAAATTTCGAACCATTCAAAATATCGTACGATTAAATTTTAGTTTAAATAAAGGCTGAAAAGAACCGAAATACTTGCATGTCGTTCGGCTGGATGCACCATATAATGTTCCCAACCTTTACTTTGTCGTATACCAAGAGCACGCCATTCCCTTTCTGTCATTAGTTTATCCTTTGGCACATCTTTGACCAAATCTTTGGCAATTATTACATGCCTAGAAATTTTACTAGTATATTTAAAGAAAAATTCGCACATGCTTTCTCAACTGATAAATTTAATGAATAAAGCTATTAATGATCAAATCAAAAAATAAATTGGAACGATATTCCTTTGCTAATTTTCTAACAGCAAGTACCATTTTTGTTTAGACAGCACCATTAATCACTGGAGTGATATTCTTTTTTACTGACGGATAAATGAGCTAATGGATTTCCAGACCGCATTTCTAAGGAGTCCTTATTAATGGGTGGCAAGCAACCAAAAGGAATGTGCAGTCCAGCAACCACATTCACGGCATACAAATCTATACATGGAATAACCCCAAACCATTGGTTGAAGAGATACTTTTACAAGAGATATCCAATTTTAATTAATAAAAACATGATTAGCTAAGTTTCTTTGTAGGAATTGGATTTTTTGTCCGGCAAGAAAATGGTCCAAAATAACAGATGATGAGAAGGACATTGATACTAGGTCAACTATCAACTGCACAAAACTAAGAAAATTGATGCAGGAAGAAGTTTCAGCGAAAAGAAAAGGCATACCTATATTCATATTTGTCATCTTCATATTTTTCTGAGTAATAATAATCCTCTTCAGACATTCGAATTCCTGTAAATTTTAATAAATTCATTTAAAAATGGATTCATTAAATTTTTATATTAAATTTTTGGCCGAAACTGGCATCGTTTCTCCACCGAAATGTTTCACGTTGGAAAGATGTTAATCCATCCTACTTGAAAGAAAGATTATTAAATAATTTAAATGAAGTTTGGCAATTACTGATTCATTTTCGAAAATTTCTGGTTCAGCTGGCTTTACTGCTAAAGTACGAATTTATTGCTATGCGTTCGTTACTTGGAGAGAGAAACGCCGACCACTTTCATTTATAAGGGCGAATTTACTCTTATAAACGCACAGAAATCGAAATTTGGCCTCAGCCGAAACTCAGATGCGCTTAAACCACCAAAGCTCCTTCAATCCAGGTCTTATTTTATTAAACTACAATTCACCTTAATTCGTAAGACCAGAATTTCTAAATGTTTCTAAATCTGATAGTCAATCAATTTTCTTTGAAGCATGCGGTCAAACTAAAAAGGTCAAAGTCTTCAACGCATGCAACACTATTTTCATACTTCTTCTAATCTGAATTAACTGATCCAAGAATCGTGCGATTTTTATAAAAGCAACAAGGCTCATTTTTTACAATTATTTGTGCTTCATTAATATTGGGCTCAGTTCCATTAGCCTAACCAGAAATGATGAGGCCTATCTATTGCTCAAAGGGCCCCGAACCCCTTTACAATTAAAATTTCTGGAAAAAGATATATACCAACCAAGTCTCAACGTTAGTCACCAAGGACAGAACTAATTAATGCTGCTAAATAATTGTTTTTTCTGCAAATAAAGGCAAATTCCTTGAAAAATTGAACTTCAAATAGAGAAAAGATTAAAAAACTAAATGAAAAAATTCAAATAAAAATTAGAATAAATTTGTGATTTTATGCCAAAATTTATTAAAAGATTAAAATAGATTTATTGAAAAATTAGTCTGATAAAATTTAATTTAAGCCATAAAAAACTTGGATATTTTCCCGATTTCTCTCCGTTGCAATACTTCGCGTGCCAATACTCGCCTATAAAATTATGCACGTAATCGTGGATATAACCTAAGCTAACGAACCGTAACGCAATGATAGGCAACTGCCATAACCACGCCTATAAAAGTAATAGGTACCAATAAGGTGGATTAGCTGGAAAGGTCAAAGGCCAGTAGCATTGGTCAAAATCAATGAAATGAACTGAAAATAAGGAAAGAGAGGGTCAACCATTAATAACTTTAAGGTCACTTTTAAGTGATGTTCTCCAGTAATTTTTACCTTTTACAAAAAACAAAGTGGCGGTTCGCGCCATCACTTTATTTTTATTTATATTTATTCATTTAATTATTTATATTTATTCATTTAAAATGAGAGCACGCAGGGTATGTGGCCACGCACATGAACTATCATACATTAATGTAATATAGCAGTGGCTATTATATAATTTACAGAAAAACCTATACAGTGCAAATAAAATAAAAATTATAAGGAAGAGCAGTAATATAAAAATTTAACCGAAATAATAAATAGGCAAGTATGAAATCAAATATGCTTATTTCTATCAATGGACAAAATTTATGTTTGATATATAAGCCCATATTTTTAAAATGGAAGCAGTGAGCAAAAATACCGTAGGTGATTTTCCCCAACAGCTTTATTCCCTCTGGAACTCTGCTCGTCTGGTTTCCCTGACCTTTAATGAAGGCTATGGGGCTTTTGTCACGCTTAATTTTGCGAACTTTATACTACTTTTAATGAATGCAACTGGTTTGGCTGTTTGGGTTGTTTGGGTTTGATGAATGCTTTCCAGTAGCATTAAATGCAGTCAGTATAAATCCAAATTTCAAATATCTTTTATTTATCCCTAAAACCGCATGGCTGAGCGAAAGACCAGATTCTATCTAGGATAACAGCATATATGCGACATTCTCTCTGGTGGAACCAGGCTATAATCATTCATATAAGATTCTACCTGTTCACCGGACGCATAAATATGCCTTCGCCATGAATGATCAAAGATGAGCAATTTACTGACGTCTTCCACTGTCACTGGCCATGTTTCAGCCATATAACAAGAGTTCTCAAATTCATTTCACTTCACGACTTCACTGTGTCTTCTTATACAAAGGATTTACGGGAAGTTTTCTCAAATTAATTGTTGCGCCTTTTTCACATACTTATTAAGCAAATTAAGTTCAAAAATTAATAAAAATTTTATCGTTTTTAACTCGCACATCTAATCACATAAGAAAAGAACATTGGGGAAAACTGTTTCAAAACAATGAGTTTATTTATTAAAAATTGAAGAATTTTAAAGCGGATTCAGGGTCCTTTGTCGAGATTGTGTGCAAAATCTCCTTAATTACACTGCATTTTTTTACACCTATCAATCCATGTAGAATCTTGGGGAACCAAAAATTCTCACGAATGACAATTCCAAAAAAACGATTTACATTTTTCCGGAAAATTTTTTGATTAAAAGCAAATGCATAACTAATTTCTAACGTTACTTTTACAATATTGCACTCATTTGCTTTTATTTTAAAAATAAAAATCACTGCAACTTTTGTGGATTTTCACGTTATCCGAGAAATATGAAACAATTTCCAACTGCGGCCGAATGGCGAATTTAATCGTGATAGAAGCAGCGACGGGCAGAGCTCAACATATTTCTTTCATCTCCATCCATCCATCCAAGAACCGTTTTGGGAAGATATTAAAAATTTAGAGATAAACAAAGAAACCGACTACTACTTCCTGAGTCTGACTTTGTAAAAAAAGTTAATCGTCTACGAAAGTCATTGTGAACTTGTGCATCAAATTAAGATACCTAATGCAATGAAAACAGGAAGACCTAACGAGCACAGCGCTAGGTGATTTAGTCAATGTAGTACAGCTAGAAAAATGCAACAATAGGAATTCATTTTTCTTTTCATTTGACGGTATCAGGAATTATCCATATTTTACATTACTATAATCCACTTGTCAAATTAAGCAGCTTTTCGCTGGCTAAAACAAAATGAGTTCTCGTATAAAGTCAAATTCGAAGTCTCGTAATTGATTGGAATACTTCCAATAAAATCCATGCGTTATTAAAAATTTTTTCAAACAAATATACGCTACAAATTCAAGATTCAAATTTTGCATAAAACACGAAAAATAGATAATTTAACAGAGGAACAAAGGAACCTATAAAAATATAAAATAAAATTAATTATAAATAAGCAGCAATAACTACAATTAAATATGGTAAAAATCAAAAATTCTGAGAAATTTAAAACGGCAGATGATAAGTCGAAAACTTTTCAAACATGTCAGAAATGAATATAAAGAGTACAAGATAAAGAGTACAAAAGTGCAAAAAGTGAAAAGTACTGCAATTTATGATTATAAATAAAATAGCCATAATTCAAATCGTGTGGAAAGCATATATCCTGGAGCAAAAATAACCTAGAAATGAGTTTCATAATGAAGCAGTCAGGAAGTTTGCGGCTTTTTCCGGCGAAATAAAACCACCTGAAAAAAATCAGTTCCAAAAAGATTGATTAAAAACTAAACTAAACTATTTTTATTATATGCTCAAAATTTTATCCACATAAAAAAAACCGATTCTCGTTGACCCGTGATTTAAATGCACAGCGAATAACAAAATTTAACAAATTCAGGATGATAAAAACCTATTATTTCTCGATCACTTAACTTAAAAAAAGAATCTAGAATCTTCCTTCCGATTTGTTAATATCGCCTAATCTTGATAACTTCAACTCTCAATAAAAGGATAAAATAATTTAACATTTCAAATAAAAACAATAGCATAAAAGAAAAATTTTTAGAAATAACACTTACATGACGTTCACGCGCATGAACCATGTAATTTTCCCAACCTCTACTCTGCTGAATACCGAGATCACGCCATTCATTCTCCGTCATTAGCCTATCTTTTGGCACAAATTTGACTAAAGTTCTCGGAATTATTACATGTCTGCAAGCAAATTCTATAGAGAGTAAATAACGATACATATAAAAAATATATATATGAAAAAATGAAATATTTCTCAGCTCACCTGTGGCCACAACAACCAATCTTCTAAAAGAACCATACGTAGACCCTCTACAACATTTTACTCATATTTCAAAAACTAAAAAAATGGAAAACGAAAAAACTAGCTGATTTGCCAAATCGAAATCGAAAATTGCTGCGAAAATTCGGTGGAAGAATAAAGAAATTAGAATAAATTACTAAAAATGGTAAATTCCATTAAAAGACTCCATTGTACAAACAGGCAAAATTTTTAATTCACTGCATTTAGTAGTGGACATAAATTTTGAAAAAAGCAAGATAATGGAAATGGAGCGAAATTTAAATAAAAAATATTTCGAAACTGAAATCAGCGCCAAAAAACTAACTAAGATGAAACTGAACTTCCAGCTAAACTCGCTTAATACCACCTCTATCACCTCAGTAATATTTCTTCAAGTATTTATACCATCTAAAATAATCAATTGAACATAGCCGGATAGCTTAGTCGTTGTTGCTCATGCATACCCAGCGGCCAACTCATTTTACTTTCAATGATAAGTTTGCTTCTATCAAGGAGCAAAATCAAATCTGCACTGCAGCAGAAACAACATGGGCCCAGCCACAATGGTCATTATAATAAATCATTGAAAGGATAAAACAATGAACATACTGTTTAAAAACAATATTCTTCGATAAAAATCCAATTCCTGTTGTAAAAAAAAAACATGAATACCAGATTTCCTCGGTAAGGAAATGGCACTTCAAATGAATTAAGAAGACTGATGGAGAAACAAATGTTTGGGACGAAAAAACAAAACGCATACCTATACTCATATTGTTCATCTTCATATTTATCTGAATAATAATAGTCATTTGGATCCATTTTAATTCTTCCTGAAAATTTAAATAAATTCTTCGTAGATAGGTCGACTATTTAAGTTTTTAGTTGGAACTATTCTATTAATTATCTCTAACTTCAATCCATTTTCTATGTTAAGTGAAACTCATTTTGACAACATCGATTAGAAAATACATTTTATTCAAATTAATCAAAATTCCATCAAATAGCGCGGATTATAACTGCTTTGACAAGTGTCACTGACTACTATGGAGGTACTCGCCAAGGATAGAAGTATAGGTCCACACTTATCCGCAATCCACCCTTAGCATTTCGATGTCAAGATAAGTGAGTGCTTGTTGTTCAGATTGTTATCTCGACCATTAAGGTTGCCTCCAACAAAGTAAAACTAGTCACTAAATAATGGTACTCCACTTGCTTTGTCACTTCCCCGAGCAAAAATTTATAGTTCTTCTAACAATCAGAATCGCCGAACGCTAATTCTTACGAAATGCTACGATTCCTTCAAATAAATAATTTTAAAATTAAAAATAACAAAAATTTATTTAAATAATAAAGAAATAATAAAGAAAATAATAATAAAATAATAAAGGAATGAAAACGAAGAAATTGGCAAATAACGAAAATGAAAATTTATAAATTCGCGCCAAAATTCATTTTGCATCGATCAATGCAGAAAAAATAAAATAACAATTTAATTTATAAAAATATAGTAATTAAATAAAGTTGATTTTAACTTCCAATAAATTAAGTTGAGAAAATTAATAAAATAATTTTTCTAATAATAAACGAACAAATTTATAAATTTATGCAAACTAATTTATGCAAACTACTTATTTTTTTCCTAAATAAAATTTGAAACTAACAATAGAAACTTTAAATTTGGAACAGAATTTATATTTTAAAGAAACTTGGAAGGTTCAAAGATTTTTATCTAAAGAGAAATATTTCTCAGAATTTTATGGTTTATAAGTTAAAAATATTCGTTGGCCAGTCAAATGCCCCACAGCCGATTGCGCAAGTGGCCATGGCTAATTTTATTAACGAATAGATGACGAATAGGTATAAGTACGAATCTCCCTCTACAATATTAGAAAACTGCCAGGATTGCGGTCCGTAAAAATAATAAACGATTTACAATAATCTACTGCTTGACGAAAATAAAAAATTTAAAAAACTATGTCTCACAACGATAATATATTTTCTGTAATTGTGCAAATGCTGCTTTACTTTTTACAATTTTGAGGAAATTCTGTGGTTCAGGGTTGTAGGTGGTGTGGGAATTGGTAGGGTTAGGTGACTGTGTTGCTATGAAATCCTTAGCTGACGTTATTTTCTTTTCCTAGATTTTTTTGATTTTCATCGAAGCCACTGAATAGTATTAAATGCGATGGTGTTTTCCATCAAAAACTCGTAGATTTCTATTCAATTTTTTTTACAAATGACCGATTCTTGATTTTTTTAGTGGAAGTGGAATCAAATATGGCTCGTGAGTCAAGCCGTCGCCAGAGAAAACGTAGAACAGAAAGAAGTGATGAATCAGATGATGAACGATATAGTAAACGTGATAAATCATCGTCTAGAAGTCCCGCAAGAAAGTTTGTTATTAAAGCACAATTATTGTTATTAAATCTAAGTTCACTTAGATCAGATTTGACTTTTTGATAGTTTGTTGGCCTTGAGGTTTGGAAGATGTGTGTGAGAGAAAGCTTCAATATCCAGCTGAGCAAGTTTTTGCAGCTGCAGTTATTCTGCGTTGTGGTATTGTCATGTAGGATAATACAATCTTTTCAGCGCTCGGTGCTGCATTTTCGGCTTCTATTGATTCTGGTGGTCTACTTGCAGTTCGTTTATGCACGATTCAGTTGTGATCATCACACCAGGTCTTAGAAAGCTGTAATGGGTCAAACTGACAGCGCACTAAATATTTGCCTTTGACCATTCTTGTCTAAGATATATTTAACGGATCGAGCGGATAAAATATCATATGATTGCATCCACCTGTGTTCAAATACATCTTGCATTAATAATGTTATCATAGAGCATTGTCTTCGCTGGTAGGGCACGTTCTCTATCGTCCACCACAGAAGTTGACGCATATTTCGTCACTTGTTAAAACCTTTGATGAGTGGCGTTAAAAGCGAGAAGGGCCATTCAAGACCTGGACGGGCACTTTCCGGGCTGACACAGGAAAGATTTTGAACGTACAACGGGACCAGCGATATATGGACTTAGACGATGGAAAAAGGAATGGCTTCTATTATTTTCGTTTATTTCATCAGACCGCTGGAACCAGCCTAACCAGTAATGGTGAGAGCTGTTAGAAGAAGAAGTGCGACTCTTAACTTTACAGCCATTCACAAGAAACTGTGGCATTGGAGTGGACTCAAGGTATTTAAAATCTAGTACTTCCTCAATCGGCAGTGAATTTTATCAGTTTTATCAGCTTCTTGCACATAAGACGAAAAGACCTTCGTTTCATTTAGATTGACCCTGTGTCCGATTCTCGCTGCAATCGCTTATACGTTATTTAGCATTATTTGCATTTCGTTATAACTGTCATCAAAAAGGACTACATCATCAGCATATTCAAAATCTGTGATATGACGCTCTAGAATGATCTGGACACTTTTAAGTGCAGACAACCGGTGTCCATTAATCACATAGTTGAATACTGTAGGGGAAGGATACAACCTATCACAGTTATTAAGGGTCATCACCACAGCATTATCAATTTCTGTTTCTTGGTTATAACTTTGTGAACAATTCCTTCACTCTTTTCTCTATTTTTCTCACGGCTAATTACTATTTGCATACTGGGAGTTGTCTCTCTCGCTTGATTTTGGACTCAATGCGCTAAAAATCTAAAAATTTTGGAGATTTGGCTGTGCGAAAAAGGCTAAATTAGTTTTCTATACTTCTAGGAAAAGAAATATGAAATCATTACAGTAAGTCATTATAAGTCATAATATATAGTAGGCCGATTCTGCCTACTATATATTATGACTTATAAAGGTAAAAATATGCAGCTCCGAAAATTAACTCAGAGATTGCACCAAATTTTTTTGAATGAACAAGTGTTATTGCTTGTTAATAAAAGTCTACTTATTAAATTTAATGTTAATCAAATTATTAATTATTAAACATCTGGTTTTTTCTGCTTGGTCCTAACAGTTTTAGAAAATTTTTTATTTTTCAGCATCTATATCAGTCTATATTTATTTTGAGAAAGTTTCATAGTTTTCGCATATTTTCGTAAAATTTATGTCTATTTCCTCTTTCACCACTTTTTGTTTATATTTCCATTTCTTTTTGGTTAAAAATGGTTTAATTTTCAATTCAGTTCATATAATTTTAATTATGGATAAAGAATTATGTTATTTAGATCACGCAGACAAGAGAAGAGTCGTAACCTGTCTGGTTCACCTCACCGACGAAAGAATGAGCGAGCTAGAGATTCTTCTTCACCACCTGCTCGAAGAAGTCGAAGGACCAGAGATTCTTCGTCACCGCCATTTCGAAAAAGAGCCAAGAGTCGCGATTCACCCCAGCCATCAAAAAATAAAAAAGAAAGCATGTAAGTTATTTAAATTCTGAAATCATATTTTGAAATCATATTCATTTGCTTATCTTTAGCTTATCACCTAGCTGCTATTGAGCCTGTTGTGATAATAATTGAGAAATCGAATGAAATTCATAGCTAGCGAGATCTTAGTTAAGTTAAAAAATGGATTTCTATGATTTATTTCTAAGAAATTGTCAAATCTGAAAAAACGAGAACTGCATATTTTTTATAGGTTTTTTTTTTATAGGAAAATAGGCAGTAATAATTCTCTTCTTAAATGAAAAATATTTTTGTCTTTCGTTTCGTTAAAGTAATTATTGTTTCAGCTTTATATTAGAGGAATTTTTTCAGAGAAGAAAGTTTGTCAATTGAAGAGACAAATAAGCTCCGTGCCAAATTAGGTTTAGCTCCCCTTGATGTTAATGATAAATCGAAGAGTGCTGACAAGAATAGTGGCCAAGAAGCAAATGAGGGTGAAGTTTTTGTAGAAGATGGTATGCAGTATGTGCATAAAGCTGCTGAACATATTGGTGATAAAAAAAGGGCAGAAGAAATGAGGGAAAAATTACAGGTTCACTTTATTAAAATTTTTTGGTCGAGTCTTTGCAGTTTCATATCAAAGGATAATAAGATGGTTCCTTGAAGGTTATGCGAGAAAAACGAAAGCTACACGACAAATTATCCAAGGTCAAAGGCTTAGCTGATTCAGATTCTGACGATGACACTTCATCTTGGGTAACGAAAACTCGGGAACTGGAAGAGCAGCGGAGGCGTGCAGAAGAGCGTGTGAGTCAAAACTCCTTAATTTTTTGTTAGAAGTTTTCAATTAGTTCGTTTATTTTTTACCACTTTTTTTTTAGTTTTAGTAATAAATATTATTAAATCAATTTACTTTGCTCAGTTAAGAGGTTCTAGGCCAAATTATTGGATGAAATGGATGCTGAATTCGGAATTGATGCCCTCTTACGAGATGAAAAAGAAAAGAAACAAAAACAATTTGAATTGCAAAAATTACGACGGAAGGTTTATTATTGGTTTTCCATGTTTATGATTTATGTTTTTATGTTTTTATTATATTCTGCACTTCATTGTTTATATTGATGATATTTTGGAAAATATGATTTTCATCATTTTTCATATAATATCTTTTGTCACTTATATCTATATGCTGGTATGATAACTTTTTTGTCTATTATCTACTTTGTTTTATTGGCAAAAATACTTTCTTTCAATTTTCAGCAACGATCGGATCTTGCGGGAATTGTAGTGGGCCATGCTAAAGAAGATTTTCTGGAGGGAAATGAGACAATTCTTGTTCTTGAAGATAAAGGTATCATTTTTTCACTATTATGAGAAATAGTATAATATAATGTTGTCTTATTCACTATCGATTTTCTAAGTTTTCGGAATCAAAATTTAGAATATCATTAAATCCTTCTTTTCTACTTTTTTTGCACTTAGTTTTTCCGTTATTTTTCTATAGTAAAGTAAACGATAACCAAAGATACTGTGGTCCGATTTCACTGTTCAGTTTTTGTCATTAGTTAATGTGAATGTGCTTTATTTAATATCTGTTTATACTGACCATAAATTCAGATGTACTGGATGCTGGCGACGAGATATTAATAAATCCGAATATGATCGAAAATCAACGGTACGCAAGAAATGCAGAACTGCGAAAGAAGAAAGATAGATATGAACCTTACGCTGAAGATATCGATGAATTTGGTTTGGTAATGCTTATCTCATTAATAGTTGGATCTATATATTTCTGTTTATTTCTAAGTTTCTTTATGTTTTATTTCGATGTTGCCCTTATTCTTTAAAAAATTCCAACTAAAGCCAAGTTATCACTTTCTCTTTTAAAATTTCCTATTTTATGATTTCAATTCATTCAGCCAAAAGATAAAGGCTTATTGAGCAAATACGATGAAGAATTGAATGGTGAAGAAAGAAAAACTTTCAGATTAGGTAAATTTTTTATTTTTCATTTTTTTCATCATTTTTTTTGTTTCCATAAGGGATTCATTTTCTTTTTATTTCTCATCAAAAATAGGCCAGATGCAAAAACTTCCATTGATCGTTTAAAGATGAAATGGGTGAAGTTGACATTGAAAAAGAGCGTCAAGAAATGGAAATACGACGAAGATTATTTATGGCCAACAAAAAACTGGAGTCCCTTGATTCGTATCAGTATAAAGTAGCGAGTGAATTTTATTCGCAGGTTTATTCTTTCTTTTCTAAACTCTTTTACTTTTGAGAGATTTAAAAGATGTTTAACTGAGTAGTTGCTGTAGGCTTAAAATTTTCATATTTTTCTATCTCATGAGATTTCATGAGGTGAAAATTTTGGAAAATTTAGGTTACACTGGGCAATTTTTAATTTACGCTTTAATTGATTTTAACTGAAAAATGTGAACAAAAGTTTTCTGGTTCAACTTTATTTTTTGAAAGCTATTAACCATTTAATTCCTAGAATAGACCATTTTTTCAAATTGTTCTGGAGCGTAGAGTCTAGAAAATCTAGGAGTTGTTCTCAAAAGTTGCTTGATTTTTATTCTTTGATAAACTTTTTTTCCTTATAGGAAGAAATGCTTTCATTTCGTAAGCCTAAAAGAAAGAAGGATACTAAAAAAATGCGCAAACGAAAAGAGAAAATACTCAAAGCAGATGAGCTTATTCCTGATGAGGAAACTTTGGAAGATAATAGGTTTTTTTTCCATTTGACTATCTTTTATTAACGTTTATTTTGTACTTAGCTTATATCTAAAAGGGGGTAGGAAGTTTTTTTCTTGTAGTATTGCATTAGTTTTGTCTCGTTCTATGCAACTTTATTTTATCACTTGCATCTTGGAATCGCTTAGTCCCCCATGATATTTTTTTCCATTTAGTTCATAAGCATAATTTTTAAAAAAATAAATCCTTAATCTTCAGGACAGCAAAGCTTATTTTGCGTCAGAATAGAGGAGAGGGAGAAATTTCAATTACTGATATCGACAAGGATTCAAATTCAAAGGACAATGACATAAAATTAGAGGAAGGTGAACTACCAGATGATGATGAAAAAAAAGTGAGTCATTTTTACAAGATATCCTTTTGATGCTATCATTCTTTACCTGCATAAAGAATATGAATATTTTCTTCGTAAATTTATCTTATTTCTGTTCAAATTTTCTTTTTCTAAGAATGTGCGTTCACATTTACTATAAATATTAGAAGAAATTTTTTTTTTATAGATTCCAGCATTAACTAATATTTTATAGGATAAATGGCGAACAGCTGCTACAAGTGGCGTTGTAGATCTGGAGCGGCTTAATAAACTTACTGTTGAAGAATCAGATAGTGATGGTATTTTTACTTGCATTCGTTCCATTTTTTGCGATATACTTTTAAATATTTGATTCTAGTATTTCTAAATTTGAATTTTTATATTTGAATGTATTTGGTCATCCAACGCATTTTAAATAAATTTCTTTTTCAGAGGATCTTGTGGGTGGTGTCGACTTAACGGGTGTATTAGTTGACGATGATGCTGAAGAAGAGCTCAGTGCTATGCTGCATCGTGCAAGGAAAGTCCGGACTTTGGAAGTGAAAAAGGAAAGTGGTGAAAATGATGCTGCTGCCAGGGTTGGTTTTATGCTATTTTATTTTAATTGATTTTCACACAATTCAGGTTATTGGTAGTGATAAGGAAAAAGTAGATCTCACTTTGGTTTTGCTGACTGTTTGACTCTTTAATCTGTCGTTTTTTACCACCAGTATAGAGTAAATATTTGCGCCATCGCTAGGTAAAAGTTCGTTATTCGTTATTAATCTAGGCAAATTTTTAGGTATACGAAATGCTTGTGAAAGAAGAACCTATGGAGGCAAATGAAAATCCAGAATCGGGCTTAGTAATTGACTCGACTATGGAATATTGTCGTAATCTAGGTTTTATTATCATTTGATGCCTTTATTTATTTTCTTTTATTTTGATTTTAAATTATTCATTGCTCATTAATAATATCGAGATATTGGCAAAGTAATTAGTAGATAGAAGGTTAATATAAATGTTTATAGGTGATACATCTCCTGTCGGAAGTTTGAGTGGTCGAAAAGGCCACATTTCTGCAAACCTAGTCAAACAGGATGAAAGTAGGTCAAGCGATGAGGCAAATGGCGACGATGAAGAGGATCTTAAACAAAGGTTTTTAATTTTTAGATATTTAATGAATGCTGAAAATAGAGCTGTTTTATAAAGAATAGTATTATTTTTCAAAGGTATTCCAAAGAAATGGAATATGTGGATGAAAGTGTTAAAGGCAAGTGGATGGAAGCGACAGCTACAACTTCTTCAGGTGTTATTGCACCATTTTCGTCTTCTCGTCGATATTCCAGTAGCCACAGCGATACAGTAAATTTTTTGAGATTTTTTATCATCTTTTGAATCTTTTGATATACTTTTAGTTAATACATATGTATGTATTTATTTATGAAAAAGGACCAGTTAGAGAAATAGTCATGCTAATATTTTTTAAAATGTGGTGCATTTTATTTTACTTTTTTATTTTGATAATTTTGATAGGGATCGTACGAGCCATACAGCTTATTGGGCGAAGAACGGGATCTTAGTCGAGGTGTTGGTGCTATGATGAAATTAGCAGCTGAAAAAGGTTATTTGGATACAAGTCATGTACAGAAAGTGAATGGACCATCGTTGAAACATTTGGAAAGCAAACGTTTTTCCCAGATTGAGATCAGCCGATAGTAAATTTTTTATTTTATATTTTGCGAATGTTATTTACTAAAATGTTTATTTTGTTTTTATTAATAGTTTGGTGGATTATATAATTACAAACAAACAGTAAGAGCTTCGAATTTTTAAGTGACATAGAAGAAAAATATACCAAGAAACTAGAAAGAATGGGTACAACTGGTACTGGACCCATCCGACCATTTCCTGAAAAAGTCGATTACACTCCTGATATTAGAATTAATTATGTCGATGAACGTGGTAGAGAAATGGAGCCAAAGGATGCGTTTCGGGTATTGAGCTGGAAGTATGTTTTTATTTTGCTAGAATCACAATGTATTTAATGCTATAACAGTATTTTATATTTATAATAATATACTTTCATTTTCAGATTCCATGGTAAAGGGCCAGGAAAGAAGCAGATTGAAAAGAGACAAGCGAAAATTGATAAGAAGGAGTTAATGAAAAAAATGAATTCTATGGACACACCATTAGGTACCTTGAACAAGCAGTTGAAAAAACAAGAATCTATGCAGACACCATATATCATTTTGAGTGGTTCAGGACGTGACACTGGGTTCGTATTGTATTATTCGTTTATCCTTTTTTTGTATTTTTTTAGTTTATCTTGTTTTTTAGAAATTGTTTTTCGGATGATTTAATTGCTGTCAGTTGTCAAAATTTGCTAGTATAATTTCATAGCTTTACTTGATGCAATGATTTCTCTGTATTTCAGGGCACCGCTAAAAAAAGAATAAGCGCGGAAGGTATATTTCTTATGTCGTCACCTATTACGCCATTTTCATCTATTTCCTTTGTTTTAAATGTAAAAAAAGTAAAGAATAAGAAATAATTAGCAGTTGTTGTCTCTTATTAATTTTCGGTTTCGAACTAATGATTTTTTCAATTTCCCGTCAAAACGAAACGGAAATTTAACTTTACTGAGAAACCCAATAATCTTTGTAAATCATTTTGAAATTTTGATGATTCAATTGATTAAGTAAATGTAAACAGTTATAGAATTATTGTTTCGTTTACAGAACATAAAAAAATTTGTGGACAGATTAGCTTAGCAATCAAAAAAGATGTGGAAAAAGAAATATTTTTTCTACAGTTCTATGTAAGAGAGAGTGGAATCGGCTTTATTTATAGCGTTAAAAACTTGACATTTGCTGTGCTATCATTTTATTTGCAGAACTGTATCTCCACATAAAGCAACATTGCTCATTTGGAATTCATTCCTTGTCAAAGAATCAAATGGTCCAAGTTTTTTGTTGAGAGCTCGCATATTTTGGATTCTTAAAATGTCCTCTGGGCACTTGTGAATTTCGGGCTGTGAAATTGACATATTTTTGAATATAAATATAACCAGTAAATAATAAAGCGGATTCGATTAAATCAATACTTTTTTGGTCTATCAAATTTGATCTTTTAACTTTATTAATATATAAAATCTGTTGAGAAGCATTAAAGCTATGGGGTTCATAATTTGTAAAAGTTCTTCGAAAATTGTACAAATGTAGTTTGAATAAGGATATGTAGGAAATGACTGGATTCGTTTGTCACCATTCGTTTATGTCTGAGTAAGTCAACTGATATCGGAAATCGTCGAGGAGTCGATCTTGCCATCACTTTATTATTTATATCGTCATATGAATGAAGAACACATCATAATTACGCCAGTGTTTCCAGTGAAATTGTTTTATTATATAAACATTGCGCCTATAAAATTATTTTTCACAAATGCCGAAACTTTATGGATGGGAATATATTTTTAATGGGCCTAAAGGCATCAGTGAACATGGTTAATGAATTAGGATTATGGCGAACAACGCATTTCCTTTGGTTATGTCTTGGTGAATTAAATGACATTGACATTGTCCTCATCAGTCTGCGACAATTTATTTCCAAGTCAAAAACATTTACAATCTTCCACTAAACTCTACTCTGCTCAAAAACTGCTCAATACAAAATGTAAAATGAAAACATTTTTAGAAACATCACATCTAGTGCATATTAATTAGGTCTTTGCGTAGCAACTTAGTATGTTATAATGATTTTATAGGAATAAAATGTTTTACTTGGACGGTGCGATAGCCGATATCATGCTTCAGTCTAAGTCGTTCGTTTGCTTCGTGAATAATATGATCTAAGTCACAGTCTTTATCAGTGTTTAAATGCACGGAAACGGCCGTTTTATCAATTGATAACGACCACACTCGAAGCGAATGGATACTTTGAACCCCTTAAAGTTTTTTTATTACTTGAATTAAATTGTTTATTATTCAACTTTTTAAATAAAAGAATTATCTAATATGCTATCAGAACCGTTTATAGAAAGAAGATCTCGATGGATTTCATCAACATTTATATGGCGTGGGGTTGCTTCCATCAATACGATAAGAGCATCTCGTAGCACTGGCAAAGTCGTAATCTGAAGAATTTTGGAGATAAATAGTCAGTAGCCATCCATTAATAAGAAAAACGAATTAGTTGTAGGCTAATGAATCATATGTGAAGGAAGCATAGATTTTTGAAGCTTACCAAGACAAGAAATGAAAAGAAAAAGGTGCATAATGGATCTGCAAGGCGAAAATTTGTCAATTTTATAATGAATGCTGCAATTAAAACGCCAAATGATTGTACCAAATCGCCAAGTACATGAATGAAAGCTGCGCGTACATTGATGTTACTTTGTTGCTGCTAAAATTTTTGCAATTTTAGAATATTGCAAAATCAGAATAAAATAATTTTTGTGCGCTTTAGAATTTGCAGTTTATAACGTTCTTAGATTTAGAATAACGCGTTAACTCATACAAAATTCAAAATTGTTGTTACAAAGCTATTGCCATCAATTTCCTGAAACAGTAATTCAAAAATGGTCGAAAAAACAAGATTTAATGAGAAATAAAAGCGAAAAACCCAACGTTTTCTTGCTCTCGAATAATTTGATGATTGTCACCATTTTCTTTTTCTGCTTTCCATTTGGTCAAATGGTCTTTTCGTTGAAACTTTAACCGCAAAAAAATTTTGCTTGAAGAAAGGAATTTTGATGCATATTTACATGATTGCAAGATGTGACGGCAGCAATGAAACAGACGATCGTGCAGGCAATTTGAAGAGATATTTTAAAAATTCCTGTTATCTTTTTATTCGCTCAAATTAAGCTTATTTATATGATTAAATCAAAATTTTAAAAAAATACCATTTTCTTGTTGCCATCATGAGAATGAGAATGTGACATTCCAAAATGGCTATGGCTATTTTTGCCAATCATGAGAATGATACCCATGATAATGTTAAAAATTATACTGATGCACGCTGTAATTAGCATAATATTTGCATCAACTTCAAAATTATCCTCGATAATGCGCTCAACAGCTAAATAGACGAGTACAATGGTTAAAATCCATATTGTTAAGATACTGAAATGCAAAATGATATATCGCCAAATGATAAATGAGTTTCAGGATTAACTCATCTCATCGTGTGGTTGGCAGTGGATGCTAGATCGTTATCGAATCCTTCCACATCACACATTCAGTGGACAACTTAGTTTTTTTATTTCCAGAATCCCCTTGTCGTAAGACCTGTTTTTTTTCAGTTCATTTTATATCATTCCAAATTCACTAGATTACCCCATATTAAAAAAATAGAGTCGATGTAAATATATGACCGCGTATAATTCCATCTTATAATATTTTAAGAACATTAAATTAAATTTTTTAATTTGAAAATATATTCTATTTTTATTGTATTATCTGAAATTTTGTTGATTTCCCATAATTTCTTAACAAATAACAAAATAAATTAACCTTAGAAGTGCTCCAAGTACTTCAGCTCTATGAAAACCAAATGAATATATTTTTGTCGGTTTGAGCCGAGCCAGTTTGATGGCTGCTATAGATATGAGAAAGCTTAATAAATCTGTTGTCATATGCCCAGCGTCAGTCATTACCGCAAGGCTATTCGCGAAGTATCCACCAAAGAACTCGGTTATAATGAATAGAAATGCCAAAAGTGACACTGCGTAGAGAGTACGTTCTGCTCGCCTGTTTACAGACAATAAATGAATGAAAGTAAGGAATGATCAAAGGAAATGATTTATTCTTTGCTAAGATTTAAAATTGGGCATAGACTAGTCTTATGTACAAGAAGCTGATAAAATGCCTCTTTTTGTAAATTCATTGACGGTCGAGGAAGTGCCCGATTTTAAATACCTTGGGTCCACTCTAATACCAAATGGTTAGGCAAAAGACGATATTACAGCCCGGATCACGGCAGCTAGAAATGCGTTCTTCTTCCGGTTGACGAAACGTTTATGGAGTGAAATTAGCATTAAAACCAAAGTCCGCATCTATATAGCTGTGATTCGTTCGATCTTGCTATATGGTTCTGAGACATGCCCAATGAAAGTAGAGGATATTAAGAAGTTATCTGCCTTTGACCATTCTTGTCTAAAATAGATTTAACGGATCGAGCGGATAAAATATCATATGATCGCATCCACCTCCATTCAAATACCACTTGCATAAATGATGTTATCATAGAGCGTCGTCTTCGGTGGTTAGGACATGTTTTCCGTCATGCACCACAGGAGTTGACGTACATTTCATTACTTGTTAAACCCTGTGATGGATGGCGTCAAAAGTGAGGTGGACCAACCAAGACCTGAGTTGATACGATCAGAAAAGATTTTGAATTGGTGGATCAGCAATATATGGACTTAGACGATGGAAAAACGAATGGCTTCTATTACTGTCGACGATGGCAACAGACCGCGCCGCTTGGAAGCATCTTACCCATGTAGCTGTTGGAGCCAGCCTTACCAATAATGGTGTTAGAAGAAGAAGAAGAAGAAGAAGAAGATGGACTATTCTTATGGGAGCAAATTTAGTAATGAAGAAGATTATTGACGTTTTCAGAAATTAGATCCTTTTAGCTAAAGTAAAAATGTTGTCCTACTTATTATCTTTTGACTTAAAAGTATCCGGAATTTACACTTGTGTTCCATTTATAAACTTTTCGAATTCCGAATAATTTCCATCCCGTTGGCATTTATTTAATCAAGATGTATAATGCTTTGAAAGTAGTTCAAAAATTGACATTTGGAGTAATAACTAATACGGGAATGTGTGCAGAAAACAACAGGAAAAACTGATTTAGAATAAATGAAGTCAAACCAATCTATTCTTGATGAATGGAACAGATGGAACAGAAGTTGAAGAAAACTTTTCTATTTCCTATAAAAATTAGGCTAAAAACAGAAATTAAGGCTGAATTTAATGAAACGATTGTACTGGTAAGAAATCAATCATCCAACCAATTTCATAAAAAATGGTCAGTGTCTCATTGAACAAACTAAAATGTTCTCATAAGTCGATTTGAAAAAAAAAACTGGCGTATTTTCCAACTAAAGCAACAAGAAATAAACTAATATCACAGTTCATGGAAAGAAAAATCCGTCAAATAAATTGATGCTTAAAATTTAAATATATTTTTTCGAATTTATTATTTTAGTTTTCATTGTTAGTATTTTAGTTTAAACGGAAATAAAAAAATTGCAAAAATTTTTAAAGTTCACTCTTTTCAAAAGTTTTTGGTTGTCCTTTAATTATAAATTTGCTTTTACAGTTTTTTTTTAAACTAAAAATCTCAGAAGTTTCCTATCGCACTCATTTATTTATTCTGATTTTAATTCGTTTTTTTGTTTTGCCAATCCACTAAATGAATTATTTATAATCACATCGATTATCAGTTATCTTTCTAATATCTTATTTTTATCGTCTAAATGAAGCTCAACTGTTTGTTTAATCAGCTATTGATGAATAGTGTTTTTCTGACGAATCTAATTCGGATTTTCACCTTTTTAATTTTAGATATGCTAAACAATTCTTCTAATGGGAGAATCAGGATTTCCTCGGTATTTTTAAAAGATTTCTGGAAAAAGGGATAACGAGTAGGATGAATGAAGCATTTTATCATTACAGATTTTAATTTTATATTGAGAATCTTAAATATTGAAATTAATTATTAGTTAATGCTTATTTAATAAAAACTTACTGCATTTCATTGTTGCCGTGGCTCATTTTTTTAAAAAAAGAGGATGAGCGCTTAAATTTAAACGCAATTTTCTAACATAAACCGCCGCACTTAACTAATGGAACGAATTTTTTTGGCCCATATATATAGATGCGATTCTATTTAATGAGGAAAGCCAAGCGAAAACAGTGTTATTTAACAGTGTTAGTTAGTGAACAGTCTGCATAGAGCGTTGACGCCTCAGTCGACGTCTCGGAAATGGTTTATCAATAAAACCGATAGAAATAGAAAGTCGACATAAGCAATGAAATAATCATCACATAAAGTCGAATCGCGATCAGGAATGAAATATATTCATTGAAGAATTAAAGCAAAATAATGGAAGAAAACAGGATAGAAGAAAAATCAAGAAAACAAAAAAATTCTATGCACGCCTTTCAAAATTTATTCTCATTTTTAGTTCTCTCACCTTGTTTGATTGACTGCTTTCACTGAAATATTTTCATCACAATAATACAGTGGTACTTCGATATCATTCGGTATTGCATTATCCGTATCATCGGTAATAGTTTCATCAGATGCTTTTGATATTGATATCGACGTTGATAAAGACTTCTTCGACGTAACCATGTTCTTGCTTAAATAGGTAAGTTTTCATTGATTCATTTCTTATCGTTGCATGATCGAAGAAAACGAAAATTCACATGAAAAATGTATGCGCGAAATTTTGAAGTATAAGAACAATGCGTCCACAAAATTTCAACATACACGTAATTATATAACATTTGACCTTGACACAATTTTTTTCTAATTGAATTACTGCAAGTAAGTAAATGGTTAGTGCACCACTTTTGATCAGCTCCTTTGGCTGCTAATATACTTGGAAATTTTCGCTAGGCAGTAGTTATTCGGTTATGGAAGTACCAGCAGGTCACCAGTACCACTCGGATTAATGACAGACTCTGCCGGAAGGTGCGGCATTTTCACCCTCTCACGACAAATTGATTTTTAATCAAAGCAATAAGTGATAATTTTTAGAGAAATTTTTATTTCATTTATATTTTATTTTTACTACAGTGAATTATAAAATTATTTTTATTACCTGCCGACATCATTCTATAATAAGCATTCTATGACAAAAAATTTTTTCATTTTATTCGTCAAAATTTTTGAAGAATAATCTCGAGAAATTTTTTGATAAAAAAAAATTACGTAAGTATGAAAGGACGTTAACAATAATAATTTGCTCAATCACCTTTCACTAAAATAACTAGAATTTAATTGAATTGTTAACAAGATTCGAGCAAATTACATGGTTCATTTGTGAATTAAACAAGATTTCAATGATTTCTGTTCATCGATCGTTATTGGGATGAATCTAAAAGCACTTAGCATTTCTGGTTTCGCTGGCTCATTCGCTAGATATTCATTTGGCGACATGGTTCTTTGGCACAACTCGGATCTCACTTTCAATGACAGGTTTATTCCCTTTATGGAATAGAAACTAAACTATGACGCATAACTAGTAAAAAAATATAACAGTCGACTGATCGGCAAAAGTACTGAACAATAACGTCTTATCTTTCTAAAACCAATGATTTTTATCACTGATAAAGAAATTATCGCACTGAAGAATATAAACTTTTCAATTAAAATTAGGCATCATTTTTAAAATTAAAAGTTTTCACTTCGCAAATCTGTTAAAGCGAAAAAATCCCCAATTTTTCCTTCAGGAAACATATCCTTTAGGTTTCTCATAAAAATAAGCCGTTCGACATAACCAAAAGAATTATTCAAAATTGTTCCATTAGTAAGTACCATTCCATAAAATTTGATCACCAGAAATTCGATTTTTTGATCATTTGAAACTTGATTTTTTGCTGAATCTTTGATGGTATTCGGAGATAAAAGAAAATGAATGATTTGAGTGCTGCAGAACACTCCAAACTTTTGGTTTTTCCACATAAATTAATCAAAATATTAAAAGAAAAAGAATTAAATAAATGCCAAAAAAGAGGAAATTCGAAAAAGTGAATGGTTGAAAATTGAAAAAGAATTAAATGACGACGAATGAATTATCAGTATTAAAGACAATGAATAAAACACTTCGAACTATAAAACGGTTGTAATATCGAAATCGTTCACTGAATTATACTGAAGCTCGCAAAAATTTACCATTTCAATAGACAATGAAGGCAAATAATAGCGAAAGAATAAAATTTATTAAAGCTTTAGATTTCGAGCGATCGTCGAAAGCAATTTAAACCGATTTTTAAATATTTAATTATAAATTTTTATTAAAAAATTTCGTTTGAAATTAAACAATGTTTGATTAAATAACTTTTTTTTCGCCCACTTTTTGAAAATAGCAAAGAGATTGTTGGTTGATTCATTTGCTCGTTGCATCAACCATTTTTCTATCATTTTTAAAACAAATGCTACAAAGTTAAACTGTTATAAACGTGAGAAGTAAATATTGGTTAGTTTATGTTCTTCTCGACCGACGTTCATTCCGCATTCACCGTTTCTTGTTTGGCTCGTTCTACTCGCTATTAGAATGAGAGAATTTTAGCAGCGGGCATGGAAATATAGAGATGTGTCACTGAGCACCACCTGCATTTCGTAGAAGGTTGTGAAAGGACGAGGAACGAACCTATGATTTCCACTCCTACCTTGTTAACAAACTGAACATATATCGTTAAAGACGAATTTTTGCCTGAAAGGAGGATTGAATATGTGTTCTGCTCAATTTCATTGCCCATTCATCATAAAAAACGTTTTTTCTGCCTTAGAAGAAATTATTCAGAATTCATATGGTTTCCATTCAATTTATGGAACCATTACAACGAACGACATGAAAAAAAGAAAACTTCTTTGACCCACAGAACTGGTCGTTCAATTCTCTAAAGAACATTAACACCTGGTGTAAAGCAATTTACCAGTTGCATGTTTTTCAAAACAAGTTCCGTTCTTAATTTTTGATAATTCCTCATTTATCGGTTGATCTTTTATAAATATAGTCAGCCTGTTATTTATTATCAGTTTCTTCATATATGAATTTCTTTTTTTCACGTTTTTTCTGAATTTCTTATAAGAAAAGGCTTAGGAAATCATTTGTTTGCAAAAAAACGATACTTTTCGGTAGATTCTGGTGACTCTAAATATGGCAGCAGATGCGATAACGCTAAAATGGCAAGTTTCGCTTTAAAATTTTTTAAAAGAAAGAGCCACCGCTCATTGAACATTTTAAGAAAAGCAAATATGCTGCTTAAACGGCTCTCTTCAGTTGTTTTCCAGGTAAACATTCTCTAAGAACAATTCTTCGAAAAAATCGGCAATAAAAGCGTTCGCATCGAAAATTTATCATTTTCGAGAAAAGGCATATTCAGAAAAATTTGCGTGGCGAAGCAAATGGCTCATTGAAAACATCAAAACGAGGAATGGAAAGAACAATGCGAATTACTGTATAGAGTTTCAGAATTATTTTCCTACGTGAATGCTTCAAATCCGACGAGTAACGTTGTTTTTTTTGCGATGCATTTGATAAAATCTGCCAATTCAGCTTCTATAGCAATTCAATATGTATTGTTATTCGACATAAATAGCATTTTTAAAACAAATTTTTGCAGTGAGCAAAATTTTCATTATAAGCTTTAATGAGATTTTTTATAGTTTCCTGGAATGGAGTTGAAAAAAAGTGATTTTAGCAAATGTGAGAAAAAGATGAAAAGCTTATTATGGATTATTGTATGCAATATATTTTTAAAAACAGCCATATTTTCCATGATTTAAAAAAAATTTGCTGCATTTGAATTTTTAGCTAAATTCTTGTGAGAAGTATTAAATGTAAAAAAATTCCTACAGCAGAATGAATGAAAACTATTTTTATCTATTTCGTCCAACTATTTGCCTTCTCGGTTACGTTTTAAACAAAAAAATTTTTTTAAAGAGCACTCACCATTATTAATTAGACTCGCTTATCGCACTTGGCAAATATGCCAGAGAGTCAGTCCATTGGCAGATAGAAGTAAATAGGTGAGTTGCCAGAATCACTTGGATTCTCGGACTGGATTTTTACTCCTGCGCACCTCAGCGAGAACCTCAGCATCGGCGCTCCAAACTGACCAACAACCCTCTACCTATTAAACGAGAATTTGGAGAGGAAACCGCATTTTTATAATACTTATTTTTAATTATGATGAGATGAAATCCGTAGGAATTCCTTTCGTGGCTCAGTTACTTAATGCTAAAATGCTTTGCCACAGAAAAAAATACTCTATTTTCAGGCATTGAAAAATTTTTAAAAATGAATTTATGAATTTCAAAAAAAATAAATTAAAGCGGAAGAGTAGTTTAAAAAATACGCTTAAAAAGCAGTCATTTTTTAAATGAAAACCAAAAACTCAAATCGCATTTACGCAAACGTCGAATAAAGATTGAAGTTTAATTTAATTTCTCAATGAATCGAGAACAAATGGAAATTTTTTTTTGATGGAATTTTGAGGAAGATTCTTCATAAATGAATCGTTAAGTAAAATAAATGAGAATTATAAATAGGTGATAAACGAAGAAAAAGCAAAAAAGACTTCTATCGAGAGCAAGCTCGGCGCACCTGATCAAGGAGTATCCACCAAAATTGGACACTTCGCGACAATTTTATTTTGCAGTCGATTTTAAACTGAAGCAACATTTTTGTTAAAAAAATATTTCATTATCGTTGAATTATTCACGATTTGTTCGAACATATTTTTATAAAATTTCTATAAAATGCAGCAATTATTAAGAGACAGGATAACCGAGTGGATAGTGGTTTAGATTGTCGTATAGCTGAGAGTTCGGCACCAAATATTGTTTTTTGCGACATCCATCATTATAGGCCGCTTGTTCTGACTATTAGGATGACGCTTTCGACAGAGAGCCATTTAGAAAATAGAATACAAGTGGCTACTTAGCATCATCCACATTTTTTAAAGAAAGTTTCTCTCCAGCCATGATCTTCGATGATATGCCCATGTTATCTTTGAAACAAACCACTCTCCTGAATTGCTTCTGCTACAAAATTAAGCAACTCCTGAAGTATTTTGTCTCTTGATCGAGCTTTTTTGAAAAGGCATCAAGAAACACTCAGGGATTTGAAGCTAATGTCTACTCATTTATACACAAACATATAAAGTTGAAGAATGTGGCTAGTTCTCTAGAACAAACAGAACAACTAAGTTTAAAAGAGTCGTAGAACTGTTTGGATCTGAAGATGATCTTTTTCGCTCGAAAGCAGTCTGCATTAACAATATCATCATGGGATATTGCTGGTTAGTAGGATGTGTTCTTCGTAGCTCAGGAAATTGACAGAAAATCGCAGGAAACAATACACATTTCTCTTTTATCGACAAAGTGAGCGTAAAATGCTGCCCTCACTGCCGTCTCTTTTCCTTAAAAATGCCTAGCGTACTGGGCAACTTTATTAAAAGCATAGTTTGGATTTTTTTGATAGAAACCCAAAATGTTAAGATGGATCGATCTTCTTATTGTGGAAATGCATTTAAAAAACTAAAGGAATTATGATGATTGTTAATTTTCAAGGGAGAATGTTCAAAAGGAGTGTCGTGAAATGCGATATTTTTTCTAATATTATTTATTATTTCAAACTGATGACCGTGACCCGCCAAAAGAAAACTGTCACTAACTTAGTCGATTCTTTGCTTATTTCATCTCATATGTATAAAAGATTAAGTCATTAAGGTCAACTTATAAAATACTGTATATGCCTCTCCAGAAAATAGTTCTTCTCTCCTTAATTTGGAGCCACAAGGGACCCAAGCGGGTTCCAATATCTGGCATTTTTTTGTTTTTAGCTTTTTTCTTGTTTAATCATTTCTTATTTGTTTTTGTTTTTTAATCTTTGATTTTAATTTATATCGAATCTTGTTTTTTCTAATCTTTATACAAAAAAATGAGGTTTAATTAGCCAAGTTTGAGGTGTAAAGTGGTGTGAAGAATAAAATTTTTATAAATACGTGCAGTGATCAATTTAATATTAATATTACTGTCCAGAACATAAAATAAAATATTCTAAAAACACGTGGCAGGCGAGCATAACCTCACTGCCTTCTCTTATTAATTTATCTATTTTTTACAAGGAGTTCAAGGAAAACAGTTGAACTGCAATGCTTCAAAATATTTCAATTTTTTATCGTACTTTCTTTGCTGGCAAACTTCTAAGCACATTAAATTTCAAGTGCGGCAACGATAAGTAACTGATCTTTACTTACCTATACTCACATAATTTAATTGCTCCAGTTGGCAAGATTTTTACGAAATAACAGTGAAAACCTTCTGCATCGCAATTTTCATACTAAGTTCTTTCTCAGATTGCTTTCATGTTTTTAACTATTGCGCTCAAATAACAAATCTTTTAAATTTTATCTTTGCTAAAGTTCCAGTTTGAACATTGTAACAGTAATATTAACAACAACTGTGCAAGTCCTTGATCTAACTAATAACTAAATTAATAAAGTTAGGCAAATATTCTGCGTAAGCTTCTGGCCATAGTTGCGTGGAATATCAGAACGTGTCGCGATTGTCGTGTCCAAAAAAGCACGATCGGCATAGCCGTGTGGTATCCTATTAATGGCTAGTTGGCCTAAATAGGCTTTAAAGGTACATTTCGTAATGTCTCGGTCATCATTGTTTATGGATCATCTGAATAAAGACGGATTATATGCCGCTTAACTTCCTAACAGCTTCCAAAAAAGACAATCGCGATCTTGGGAGATTGTAATAAGCGTGTCCATTAGCCTAAGGTACATTCTAAGTATCCGCCAAGCAGACAGAATCACAGATTATTGCGTCGACCGAATACGATCTGCATAAAAAATAACATCACTGCTCTGGTTGAACCATGTTCCTCGCTGTCCACCATAGGGATTGATGCACATCTCACCATTTGTTAAACCGTGCGCTGGGTGTCGTCAAAAGCGAGGATGACCAATCAAAACCGAACTGGAACGGAGATTCCGAACGCAAGGGCGACCAGCTCAGACGGTGGAAGAAGTTAATTTCAGGAATGGCATCGGATTGGGCGAATTGTCCTGTTCTAGTCGCGAGTGGCACAAATTAATCGTTGCGAACTACTAAAAGAAGATTCTCAACTAGAAATCTATGAATAACAATAAGAACAACTGAAGGAATTTGAGTAATACTCCATTTTTGGTAAATTTAGTTAAACTCCTTCAGCTGGCGGCTTGTACGATGAATACGATGAAAAACCTTCTTCGGAGAGAAGCACTGCTACCACTAAACAACTCGTTAGATTTGTTCCAAGAGAATCTGAACGTTGGGGCAATAAACCACAATGAGGCAACTATGTCAGTTTTTATCATCAAAAAGATTATGAACAATACAAAATTACTGAAACGTTTGATTTTGATTCTGAATGACAAAATCGTTGCGATTTTCATCTCTGATAAAACCTATTGTTTAAGAGTATCGCATATGTATAAATGTACAAACGACACCTCACACCTTTTAGAGGATTTTTAAAACTCTCTTTATCTTTTATCAGACTTACGTAGCTAGCAAACTCTGCGTGGTGCGAATGTTTTCATTCCTTCTTATTGTCAAGGATCGACTTTTGAATGTGTCGAGCGTCTTTTAGCCGAAAGTAAATCACAATTACCAAAAGTGAAATTTCTAAGAAGTGAATGGCATAATTTTTGTGGTTTTTGGAATTTTATTAATTAATTAGATTAGTTAAGCGGGCTGCCTCCTTCATTTCTTTGATGCTCGGGCTTCCTGGTGGAAGTAAACCTGTCTTTCAGGAATCAGAGTGGTACCGGTGGCTCACTTGCATTTCCATCGCCAAATGATTCTCTGGAAAAATTTGTCCGCAAACTCAGCGGAGTGAGCGGAGTGTTCAACTAAAAATGTTCTCAGGAAAAAATTGATCAATTGCCCTTATTTTAATTCATTTATTTGCTTTTAACAAAAGTTTTTTTGATGGATTTCTATAGTTCTTTTTAAAATTTCATTCATTCTGTTTGCATACTAAATTAAATTTTTTTTAATTCGGTGGAGTTAAAACTTTTCTTCTCTCCCTTTCTTTCTCACCATTTCTGGTTTTGTGGGCTCTGATAGACATTCGAATTAGGTTTTGCAAAAGAATCGTTAGAAGTGTGGATGGGTCACCAAATCCACCAGAATTTGAACTTTAATGGCGGAATCCACCAGATTCTAAACATATCTTGGCAAAATATTAAACTCGATCATTTTCATTTCGATCATTTTTTTTGGTTTGGTTGTTTTTTTCTAAATATAGTATCGTTATTCTAATATTCTTATTTTCATTTGCTCTTCTGTCAAACGAAAAACCTGTATTGCTTAGTCTCAGCCGAAGGGAACCTACCGTTCAGTCTAATTTATCCAAAATGTTTTTATTTAAAGCTTTAAACATAAATGACAGTGTCAAAAATGCTGTTACTTGGATTCAAAACATTAGTATAAAAAGGAACCTTTTAAAAATTCTAGAAAAAAGAATTTTTAAAATTCTCATCATTTTAGATATTTTTTCCTTCTTTATTCTTTATATCGGTTTTCGTGCAATCGGTCAAATGGTCATTTTCTTCAAAAAGGCAGGAAGAGATTTAACGAAAATGAATCGCAAGATTACCTTCTCTTGATTCGATCATTTCGAATATATTTTGCATAATTTAATTAATTTTAGCCATAATGTTACTTCATTCGAGGGCATTTTCATGTGTTATTGCTTGTCGACGATTTTTAAAAATTTCTTCTATCAGTCGAAGCGATAATAGTGCAGTGCAAGTTGATGAAGTGATTGATATGGAGTAAGGTTTTTTCATATTTTTTTCTCAGATTTGGTTAATGATTAAATAAGTAATAGGTTAAATAATTTAGCAGGTGGTTTATGTAGTGATATTTCTGTATTGATATTAATTAGTAATTCAATATATTTTAGAGGAGAAATGGTCTTAGAATTATCAGAATAATATGTTACAAGAATCAGAAATTTTTTCAGTTTCGCGGCGCTTTTTTAGACCTATAATTTTTATTAATTTAAATTATATATTTACTGGAAATTAATTTTGAGAAATTATTTTTATTGTATTTCATTATTAGGTACTTTTTTCTCAAGCGGTATGTATGAATACAAATATTTTTTTCAAAATTGCGCAAAAATTGATGGTTCATAGCACATAAATATGCCATTATTGCTTGGTTGTTTTTGGATTATAAAAGTCTCATTTGTTTTTTGCAATTGAGTAAGTAATTGAATTTTGCCTCGGATTTTTCCAGTACTTTTTAAATTTTTTTTCAGCAAACCACATACTGTCGTATGCACTAATGGTGTGGTCGCTTGCTGGCATCCTGAGCCAAAATTTCCTTATGAACATACTCGGCCTATTGATCCAGCTATTTGGCAGTCCAAGAACTTGGTCAATAGTTTAGTCAAATCTTTAACTATTAAAGCGTTTTTGCTGTTTTATCTTTATTTGGAAATGTACTAATAATGGTGTTTGATTAGTTTACATTGTTCCTGATTTCATGGAAAATATCCTTCTTTAAGTTCAGTTTGAAATGTGCCGATTTCTTTGATTTTTTTCTATTTCTGCGTTGCCTTTTTATTCATACATAATTGTGTTATAGGTGTCTGGTCCGATAAAACAAGAATTCTTGCGAAATTACAATACCAGACGATTTAAAAGAGGGCCTCCTGATTTTGATTTACAAAATATTTTTTATTCATGGAAGCTTGATTTTTTGCCAAGGTATTTCTGTTTAATTTAAGCTTTTTAATATTAGCTTTTTTCTTATGTAGTTCTTTTAGAAAGCATTCCGATTGCAAATTTTGGGTTGCAAAGCCATTGTTTATGAACGTATTATTTTTTACATTTCGTGAGCATCTAAACATATCTTGGCAAAATATTAAACTTGATCATTTTCATTTCGATCATTTTTTTTGGTTTGGTTGTTTTTTCTAAATATAGTATCGTTATTCTAATATTGTTATTTTCATTTGCTCGTAAATCTCGTTAATCATGAATCTTTAATTCAGGTATCGTGAAAATCGGCTTTATGCGCTAGCTGGTAAACAAGGCAAAAAAAAATGGTTTTAAATGATTGTAAAGTTTGTTTAAACAATTTGTTATTGTTGGAATTTTCATGAGGATGTGCATCAATAACACAAGAAAGAGAAGAGTTAAGGAAAATATATAAAAAAAAATTTCTGCCGACTAGTTATGCTATTAATATATTAGCTTTGAAGAAGTTCGTTATACTTGTAAATCATAAATTGTATAAATCATAAATTGTTTGTGATATAAGATCCGTGTATTGTTGGCTTTATGTACAAAATATTTCGGAAAGGTGTCGCTGGTTAGCCTGAAACTGGCTTCAGCTAAGCATTCCGGATTTTTTTGCCTTGAAATTTCTGTTCTTTTTAGTTTCCATTTCATTTTTCCATTCCTTAAAAAGTTATTTTCATCCAAGAAACATACACTGGAAAGATTTCGAAATATAGGAAAATAAAAATATATAAATATAGAAAACATCTGTTATGGCGAAGCTTCATCTTTTTCATGCTTTTAGCTTTTGCTCACAATTGCTATGAGATTTCTCCAAAATACTCAGATATTCAGTTAGAAATATTTGTTGTAATGAGGATAATACAAATATATGAAGAATAAAGTAAAGTGGACGCTAATCCTTTTTTTCGGATATACTCTTGACTTTTTCTGGAGTTGTGATATGTTGGTTGTTGATCGAAACTTTTTAGACGATTAAATTTATAAGGGTAATGGTGCGCTTCACTTCGTTCATAAGCTCTTTTCATGTTGATGCATTCTGGCTTGGTCGAATTTCTTACGCCGATGGAATTAATTTACAAAGAAAATTTGTTGAAAAATTGCAAATTCAACGTGCATGCAAAGGAAAATCGGCGAGTTTTAAGTAAGTTTCTAGGTTCAGTTTGAATATTTAATGTATCTAAGTAATGAATGGTTGTAAATGGCGTGTGCGGTATTTTAGTCGTTTATTAAAATGCCTTCTATGGCTGCACTATCGTATGGATGGTAGTTGAAATCTGTAATACAAACTGGATTGCAGAGGTTATCTACTTTTACTTGAGCATAATCCAGTTTATACCGTCGGATTAAGGGAGCACTTTTATTCAAAAGAAGAAGAAAACCGTCTACGGCAGTTGGGCGCAGATTTCTTCAGGTGTTGGTTGCTTTGCTTTCATTTATTTTGGCATTGTCTTGGATCATAGGCAATTTTTTAAATTATTTTTAACGTTCTTTGGCAGGAGTGGAATGGTTTAGTGGGTTGTTGTTTTCATCTTATAGCACCAATAGTAGAGTCCTACTTTCTGTAGGTGTAAACCTAAACCTATTCTTGAAAAATAGAGGTGATATTGGCGAGCTGTACTTGTATTTCCAAGTGACTGGCAAAAGTTTAGTTTGATGAGCCAGGTGAGCAGTTAAAAACACAAATAATAACGATCTTAGAAAGAAAAATATATGGCCAATTTGGAATTAAAATTTTCATTATCTGTAAACGGCTTTGTTTGTATATTTGTTAGCGTTCATTTTGAAATTATCTTTACTGTTATTGATGTTTTTTAACTAAGTTAATGTTTTAATTTAGGACAAACCGTGGTGGACTAATTACTTTTCATGGGCCAGGACAATTGGTTGCATATCCAGTAATGGATCTTTTAGCACTGTCTATTAATGATGACCAAAAAACTTCTAAAGTTGGTGTGCGTCGATTTGTACATTTAATCGAAGAGGTTATTATTCGTACTGTTCGAAGTTTTGGTCTAACAGGTGCAGATAGGTCGTCCAATACAGGTTATCTAATCTCATTTATAAAAAAAGCTTTTAAAAAGTTGAGTAAAGTATTGGATTTTGTTGCAAGTTAGATGAAATACGTTGGTACTACTGGTTTATCGTTTTTCTTTAAAATGCGGTTTTGATGATTTTGATGAAGTACGCAGTTCAACAATATTTGTTTAGGATTGTAAAAGCGAGAAGATATTCGAGTGATATTAGAATTTTAATTAGGAATAATGTTGTTATTACTAATATTAAATTAGGTACTTAGAAACTAGGTACTAGGTTTAAAAACTAGGTCTGTAAGGAGTAAGGAATAAGCTTTGGATTTATAGACTTCTACTAAACAGTTTTTTATCAGGTGTTTGGTTGAAAGGAGGTTCACGGAAAGTTGCCGCGATCGGTATTAATATTCATCGAGGATATACTAGTCATGGATTAGCTCTTAACTGTAATGTTGATTTACAGTGGTTTCGTCATGTAAGTTTTATGCTTTCGTCCTTTTTTAGGGGCTTACTGATCATATCATGAATAATAATCGAAACATGTTATAGATTGTGCCATGTGGCTTACGTGATAAAGAAGTAACGTCGTTATCGAAAGAACTGAATCGTAATGTGGAAATTGGTGAGACTATAAAACCATTATGTGATCAATTTTCCGAAATTTTTCAATGTAGCATTTCTTATTCGTCAGAAGACGAGACTTTTAAAAACATTCTCGCCAGAAAGTCATAAAATACAGACGTTCAGAAGCAATTAAAACAAAGGAAGTCTTATAATAATTTGAAAATAGTATATGCAACTAAAAAGGAAGTTTGAAAAAAACATAGAAATTTGAAAAAAACTTGGAAAAACAGGCTTAGAAGTCTATAGATAAATTTTCTGTATTTAATTCCATCAATAAATTGGCGATCAAAAAACTTAACGGAAATTTAGCAAAAATTTTTTAAATTATAAATTAGCGCCAATAAGTTGATTCCATCCATTTGCTATTTGTTTATTGTATTGTTTACGAAATGCGATTTTGTGGATTTATTTGGTAAAATTTTGTCAGATACAAAAGATACACAAAACCTTCGTCATGTTAACGTAATTTAATGAACTGCTCACTGTCGCTGTTATTTTCAATAATTTTAGTGGTTTGTTTATGATGGATAATTATTTAATAGTGAACCAGTGAATTGTTTTTAAAATTTAAAATTAGTATAAACTATTTTCAAATCATCGATAATCAGTTTTATGACTTGAATTTGCTCTCGTTTCGGAAAATTGTGCTGAGTGGTTGCGTGGCGAGGGATTTTTTTGCAATAGCTTACTCTCTTTTCATTAGTGTCTTTCGTGACTGTAATCTGAACCTTAGGAAACTTCCAGAATATTGCTGAATCGCATAGTCTTTAAAAGTAGCGCAAAATCTGGTTTAAAGAGCAAGTTGTTCGAGCGTATTTTAGAGTTTTAATGGCGGAATTAAACAGTCCTAGCAAAAATGATTTCGAAGAAGGAGTTAGTTTTGCTCATAATAATGCCGATATTGGTGCACCGAAAGGCGTTGAAACACTTTTAGCACTGATTGATGAACTCCTGGCATGTGCTTGTGGCAAAAGAGGTCAGTTAAGTCCATTGTTTCCCTACTTGCTATTGGTTTACGAAATGCTTTTTCCAGTTCTTTTGTTTGAAATCCAATATAGATTTTTCCATTACTTGGTTCCATTAGTTCTTTTTAATATTTAATATTCGTTTCCATTTTGCAGTCAAAGATGAACTAAACACAAAAGAAAGCAAATCGGAAAGTGGGGAAAAACAACTGAATACATCTGAAACAACTTATAGACCAGAAAATGTCAGCTTTTAAAAATTGCCCAACAAAGATTTCCAAAAGTTTGATTTTTTCTGGCTCTGCATGCTGTAAACCTCTATTTTCAGAGTGGATTAAAAACATTGCGTGAGATCATTCGAACCATATCTGAACATAAAGGTGGCACTGAAATTTCATGGGCCTCGGTACGTATTTCATATATGGAAAAGACAGGACGAAATTTGAATGAGTCCGAGCTTAACTTGTCAGTCTCTATCACATCATTTCAATTTTCTGTTAATAATATTAATATAACGAGGAGATTCAGAATATTGGCAGATCTTTCCTCCGATGGGAATAAGATTGTTATTTAAAAGTCCCGGTGGTGCTAGCGAGCCACTTGTGTTTCTGTCGTCATGTTACTTCCTCGCAAAAATATCCGTTTTCAGCGGAACTTGATTTCTAATAAGAATGATGGTTTTTGTAAAAATACACTGTTTCAGCTTTTATAAAAATTATTAAATTTTGCGCACATAATTGAAAAATTTTTGTGCGGAGAAATTCATTGAGAATATGTGTGCATATTTTTATGATTCTTAAGTGAGTAAATATAGTAAGTAATTCAGGATCTGTGGAACTATCCGTGAAAACAAAATCACTTTACTGGAAAATTTTTTCGATGACTTTTGTATTCTATTAGATGATTATGGACATTGTTATATGAAGCGGATATATAAGTATTCTATCAAGGACGATGCAAATGGTAATAATTTTAGGCAAAATTTTAAAACTTTAATCATTTTAGATTTCATTTGCTATATCAGTCTAAAAGTTTATTATATAAGAAAGTAATTTTTTTACCATTAAAAAGAAATCATTCAACATTTTGAATGCATTAAAATTATGCAATTATTTTCTGAAAATTAGTACCATTCAAAGCATTTTAATCAAGCTAGCTGCAAGCCTTTTAGTTGAACTCTTTGTGATTATATCCTTTATATTCTTTAGCAATTTATATAAGAGAAACAGATCTGTGGATAAAGCAAGAGGATAGTGGCATTTTACAAGGATTAGAAATGGAACTGATCAATTTGTTGTTTGTGGTTAGTTTCGTTTTGAATTCACAGGAACGCAAATTTATTTGGTGATTTTGCGACAAAACATTGATAGCCACAGCAAAATAAATTACTAGCACATCTTTTCAGCTCGCCCCGAAAATGTATTTGATTTCACAAATTTCCGGTGGAAAGAGAATATATATAGAAGAAATATGGACTGAATTAAAAAAGAACGGTTTGTTTCACTTTCGTTGGTAATTTGGAATTTTTTCATAATTTCAACATCCGTAAGCGCAAATACTGATTCACTGTGAAAATTCAGTTGAGTAATAGGAAATAGTTATGATTTATTCCTATGCGAAGATATTTAAATTAAATGCTTACATATTGTTGAGGTTTTTACTTTACAACTGCTTAACAAACAAGAATTTGCAGAGAACAAGGAGGTAGTGAATCTTCTCGATAGTGTTGAAGGTCATACTTTGGCACTGGCTGTTGCGTACCATCTTCATTTCCTATTTCAAGTCGATTTATATGCTCTGTATAATTTTATAACGATTTCTGTTAAAGGTCAGCAGATAATTTTTCCTTTTTCAAATTTCAGCTTATTGTATACATAACACACAGTCATGCACGATATATTCATTGTGATACACAGTCTTCATGCTTCACAGCTTCGAGGAAAAATAAGCCGCAAAGAATCTCTTGGAATTACCGCCTGAAAAAAAAAATCCTTAATAAATAAACTTAAGAGAACGCAGAATTCGATGCTGATGATGTAAATAAAGAATATGATTATCTTCAAAACGATTCAAGTTTCGTGTTTCTGCAATTTTTTCGCCGACGCTTATTGAATTTGCAAGTTAACCATCACGACCGATTTTCCATGGAGGTGAACATAATTTTTTTTGAACTAAATTTTATTCAGGAAAGATTTCTTTTATTTGTTTGCATTTTGTTGCAGGCAGATATGCTTGAAAATCGCATAACAAAAGCAGTCGGAATTTCTATCGATCCAGAAAAATATTTTGGTATATCGTGGGCAAAACTTGCAAAAATTTGTGATGACGAAAATTTTGAATATATCGTTGAAAACGATAATTTGGTTTAATTTAATTTGGCATAATCTTTTTAGCTTAGTATTTACATTATTTTCTTAAACTTTTTGGCTGAAATTTTGCTCCTTGCATTGTTTATCCAAAAATGATAATGTTGAACTCAGTCATAAGAGCATTTACTATATTTATTCTGTTTTAAAAATACTTCTAATAATAATATTGAGTAATAAAATGATTAATATCATAGATAAACAAATTGAATTTATATTATCAGAAGGTTTTTTTTCAAGATCTTTCCACCATGTCAAACATCTCCTCTGTTCACGAACTGGAATATAATTCTTACTTTGCAACACTTCAGAGGCAGAAAGGTGAATTTCATTATAAATATTTTCTTTCTAAATTTTATTCGAAGGTAAATTTAACATTATACCCTTTGTTCAATCTAAGTTAATTATATTTATTTAAAAGTTACTTAAAATGATCTGGAAATTATGTGAAACTGCAGGGATTCCCCATGAAGCGATATCTTTCAACTATTTATGATTATGTGAAACAGGTCACCAGGCTCGATGAAAACGAAGAAACTCTAGAAAAATTGAAATTAGTGTCAGAAAGCCGAACAAAAACACAGTTAAACAGCTCAGCACATCTTGGTACAATAACTGTTATTCATTGTTAACATGATGATGAAAGAGTATTGGCTGTTCTAACAAGCGAATGGAATTTTGAGACTTTTTGAGATTTTCCTAGCATTTATGCACCATTAAATGCTCCAAAGACTGTATTTGACGAAATTTTTGCATTCAGGTTCAGGACAAGTCCAGTCTTCACTAGAAACAATGAAAGATGAAAAAACCTCAGAAACAGAAGAGAGCAAAGAAGCTTCAGTTGCTTCGCAAGAATTCTTTGCAAGCATAGAACACTCGCTCAATGAGAGGATAATAACCGATGAAAATAAAATGGCTTTGTTTAAAAAGGCATGTTTATCTTGCTTTTAAACGTTTCAAAATCTGAATTATTACATCACCATAGCTTACACCAGGACAAGTCGAGGGTCTTTCAGTGATAAATTGATAATACCCTATCATAGTAGCCAAATTTGGTCCAGCTAAATCAAACTGACTGCCTACACTAAAGTTAAAATTCTTTTCTTTTTTCTTAAAATTTCTAAAAAGATTTGGACACTAATGAAAAGCATAATTTATTATTTTTATTTTAACATAATAATTTTTATTTTAACTTAATTTAAAACCGTTTTTTCTCGACTGTTTCTCTTGGATTTAATCTATACTAACTGTTACTGCAATCAGTATAAGCTAGTCGCTTGCTGTAAATAAATTATTATTATTTTTAAGTTAAATTATTCAAATTGTGTGGTGCCGGTTTGAAAGTTTTAATTGTCCTTGTCTTTTGTAAAATCTTAAAGAATCCTAAAAGAGGCAAAAGGTATTTCATGGAGCCTACTATTTATTTTTTATTTCCTACTATAATTAAGATTATTGACGATTTTGAACAACAATCGTCCAATGTCTCAGTGTTTAATTCATCATTTAACTGGAACTCAATTTGCCGTTCATATTTGGAAAAAACGCGACGGTGTCTCGATAACCATGAGCTGCTCGGGTGGATTTTTTGTTTGGTTTTTTGATAATCTTTTTTTCCCTGATAAAATTATAGGAAAAATTATTGCTAATGCATATGGCTGTTGGTAATAACATTCTGAAAAGAGTAATGCTAAATTATATGCTATTTAGTAATTAAAAAAACTAATGCTTTCCTCACCATTTCTGGTCAAGTTTACGATATTAGAATTAGGATTATCCATTAGAAGAAATTTTTATTTTTTCTAACAGCTATTGTCTGTTCCAAGCAGTTAAAGCCAGCACCGCTAAGTGTTAAAGGAAGTGTTAACACATAGATTCTTGTCTTCCTTGACGAGTTCTGAATAACTATCGCTGTTCGCGAGCATATCCTATGCTCAAGCCTTGGAATTACTTTATTATTATTACGCCTGGATCGTATATTTATCGTACCACCTTTCTAAAGAAGATGCGTGTCGCAAGATGCAGACGCTGCGTCAAAGGGACCTGGCCTTTTTATCATTGGCTCACATGGGGACACAGACATAGCAGCCACTCGGATTTTTGATACCATAACAGATTTACTCCTGTCAAAGACAAAAATAAAGATAAAGATGATTAAATTTGAAAAAATAGAATTTTATTTAAAGATAATTAAATGAACAAA